ATACGCATTAACTGCTCGATGATAACTAATAACCAACAAAAAAAAACCTCTAAACCTTTCCAAAACTTGTCATCATTCTCAATGTAGACGCCCTTATTTAATTGCAGCGACTTAGATGCTGGCGCACACGCTCTAATTCTTCTTCAATCGTTTTAGCAGCTATTTGAAAGGAATATAAAGATTGAGTAACACCAACACAAAAGGAGGGAACACCTGTCAGGCAAAACTGAAAAATCGTCGTAAATTTACGACATTTTGTAGAACAATTATGTCTTTTTAAAAACGACATTTTTGTTACGACTAAAGTCGTAATATACGATTTGAGTCGAAATTTTACGAAATTTGTCGTAATTTGGATAGTGAGACGTTCCTTTTTGAAACGAATTAAGTCGTAAATTTAAAATTTTCGTAATTTTACGAACGATCGAAATTTATCTTTTAATATGTCGTGCAGTTATGACTTCAGTCGTACATTTAGAATTTGTCGAAAATTTGTGTCTAATCGTAAATGAACGACACAAATCGAAATACGAGCACAATTGCATTTTTCATAATTTTTGGGGGTTTCAGATTTCAAAAATGAAACGCGATTACGACATTGTCGTAGATAAATGATTTTTTCGTCGTTCAGTTACACGAATAGTTTCAGAACGATTTCTGTCACTATCAAATTAGCGACGTTTTTGTCGCTAATTTACGAAAAAATTTTCTAACAGGGGATGCAGTTTTAATTTGCTTGACAAAATACTCATAAACGACTGATTTTTTGCCTTCAAGAGTAACTGCTGCTGCGGATTGAGCCACATTTTTGTGGATAGACTCAATGCCACGCACACGCCTCAGAGCACCGTCGGCCGCTGATTGTACAGCTTGCAAATGAGACAGTGAACGAGACCAAACGTCGACCAAACTTTTCAGAGAATTCAGTAACTCATCAAGACTGTCTAACTGAATCTGCAACGCTCCACAGAAATCTTGGCAAACTTTCTTGAAGTCTGAATACAATGGATTGGGTACCTTCTTCAAAGAAGCTTCCCACTCATGCATAGCTTTTGAGAGCTCTGCATCAACAACAGGGTTAAAATAATACTCCGCCTCCAAGTCATCCTCCACTTTTACGGGAATTGGCAACAATGAAGTTGTCGGTACAGAAGAGGCAATATTTGTGTTTACCGTGAAGGCAGAAACACATGAATCGTCAAGTGTGGGTTTGGACATGATTGCTGGGAAGAGGAGACAGACAAACGAAGAGAAGAATTGTCTCTGATTTCTGCAGGCTGCTCTGCGACTGAGGTAACAGTGACGAAAGAAGAACAATCAGGCGCTATGCCGCTAGCTTCTTCCAAGGAAGGTAGGAGAGAAGGAGAGAAGGTAGGAGAGGCCATGGCCAGCCGACCCCGCTGTTGTCCAGAGTGGATTGCACGGCCACGTCTAGGTCGGCGGGCGCCTCGCCCGGGACCGGCAGATCACTTAGGTTAGTCCCGCAGTAGGCTCGCAGGTATCTGGCAAAATTATTGTAGGTGGCTACGTGCACGGGACTGAAACAGTAAACATTGTGAGCACTGGTAGCCAAGGAATGAGACGTCACGTTCGTTTTCACGTGAAAACGGCGATGTTAGTTTGAGCGTGACAAACGCTGAAAATTTACAGTCAAACGAATGTGACATACCGCACCGCTTCGTCACGTTAGTACTTCGGGTGTGACACGCAATCAGCTGTCGAACTGTCACATTAAAACAAATGTGACACATGGTACCCAAGTACACATGTCGTGTCACATCCAAACGAATGTGACACCCATATACTGTCACTTTCGTTTGAATGTGACATGGCCACTTTGTCACATTAAAACGAACGTGACACCCCTTAATCTGACAATCATGGCGTGTCACCTTCAAACGAACGTGTCAAAGTGGGCATGTCACATTCAAACGAAAGTGACAGTACATGGGGGTCACATTCGTTTGTATGTGACACGACATGTGTACTTGGGTACCATGGTCACATTTTTTTAATGTGACAGTTCGACAGCTGATTGCGTGTCACACCCGAAATACTAACGTGACGAAGCGGTGCGGTATGACACATTCGTTTGACTGTAAATTTTCAGCGTTTGTCACGCTCAAACTAACATCGCCGTTTTCACGTGAAAACGAAAGTGACTCTCATTCCTTGGCTACCAGTGGTGCAAAGCAAACCAAATTAGCAAGAAGAGGCAGAGGGGCGACTTACTTTTTGTGAAAACCCGGTGGCACGCTCGTCGGATATGGACTGCCTTGTGCCTGAAGGATTTCAGAGGGGCGGCACAAAACTCGCATTTCATCTTGCCTGGTGCAGGTGCGTAGCCGGGGAAGTTGGCAGGGGGACCCACTCGCCCCCAGCACCATCGACGTCCATTTTGTACGTCGCGAAAAGCTCGTACATAGCTGCAACAGAAAGGTCGGCATGAGCAAAGAACAGTCAACAGCCCGACTGGGTCCAATAAATCAAGACACGACTTCTTACCACGATGAGATGCACCAGTTCCACCACCTGGATTCCTGGGAAGTTGTAGAAGGCCATTTCTTGCCGCCTTATAAATGCCATGTGGGCGGAGCGCCCTGCAAAAAGAAAGGGAATCGTTTAGCACAGTGGCGGGTCCAGGCGTCCTAAAAGTCCTCGCACTCTAACGACACCCACCTCTCCCCTATTAAATTTTCCTCCACAGGCGATGCAAGTAAATTTGGTGAACTTGTTTGAACAGTTTTGTGATACCTTTGAGAAGATCTCCCATGCCCCCAAAGCAAAAAAGTTCAAGATTTTGAACTGAAAGAGACTCCAGCCATTAAACATATTAGCATCTCTGTGCCAACACACGGACTTATTAACTGAGTCAAACTCATCCAAGCATCGTGCAAGACAATAGGACAGAAGGAAAAAGTTTTGTTAAGAGACATTTTTGACTTTGAGAAGGTTTACCCTCCCCTAAATAATTTTCCTCCACACACTGCCAATCCAAGTGTGAGACAGTCTCACACTTGTAAGTGTGGGACATTTTGTCTAACGCTTACAAGTGTAGGACATGTTTGTCTCACGCTTGCAAGTGTGAGACACGGTTTGTCTCACACTTGCTGCCTATGCTAGCTCTGTGGTTCAATGCCACGAGTCCCACGCCTGCAAGTGTAGGACAAACCGTGTCTCACGCTTGCAAGTGTGAGACATCGATGTCTCACACTTGCAAGCGTGAGACAAGCGTGGCTCACACATGTAAGCGTGAGACATTGTCCCTCACCCACAAGTGTGAGACTGTCTCACACTTGGATTGGCAGTGCAGGCAATGCAAGTAAATTTGGTGAACTTGTTTGAACAGTTGTGTGATACCTTTGAGAAGATCTCCCATGCCCTCAAAGCATAAAAGTTGAACTGAAAGAGACTCCAGCTATTGAAAATTATAGCATCACTGTGCCAACAGACGACTTATTAACTGAGTCAAACTCTTCCAAGCATCGTGCTCCCGACTTCCACCCTGCAGGTGTCTCCCAGGTGAAAATTGGACATGGGACTGCCTTCAATGTCTCACCTTGTGTAAAGACATCAATGCCAACACATATTGACTGAGTCAAAGCCAAGAACTCTTCAGTCCACAACGTCATCTGCACAATTGCACGAACAAGACCAAAAAATATCACATAGGTACGCACAAGGACTGACATGTGGCTACCTCAAAGTCTGTGCAACATTATCTTAAACAGCCAAGACAGCCTAGTCCACAACCTCATCTCCACAATTACAGAAGACAAAGAAAGATATCGCATAGGACTAACTTGTGGCTACCTTCCTAACCTTCAGCGCCTGTCCATCACCATGCATTGCATCTCCGTGTCGCCTCATCTTTGAAGATCCACCGATGATGCCCTTGTTGCACTGAGGACACCTCTGGCTCTCTCCCTTGAGCACCCTTTCTGGTCCAAACAATTGGTCCCCCTTCGTAAGAAGGCCTGGCTCACTGTTGTGCACTGCCTTGATGTGCCTGGCCATCTTCGAACGTTTGGGCGGATACAAACTCCTGCTTGGCGTCCCGCGCAGCAACCACGCCATTGCGTATGGCTTGCAGGAGAGCCTGGCTGCTGCGCTCGACGCTGGCCTCCACTGCAGCCCTGCAAGCAGAAAGGACGGTTGAGACGAGTCACTTGCAAACGAGGGGCACGCCGGGCAAGCCCAGGGCTAAGCTCACTCGGACTCACAGCTCCAAGTCCTCCTGGCCCAGCGGGGCAGCCGCCGCCATGGCCAGCCGACCCCGCTTGACCTGGTTGTCTAGAGTGGATTGCAGGGCCACGTCTAGGTCGGCGGGCGCCTCGCCCGGGACCGGCAGAAGGTTAGTCCCGCAATAGGCTCGCAGGTATCTGGCAAAATTGTTGTAGGTGGCTACGTGCACGGGACTGAAACAGAAAACATATGAGTGCAAAGCAAACCAAATTAAAAATGGGAGGCGGAGGGGCACCTTACTTATTGTGATTGAACTGGCGGCACGCTCGTCGGATATGGACTGCCTTGTGCGAGATGAAAAGTGGAGATGAACGACGTCCATTTTTAGGCACAAAGTAGCCTTATTTTTTATTATTATTATTATTTTTTTGGTGGGGGGGGGGGCTGAGCGGGGGGCGACTCAACGGGGACAGGCGCCATCCACTTCCCCGTTGGCTGGGGCACGTTTGAGGGCGCGTGTAGGACCTTCCTTTCTGTTCACTTTTGTTTGCAGCCGTTGTTTTGATCTCCTTAGGGCTCCATTATTCCAATCTTGTCTTCTACCCTCCTCTTCTAGTTCTCGAATTCTTTGTATTGTGCAGCAGCAACTTTCCGATGTTCGGCCTCAGTCAAACCAGCCAAAGTTCAGAAATCAAATCATTTATTTGTATCATCTTAATGTTACATCATACATCGTCAATTTACAAGTAACACTCATGTGTTAAACAAATGCTTACAAAAATACTACAGAGAAGAACCAGTTAGAAATTAAATACTAGAACAGAATCCGAATTAAGCGAGTGAATAAAATTCCTTATCAATTGGAAATTATTTAAGAGTTTTATTAAACCTTTTTACATCTTTAATATTTTTGACGGTGGCCGGGAGCTTATTCAGGAAGGACGCACCTTCGTTTAATGCATCATGCTTACCAAACGCTCCTCTATAATATTTCGTAAACTGAAAAACCAAACGTGGTCCTAACCGCACCACTGGTGTGGTCAGATGGGTGCCATTTTGACCACACCGGCTGGTGTGGTCTAGACCACGTCTGGCCACGTTTGGTGCGGTCTAGACCACGTCTGGTGACTCGGATTTACGGTAAGATTGGAGTGCAAGAAATCAATGCGAGGTCTTACCGAAAACAGACACCACTTCGGAAACTTGAATCGAGGAACCGTTTACTCACATATTTTCCTGGATTCAAGGGCCTCGTTGGCACCATGTCAACCCCGGTCCCTCTACTACTGCCCTCGCGGGGGGTCCGGGCGGGTGGTGGGTAGGGAAGGAGGTGGGCAGCGCGAGATGCGGGGGCGACAGGGGGCCCAGGGAGGGGAGACTCTCCCAAGAATGCTCACTGGTAAAACTAAAGCGTAGTTGTACGCCTCATTCGAGCGTACAACTACGCTTCAAGACTGTAGGCCCTTCTTGAAGCGTACAACTACGCATCGTCAACACCATCTAGCAAAGCAAATCTGGATGACAAGAAGAAACAGAGAGCTGAGCGGCTAGTTATTAATTAGATCTAGTCAGGTCATGTTTTGTAATTAGACGAAAGTAATTAGATTTAATTAGATGTTTAAGACTTTCAAAATGGTCCATGGCGTGTGTAGGGAAAATTTGGAAATTGTTTATCACAATGTGGTTATCTTCATCACTGGACACTGTTCCGCCATCTGATGTGTTTGAAATAATTCCAGACTATTCCCATCATCAGTCAGTGTCTACTTTGTGGACTATGGTAACAGTGACACTGTTCCGCCATCTGATGTGGGAGGCTCATGCTTGACAGAGCCGTTTGTTGAACGTCCATCCTTACACCTTAAACCCATCATCAGGTATAGAGCTTTCCATCGACCTCGTCACAATGTTGCTGTTTTATCTGGTTTAACTGAGTTTCAATCTTGTGTGGTCAGGGATCCCAGCTGATGTTCCTCATTTACACTCACAAAGCACTTCTTCCAAGTGGCGCCAGCAGCAGTTCCAGCAGCAGCTGCAGCAGCAGCTTGAATTCCTCTCCCCTCTAGAGGAACATCATCTCGAGGCACTTCTTCCTGCAGCTCCACTGCCAAGTGGCGCCAGCAACAACACCAGCATCTGCAGCAGCCGAACACGCTCAAAATACAGCACTCGAAAACCACGCCACAGCAGCACTGCAAACAAGACAAATATATGCAACAGTTAGTTCTGGACTCACATTGCAATCATAAGACAACATAATATAATCACAGTACACTTAACCACTACAAACAGGACTTGACTTTCGACGCTAAGTAAGGTATAAAAAATTGGGGAGTTTAAATGTTTTTCTGGACTGACATGACTATCATAAATCAACATAACACAATCATAGTACGCTTACATAATATTCAAAAACCAATTAAATTGAACCATTGCTTAAATTCTCAAAGTAAAGAAGATAAAAGTGTTGACTTTAAATGTTGTTCTTGACTGCCATTAACTCAATGATTGTTACAATAATGTACACAAAGAAATTAAATTAAATTCTCAAAGTACATTAGCAACATGTAAAACAAACCTTGCCAAAGAGGCTGCAGTAGCGAAGCAGCAGCTTGTCACATGAAGACTGGCACAAGATTCTAAGAAGATTCATCGTATGGCCACCTCTCCACCTCAACTCAAAATACAGCACTCGTAAACCAAGCCACAGCACCACTGCAAACAAGACAAATATATGCAACAGTTACAACCAGGCATTTGCTTCAAGTCTGTGAAATATTTTTGAAGACATTAGCAACATGTAAAACAAACCTTGCCAAAGAGGCAGCAGCAGTAGCAAAGCAGCAGCGATATTGGACTATATCTAGGGCTCTACGTGGAACTCTCTTTTCTACTGGTATTATCCAAGCATTTTCTGAAAATTTCAAAATATGGATTACCAGAAGACAAAACTGCTGAGCAAGGCATCTCTTTCCATCATCAGCGTAAAATCCGAAGTTTAAGTTATGTCAGGGACCGGGTCAGTCAACTCCTAGAAGGCTAGGACTGCTGGAAACATGAGGAAAAGACTGTCCCACACTCTACAAAAAATGTCCTGTCAACGCCGTTAATTTATTACCAATGTTTGCTGTTATGCAATTCACGGCGTTTGCTGTGAAATTGCTCACGGCGTTCACTGTGATCTCGGTTACAGTGTTCACTGTGATCTGGCCACAGTAAACGCCGTGAATTCGAGCCTGATTTGCAGTACTTCGGTGCTTAGCGGTGTCAAACTCACAGTGTTTACTGGGGACCAGATCACAGTGAACACCGCGAACAAGATCACAGTGAATCCCGTGAGCAGATCACAGTAAACGCTGTGAATTGACCTACAGTGAAAACTGGTAATAAATTAACGGCATTTACAGGACATTTTTGGTAGAGTGCAAGTTACCCCGTAAAACTTCGATTTTTGATAAATTGAAGTGTGGACCGAAGATGGGACAACTATAATCAACGCCCTTTTGCGAACGTTATTGTCTGCGTATGAACAATCCAGAGATACTAAACGGCCAAATCTGCATTTCACTCCTTGCACTAGGGTCAACTTGTCAATGATTTACGAGCGATTCTCACGTTTCGAGGTAGTTTCGTTTCTTCTGACTCCTGTGCCCAAACGAGCGCAGATATCGACATGGGGTTTGTTTCTGATTTCAGGGAGGGCCATTGCCCACTAAACGCACACATTTCGAAAAGTTCACGTTCGTTGGATTGGTCCACGTAGCGTTTGGAATACCCTAAATGTAACTTCCGTGATTGTCCAAAGTGAACATACTCGAACTTTCCGCCCCCAGTGTGGCGGTGTGGTTCGAAAATGCTGCCAACTGTCGATGGGGATTCGAAGCTTGGCATGTCTCGATCTAATTTCAACTGAAGACCAATACGCCAGACTTCTTTCAAATGTACTTATGCTGCAACGAAAAATGTTCACCGTATATTCAATTTCACTACACAAATTTCGAAAAGGCAGCTCTGGACTTCTCCCCAAGCCAAACTTTTAACTTTCCATGACACAAGCCATCAAAGTGGAGTCCCTGGGATATAATTGCATGGGTCGCGGAAATCTAAGATGCTGTACACGGTCTCAAAGCGGGCTAGAGCATTATAAAATGGCTTGTATCAACAATTACCTGTAACTTCCGTGGCACCCTTTACCCAATGTTGCAGCAGCACTAGGTGAAAATTTTTTCCGCTCAAATGTCGGGCTTGGAGTATCATTTGACCCTGGGACGACTTTTAAGCCACAGCAAGCCCGAGTCAGCCGTTAAAGCCGATTTTCACACTTTGTAACTTCCGTGAAACGTAATTTCCGTGATCAAAACACCCACTAAAACGTATGGGAATACCTTATGGCTCATGTTTTTAGGAAGGTAGTACAAGGTCTTTACTATAAATACCATTGCCATAACTCTAGTATCATCCAGGACCCCAATAATCAGAAAAACTGAATTAGATATTTCTCACTTTCGGCAAATCAGAGACGCCAAAACTACCCCGAAACGTGAGAATCGCTCACCCACCCATTTAGCCACAGTAGGCCTTTTTTCATTGAGATTAATCGTTTAGTAGAAAAATTAGCCACGCAAAGTTTTTTGACGGAATGATCTGAAATTTGTTTTGGAGTTACCTAAACCCCTATACTTTAATGTAACAGAGAGATATTTGCATTTTATTTTTTTGTTTTGACTGAGCAAGCTTCACAATTTTTTAATTTCAATAAATAAGGTTTTTTTCTCCATTTTTTACCACTTTAAGCTGAACGATTTCAGAAAGTGGATAGCTATTTGAAATGTCTCTCTGTTACATTGTTACATGGACCACAAAGAACTACTTCAGGGGCATTCCAGAGCCGATTGACAGTGGTCGAAGTTGACCTTTGACGATTTTGCTCATTTTTGGCTCAAATGTTACCTACCCATAGGTGAACATCCCCACAAAATTTCAGCCCTCTAGGTCAGTTAGTATGGGAACTGTGAGCAATCAAAGTTTTTGGCTATTTTGCTTTAGTCGTTTTTGACCAAATTGCACTTTTTTACTGACATGCTCCGGAATTCTTTTCTTTTCGATCCTGAGGTCTGAAAATTGGTACTTGAATGTAAAATTGAGCGGGGAATCCTAATCTGCACGCAGAATCGACCTTAAAGCAGTCCATCGTTGATAAAAACGCACTCAAAGCCCAAAATAACTTTTTTTTTAGTGTTTGACAACCTTTAATTTTCTCCCTATCCCGGAATCCAAACTGGACCCGTTCTAGGTGGGAAATCATTTCTTAGTCAACTACCAAAAAACAAGCGGCTCGAGTTACCGAGGGTATGGGTATGGTTTGGGCGCTGCAGTGCTCGCAACTTTGACAACTGCTGAATGTTCAATCGAATGAGATCTCATTGATCGGTGCGTCTGACAGCAATTTGCATAAAGACTTTTTTCTTCAAAATTTGATATCTGACAAGTTGTTTTCAAGACATTTTGCTCTATCTCTAACGGTTTGTGAAATATGATGCTAAGATGGTTTGGGACCGAAAATATGTCTCTGGAGTACTATCTAATTTTGATCAGCATTTCTTGAAACGCCTTTTTAACATAGTCCCTAGAGACATTTTTTCGGGGACTGAAAGTCGAAAAAGTCCACGACCACCGGTTCCCGAAAAAATGTCTCGAGGGACTATGTTAAAAAGGCGTTTCAAGAGGTGCCGATCAAAATTAGATAGTACTCCAGAGACATATTTTTCGGTCCCAAACCATCTTAGCCTCATATTTCACAAACCGTAAGAGATAGAGCAAAGTGTCTTTAAAACAACTTGTCAGAAATCAAATTTTAAAGAAAAAGTCTTTATGCAAATTGCTGTCAGACGCACCGATCAATGAGATCTCATTCGATTAAACATTCAGCAGTTGTCAAAGTTGCGAGCACTGCAGCGCCCAAACCATACCCATACCCTCGGTAACTCGAGCCGCTTGTTTTTAGGTAGTTGTCTAAGGAATGATTTCCCACCTAGAACGGGTCCAGTTTGGATTCCGGGATAGGGAGAAAATTAAAGGTTGTCAAACACTAAAAAAAAAAGTTATTTTTGGCTTTGAGTGCGTTTTTATCAACGATGGACTGCTTTAAGGTCAATTCTGCGTGCAGATTCGGATTCCCCGCTCAATTTTACATTCAAGTACCAATTTTCAGACCTCACGACCGAAAAGAAAAGAATTCCGGAGCATATCAGTAAAAAAGTGCAATTTGGTCAAAAACGACTAAAGCAAAATAGCCAAAAACTTTGATTGCTCACAGTTGCCAAACTAACTGACCTAGAGGGCTGAAATTTCGTGGGGATGTTCACCTATGGGTAGGTAACATTTGAGCCAAAAATGAGCAAAATCGTCAAAAGTCAACTTCGAACACTGTCAATCGGCTCTGGAATGCCCCTTCAAGAAGTATGGTCAGTATAAAACAAAACTGTATGCGTGGCTAGTTGACGGAGTAAAAAAAAAATTTCTTCGACACTTGTTGTAAGAGTTGGGTGACCAGAAAAGGGGCATGCATAAATCAGTCCATGTTAGATGAACCACTCACTTAGGTGTCCATAACACAGACTTTCAGAACATGCTGTCGGTAATAGAAGAATATTTTACATTAAAACAACAAGTGGATTAAATTTATGATTTTAATGAATTTTGGTCCAAATTTCCACCCACATCTCACCTTAACGGGCAGAACGCTTTTCTACGGGATTCATGACGCCTGGACATGATAAACACATGATTCGCCGAGTAGCGGACCCCTCGAGGAAGGATCAAATTAACCCTGAAGTGAGAAGATTTATTTGCTTTCACGGTAGCGGATAGACCGCCGAATTCCAAGGAGTGTCACCAAGAGCCCTACTCTCCCTTTCAGCTCTATTCTTTCGTGCACCTGGGAACCCGGTCCCTAAAACCACACCTGTTACCACAATGTGACTTTACTTGTTTGCTTCGGTGAGACGTTGCCTTCCACCACTGTGGCAAAAAGGAACGGAAAATTTTGTTAATTTTTTGGCTAAGTTTCTTCGTGGCCCTCTTATCAATAATCTCCGTAGGACCGTGCAGTCTTTCCTGAGGACCTTATAGTTTTTTCTGGAAGACTACGGAGAATGCTGTAAGGTTCTGCGGAGATATTGACAAGAGGGCTACGGAGAATTACCACAAGCTGTTAACACAATAATTTTCCGCAGCTTTTTGCCACAGTGACAGGTGGTTCTTCTGTTCGAAGACAATACAGGAGTGGACGCGCCAATCACTTCGGGCGAGTCACTCTAAATAGCGGGTGTCTCCCGGTCGCACGATCACAGGTACCTGGGTGTTCTGGCCTTCGCTCTTGACGTGCAGGTAAGGCCCACTAATGGGTAGGAGCAAAAGTGGATTTCTGCACTCTCGTCAGAATTACTTTACAGTGCTTGCGATCATGTTTGACTGTTAGCGACTCTTTCTTACTCTACAAATCAAAGAGTGTACATGGTACGCTCTAACTGGAGCATGCTTGCAAGCACGCTCTAACTAGCGCATGCCTGCCAAGCATGCACTAAGGGGCTGTTCATAAAATACGTCACGCGTTTTAGGGAGGGTGGGGGTATCGGCGATGTGTGATGAGTTGTGACGCTGAGGGGGGTGGGGCTGTTGGGTCTTGTGACGTATTTTTAAAAATACCCGTTTAATACGACATTTTCGGGTGGGTAAGCAATAAAAACGCCCTCCCGCGAAGTAAATTAATTGTCTTTTAACTTACTAAAGCGTTTATTTTACTCGATTGTGTAAAGACTTAGAGAAATGAAATAAGCTGATGTATTTAGCGCGATTTCTCGCTCATGCTCAAAAAATACGTTACAAGTGGGTGGGGGGGAGGGAGGGTCAGCCGAATGTGACCAAGTTGTGATAAGGGAGGGGTGGGGGGTCAAAAATGACCCAAAAACGCGTGACGTATTTCATGAACAGCCCCTAACTAGTGCATACATGCCATGTACACGCTAATTGAAGCAGACGTTTACTCCATAAGGGATAGGGAGTTTTCTGCATCAGGAAGCGTGTACATGGCATGTATGCACTAGTTAGTGCATGCTTGGCAGGCATGCGCTAGCTAGAGCGTGCTTGCACACACTAAATTCTTATGGACTTTTTTATGCATAGTTATGCATGCTTAGGAACGTCCATAAGGTATGTATAAAATTATGCATCACTGTGTACATTTTATGCAGGAAGATGCATAAAATGTACACAGTGATGCATAATTTTATACATACCTTATGGACGTTTCTAAGCATGCATAACTATGCATAAAAAATGCTTCATTATGCATTAAAAAAGTCCATAAGAATTTAGTGTGCAGGCATGCTCCAGTTAGAGCATACTATGTACACTGTTTGATTTGTAGAGTAGTACTTAAACCGAAGAGACGTCGTTTTGATATAATGCTGATACTTCTTCATTCATATATTTCGAAAAGGAAAATTATTTAAATTTGAGAAACAGAAAGAATGCTATGCTCCAGCAGTTCCCTTTTTTAATAGCGGTCATCAAGTGAAATTCAGTGGTTCATTTAAAGTGCCTTGCCCAGTGCATCCCTAGTAATGATTTGTAACTAACTAGCGAGTCAAATATTCATAACGTGGTACTCACATGGGGTCTCAACCCATCCCAAATAGGTTTTCAGGCAGAATTTCAATTAAAATTTAAAATATCTCTTATTTGTCTGACAGTGCTACACTCTACACTCTCATCCTTATCAGTATTTATTGACGATTATGCGCATTGATAGAATTGCGTTACGAGGCTTAACATGTAAGGAGAGTAACATATTGGTCAAGACGAAAATCGATAATGACGGTTCTAAAACAAACAAGACAATATGCCTGTTAAAGAGCATTTCCTATAAAAGATTGATGCCCTTAGGGAACAGCGTGCGCCCAGGGATCAGCCCAGCACACCAGCTCCATTCCACACGAGCTGGGAACCGAAACGCGGAGGCCGACACGTGCAGCGGCATCGAGGAAGAAGAATTTTCCGGCGATGGGTCCACTGATACTGCTCCTGGCCTTGAGCGCGAGGTAAAACTGGAGAAACTCTGGGAAAGGTTTGACGCATTGGCAAGGGAAGTCGTGACTTTACTGCCGTACGGTCCTCCATCCTCCGCACACATTAAATGTTCAAGTAGAATTTAGAAAAAACATATTTTTGCTCGAAAATGGGCCGTTAAGTTAGGAGGAACGAGTATTTGCTTTGACCCCTCTGCTAAACTAGTGAAAAGTTTTCAAGAAACGAGCAGGATCTCGGTTTTTAAACTTTTTCGGTTTTATTGCAGTCTTGGTCTAACTTGTCTTCTTGAAAATTAAATTCCTTCGTAACTTTGTGATACAAAAGTTCTGAACAAGTTGGTAAAAGTTTGTTAGGCTTTTCTGGCCAAATCTGTTGTTCAAAATACAATCCAATGGGCATAGTCCAAATTAGAAAAAATTAAAAATCTAATAGCGTGGAAATTTTACTTGCATATCTACAACTCAATTCACCTTAACTGTTTTTTTTTGTGTGATAACCAAGATTACTTTTTTCTCATTCGTAGTGCTCTCGCAAATGTGACCCCTGTCGTGCGCGTTAAACAGGGACGCCTTCAAGGCGTACAGGAGCCTGGGGCCCCGGGCACCGCACCCTTCTTCGCTTTCCGAGGCATCCCCTATGCGGCAAAACCTGTGGGGGTTCTCCGCTTCAAGGTCAGTTCCAGAATGTACCTGACTTCATTGCAGCTTGTTGTGGGGATAAAAGTGGTTGGTGAAATGAGCACTGAGAAAACCTTACAAACTATTTTGGGCCTTACAAAGAAAAGTAGTTTGTATAACAAAGTATTTTGAGCATACATAAGCTTACAAAGTAAATACTTCGTAATTTACGAACTATTTCTTCGTATAACAAAGTATTTTAGTTTGTTATATGTATGCTCACAATACTTCGTAAGGTTTTAAGAGTGAGTAGTGGCGCTGTTTCGTAAAACAACACACTAAATTCTTATGGACTTTTTTATGCATAGTTATGCATGCACAGATACGTCCATATGTTATGTATAATATTATGCATCACTGTGTACATTTTATGCAGGAAGACGCATAAAATGTGCACAGTGATGCATAATTTTATACATACCTTATGGACGTTTCTGCGCATGCATAACTATGCATTAAAAATGCGTCCTTATGCATTTAAAAAGTCCATAAGAATTTAGTGTGAAGTGCCGTTTTCAACGTTTGACCGTTATTTTATCCTAGTCGTAGCCAAAAAAATGGACTCAAAAAAAAATGTCCTTTGGGGAATGCAGATGCATTTTAGCTAAATCACCCACTCTTTTCTTGTGTAGGCACCACGCCCAGCACCTTCGTGGTCTGGGATTCGAAATGCTTCCTTGGAAGGCAGTGTGTGTCATCAAGCCACCTTCGACGGCCAACTGCTGGGATCTGAAGACTGCCTTTATCTAAATGTTTATACACCAAAGGTACGCATTCTTACAGGTAAAGGATCGAGGGGTGAATCACTCAGCGTTCTGGTGTACACATGAGTACATGAGTACGGGTGAGTACACCTTGGTTAACTCATAAATTTCACAATTTAAAACGTTTTAAGGCTTTATTTAGCGTTTTTAACGGCACTCAACGTTAAATTGGTCGAAAAACTATAGTATTTCGCCCTTTTTAAACTGGTGAGTACACTGAGTACGGGCAAATTTGCACACATGAGTACACTAGTGATTCACCCCTCGTAAAGGATGCCCTTGGCCAAGCCATAGCGAAAGTCTCGGTGTTTGACCGCGCTTTTTAACGGTTTATCCGATAGCACTTCAAATTGATGGGAATACCATACGGCGAACACGGCGAGACAAAAAGAGACAAAAAACCTAACCTAGCCTATCAGGTATCCTGCAGGAAAGGGTGTGCTTAAAAGCGTGCTGTAAACAAAAGCATACTAAGTACACACTTCACACTAAATTCTTATGGACTTTTTAAATGCATAAGGACGCTTTTTTATGCGTAGTTATGCATGCGCAGAAACGTCCTTAAGGTATGTAAAAAATTATGCATCACTGTGTACTTTTTATGCGTCTTCCTGCATAAAATGTACACAGTGATGCATAATATTATACATAACATATGGACGTTTCTGCGCATGCATAACTATGCATAAAAAAGTCCATAAGAATTTAGTGTGTTCAGTTTGCAGAGAACAAACGGTTTTTTCTTTGTGTTACTAACAATTTTTGGCCCGTCCCGTTTATTTTTTGTAAAAAAAAAAATGCCGGAGGGACGGGCATAAAGTATGATCCCTGCTGTGCGTCCGCCCGTCCGAGGACTTCCCGTGGTCCGATCTTGACCAAATTTGGTATGCAGCCTCCTTGGGTGATCCTAGGAACCACCCGGTGGCAGCAAATCCGATCCGAGCCCCGGGGGCGCTGCTGCAGGTGCATCATGGTCTACATGGGGTCGAGGAGGATTTCGGGAACGGATACAGCTAGGAGTGCATGTAGGGGTATCTTTGGAATCAGGGTGACAAGACAAAACCAACGGTGCCAATTTCAAGCGAATCGGAGAAGTTTGGACCCGGGTTCGAATCCCAGTGGGGTATATTTTAAACATTCTTTTTATTCGAGTTGTTGCATTCTTTCTGATGTTTTTGAGGGTGCTGATGACGAAAATTTCATCTATTTTGCCCCAGACTCAGATTTACATCCCGTAAGGGTTTAACATAGGCGAAATTCGCACATTTCTTAATGTACGGGGCGGGCCAAAGTTGCCGATGTATATCGCTACTTTTCCTGTTATTTTGTATTACGAACGATTTCCGTTTCGGGCTGCAAAGCCGCTGTTTCCATTGTCTTTAAAATAGCAGTTCTTTGTAGGAATTTATCTGTGTTGGCACCAAAGTGGCGCTTGGGCATCTAAACATACCCATCTACGTGTTTTCAGCTCAAATGCTCATCGCAGCTGCCTGTCATAGTTTACTTCCATTCGAGTGCTTTTATTTTCGGAGATGGCGGACGAGGTTGGCATGGTCCTGATTTCATCAACTACAACGATGTCGTCTTGGTAGTACCGAACTACCGACTTGGTCCCTTTGGTAAGTTGCGTAAGCTTCCTTTTAGAGACTTTGTAAGGCTAAAAGTTAGGGTTTATCAAATCCATGGGTACAGTCAGTGGTGAAACAAAGGCAAAAATCGTTAATGCCTTTGGGAAGGGCATTAAAATCTTGCTTGAAATTCCTATACCCTTTACGCCCTTCCCAAGGGCATAAAACGATTTATGCCCTTGCAAGGGCGTAAAAGAGTATTTATGCCCTAAAGGACGTAATTTTTATGCCTTTGTTTTACCAGTGAAGTCAAATAGTCAGATAGTACTTGTTGTCTTTCTCATATTTTACATGATAATTTCAAATTGCGATAATGACTTTTGAAATGACAGCAGGCAAAGAAGGGAAATCAATTTTGGAACGTTCAGGGCCAAGCGCGTAGGTTGCTTGGAATGGCCACAAAATTCCGATTACAAACATAATTTGAGTGACGTTGCAAGAGAAACGCGTTTAGATCTCTTATTGCGAGTCATTTACCTCTATCACCCCCCCCCCCCTCCTTTTTTTTGAAAGGTGCATGCCTTGTACAAGAAAACAGATTGAGTATTGAGGTATCTGGTACTGCAGTAGAAAGGGAAATGAACAATACCGATTCGTTGCACCGTCTATTATTGGGGAGCAGTCAAAGTAGTCCATTTTCAGTGGTTTTCCCGCCATTTTTTAATTTGCATTTTTGAGTTTCGGCTATGGGCTTTTCCTAAGAGACTAGCAGTCTCATCATGAACTCATATGGCCAACGAAAAATGCCTTAACTTTAGGTTTGCTTAAATCGAAGACGGTTTCCGAGAATTAAGGCCCCCCGATTGACAATTAACCGGTCTCGCGCACGCGGTAAAAACGGAACCTGGTTTTCCCAGGAAGCCTATGGTAGAGACATAGGCTATTTCCAGGGTGTTCCTGGGAAAACCAGGTTCCGTTTTTACCATGCACAGCCCCCAGCCTAGCCATTAGCGTTACTGCCCCCTGGATGAATTCCTACAAAGAACCTTCTTTGTAGCTACAAAGAAAACGAAGGTTTCGAAGCCTACGAAGGAAATCGTTTGAAATACGAACAAGTTTGTTCTTAATACAAAGTAAATATCATTTGTTGCCTATGAAGATCTTCTTTGCAGCCTTTACAGATATTAAAATCGATTTCCTACGTGGGCTGCGAAGCCTCCATTTTCTCTAAGCTCATTCGGGCTAGAAATAAGGAGAAGCATATATTGACGACATCCGGCAGATGTACAGATTGCACCTTTCTTTATTCTATCAAGGAAATCTCCTGACGAAATTTTTACCGAAACTTCCTGAAGCTTGCCCTCTTATTCTTGAAAGCTTGCGATTCGAAACTCTGCTTTTGCTGTTGTTCGAGAGGATACAATGCCTCAATCAAAGGATATTTTCCTTGAATGTTTCAGGGTTTTTGAACCTTGGGACATCGGGCGCACCTGGGAATGCTGCCTTGAAAGATTCCCAAGCGGTCCTTCGATGGGTGAAGGAAAACATCAAGAGGTTCTGCGGAAATCCGGACAAAGTGACCGTCGCTGGACATTCCGCCGGAGCCACGATTGCCCATGTCAATGCCATCAATGCCCGGAGCAAAGGTGACAGAAAGTAGTATTTACGGGCACACTGAAAATTGGAGTCGTCACTCGATGACAATTTTCAGGCTAATTTTCCTTTCAACAGTATTATCAAAGCAAATGATGACATTGTTGTCACGCCCATGCAATAATTATAGGAGGTTTGATGAAAGTGTCATCAATTTTTGATGAGATTATCATCATTTGAAAGCGATGAAAATATCATCCACGTTTTTGGCATTAGGCGACAACAAATTTCCACAGTGTATTGGTCCGGAAGAGAGATCGAAACAGTTCTGTGATTCAAAGTGCAGCACAAACCGCACATAAAGTGCGTGCAGTTAGCAAATATATTGTCATGTAATGTTTTGCACCCCACTTTCAACGGAGTAAAGTGGCACCTGTCACTTGTCAATCTGTGGCTTATCACGTTGAAACGAATGTGACAAAAATTCCCGGGTGGAAGGATCTGCAGTTTAAACTTCATTGGAAAAGTATAGATTTTTTGTAATGTTAAACTTAATTTTTAAATACTTTTTTTCATACTTTAAATTACTGTAATGTATTGTATAATTGCAGGTAAAGTGTAGTTCGACTACAGTTGAAGTGTAGTAAACTATAATTAAACTGCAAAAAAAGTACCAGTTATTTCGGACAACTATAGTTTTTGACCCAGGTTGCCCTAGTCTTCAGATCAGTTTACTATAGTTCAAAGTACAGTTATACTGTAGTTTAGTTACACAGCCAGAGTCAGTTCAAAGGAGAAGACAATCTGCAGTTTGAAATTTTGGTTCAAAATTCAAAATTTTTAATTTTTGAACCCTGATTTGAAGGGACTCTTCCTCCCTCTGTCCCCTTAGGTGATTGACTTTGTGTTAATTGTGTTTGGTGATTGGATGTTGCCGGGAGTTGAACCTCGGACCCATGGCTTGTGAAGCAGAGGCCTTGACCACTGCTCCACTGAGCTTCCTTGTGGATAGGGGCTTGGCTACTCGACCACATGGAAAGGCCGGCTTTCCTCAGGAACTAGAGTTCAACTGCTAGAAAACTACAGTTTTACTGGAAGCCACTCTGTACTTTGAGTGAAATCCACTTGTCCAAAATGTAATTTATAATGAATTTGCCTCAGAAACCAAGACACCATGGAGTGATTTAATTCAGAGAGCCTTCAAGGTCTTAATTTTCAACGACTGGAGTCGTTACCTTTTCAACTTCTGAGACGCACTGCATTATAATGCTTTCTAGTTTTATTTGTGTTTGACATTTTATTATCCAGTCATAATGAATTTGATGCCTAGACCTTGTTTGGCGACAAGCTGGCTAAATTTTGTGGCTTGTTGATTTCCTCGATACTTTGTCACATGCTACCTGACTAATATGGAACATTATAAAATAAGCAAACAGATAACCAGATAGTATTTTAAGAATTGGTTACATCCAGCCATATAGGTTTTCATATGGAAGTTAAGTCGTGTCTTAAAAAAGTCTCCAACGTCAAGTATTTCAACGTAAACGTTTAAAAGAAATAACTGAAACTTCTAAGAGATATTTCCTTTTCAATCCTTATATTATTTTAATCACTCAATGTAATTGTTTTTGTTTCTTCATATCAAGTTGCAGTGCTTGACATCTTAAACTATGCCTTGAGCGAAAAATTACTGCAAATTGTAGTAAACATTCAACTAGTTTGTCATTGTGTAAAAAAGTATGAGCAGAAACTTTATTTTCTTTGTAGATCCTGCTGCAGATATAAGTGTAGGCGGATCTTCAGTAGTGGACTAAATAAGTAGAGTAGTATTAAAAAACTTTTAACTTCACTTTTTAACTACAGATAGTACTTAATACCTGGTCAACAAATAGCAGTTCAGCTAGAAAGCAGTTTACATACACAGCAAACTACAGATCCATGAGCAAACTGAAACTGGACTTATTCTGCACTTTGTTCTTACCAAAAACTGCAGTTCAGGAACTGTAGTTTTGGCACTACAGTTTAAACTGCAGTTTCACTATAGATCCTTCCACCCGGGTTGTCGTCCCTTTGCGCATTAAGTCACATTCGTTTGGATGTGAGTCAGTAAAAAAAACAGCATATTCACATTCAAACGAATGTGACACAATGCGCAAAGGAGCATGACATTTTGTCACATTTGTGCGTTGGGCGACAAAATCATCCTTGTTCCAGGACTCTTCCAGCGTGCTATCCTTATGAGTGGCAGTGCTCTTCTGGGCATATGTTACATTGACGAGCACATCGAAGCAGCGCAGGAACTGGCGACTATTCTCGGGGCCAAGGACAACAGCACTGCGACTCTGGAGAGGACTTTAAGGAGCGCGTCTGGATCTGACATCAATGCCGCACATCTGACTATGCTGATGAGAGAGGTTTGTGACTGATAACTGTGAATGGCACCTCCTAAGTTGAGATGGGCAGATGGGCACCTGCTCCTCTGTTTAACTGGGGTGGATCCAGGTCAAATCCAAAGGTGTCTCAATTCTTTCATTTCCCAATCTGTTCGAATGTGTTTCCATTCGTCTAGGCAGGCCCACCCAAGATCCAATTTGGCAACAATGCATTTATATTTGGCTTAACTTTAGCGATGTTTGCTGTAACAAACTTTGTTTTGGGCAATACGCTGAGGAAAGAGCACTTTTAAGCCTACCCATTCGGCCAAATTAAAGCTGATCTGACCAGATGATGCACGCAATGACCCCAGATTTGTTAATTTGGCATCTTTGGAGGGTTTATAGGAGTGAAACTAAGCGCCCAACATAACTTCAGGTTTAAGGATTTTCTTCACTTTCCACATGCCACTTTGGCCATTAACCACAGAGGTGCAGCCCCCTTCCTCATGAGCCAGTATTAGTGATTTTTAATTTGAGATGCTTTTGGTTTAAAGGGCACTACTGCATAGATTTTACTTAATGTAATAGGGCTTTGAGGAATATACTTGTGAATAATGGTGACTTTCGTGAACTACTAAAAATTGAGTGTTTAAGTCTGTCGAGTCTTCTGCTAACGTGTCAGAAAACAACACATCAATTGTGAAATGCAAACTTCTTCTTTCAGTCCATATAACGAAATTGGGTGGAAGACCCGTAACGCCCTGAAACTCTCAAAAAAGAAACGTAATACTGCAACGTAAATAAGCAGAATTTGCATCTTGTAGGCGATTCTTTATAAGTGACATTTCGGGTCTGTCGTTTTGTTTACATTCTTTTTATTGTTGCTTAAGGAGCAGGTATTTCTTGCACTATGAGCTCAAAACCCAAATAAGAAAAATCACCTCCTCTTGCAGCCAAGCCCAAATTTGATGTTCAAGTTTGCCATGACATCGGAAATCCCAGCAGTCTCGGACGCAGACCTTCCAGGCTCACTTTTCATGTCTGAGGATCCTGAGACAATGATTAGGAACGCCGACGTTAAAAAACCAGTTCCGATCTTAGCTGGGACAGCGAAGGAGGAAGGAGACTCTCTGTATGGAATAGGTAAGATAACAAGGATTTTTAAGACCGTACCGTAAAGCGGGGCTATTGTGCCCACTGGGGTAACTTTGGCCCAGCCGCTAATAATGTAACCAATGTAGAACCACTTAAAATTAAATTCTAGCCCATGGGCCAAAGTTACCCCGATGGGTCAAAGTAGCCCCGGTTTACGGTAAGCCAATTTTAAGCAAGCAAAAATAAAATTGCACTATGAAAACTACAAATTGCACTTTTGTGCGTGGGCCATGTCGATTACCTCCGTGAAGCTGGCAGAACCCAATATTGCACAATTGATCGGACATGTCTCAAAAAATTGAGCACGAATTGAGCAATCGATTGCACTATACCATTTTATTTGTGCATGCTCGGAACAGTACTTACAGCGTCTTGCTATTGGGTTCTGCTGGGTTCACGCCAGCAGCGCCCAATCGAGCTACAGCAACGAGACAGGTGCCAAAAAATTGAGCACGAATTGAGCAACCGATTGCACTATACCGTTTTAATTGTGCGTTGAAACGAAGGTCATAATCCACCACAATCGTTTTCCCAGGTAACACTTACCAGCAGCGCCCAATCGTGCTACAGCAACGAGACAGGAACCAAGAAATTGAGCACGAATTGAGCAACCGATTGCACTATACCGTTTTAATTGTGCGTTGAAACGAAGGTCGATTGGGCGCTGCTGATTAGTGTTACCTGGGAAAACAATTGTGGTAGATTATGACCTACGTTTCAACGCACAATTAAAACGGTATAGTGCAAATGGTTGCTCAATTCGTGCTCAATTTTTTGGTTCCTGTCTCGTTGCTGTAGCACGATTGGGCGCTGCTGGTAAGTGTTACCTGGGAAAACGATTGTGGTGGGTTATGACCTTCGTTTCAACGCACAATTAAAACGGTATAGTGCAATTGGTTGCTCAATTCGTGCTCAATTTTCTGGCACCTGTCCCGTTGCTGTAGCTCGATTGGGCGCTGCTGGCGTGAACCCAGCAGAACCCAATAGCAAGACGCTGTAAGTACTGTTCCGAGCATGCACAAATAAAACGGTATAGTGCAATCGATTGCTCAATTCGTGCTCAATTTTTTGAGACATGTCCGATCAATTGTGCAAAATTGGGTTCTGCCAGCTTCACGGAGGTATGCCAATTGACTGCAATGTGTGGCTGTGTGGCCCGTCCCCGTCCGTGTACTCGAGCAGTCCCAGGATGTGCTGCTCAGACCAGCGCGCCCGCAGCCTCAGGATTGTGTTAGCACCTCTTATATTTCAGTGACAATTTTCCATCTTGTTTCAGGTTTCGTCAGCAAAGTTATCCAAGCAAATGACACGCTTTTCGTGGAGCGCATCAACTCTCGCATTGACGAGGTTATCCAGAGGTTCGCTGCCAGGGTGCCCAAGGGAGTTGCAAAACAATTAGGAGTGCAGAGCGGAACAGGCTCCCTGTCGAGACAACAAAGAATCCTGCAAATGGTCCGCAACGCTTACGCTGGTGGAAGGAGCACATTTACTCGGGAGGAGTACATAAAGGTATTTTATCTTGTCTGCGCGCAAGTAGAATAATCTCGACTTTCTACTGGCATCCACTGCCACTGGCAGGTAGCAAAAGACGAAACAAAGTAACTCATTGTCTTGAATGTAGATTATTGGTGACTCACTATTCGACGGACCTCTGCTCAACTACATGCGCATGTGTCGTGGAGACGTCAGTTTGTATGTCACGGATATCAGTACGAGCTACAACTTTGTGTCAAGAGGACTCATACCTATGCCTGCTCTCACTAGTAAGTGAAATGTTAACTCTAAAGAGAAAACCAGTTAATGCTTATGGACTTTTTGCACAAGGCATAAGTTTCGTACAAATTTTTACATAAATGAGTGCAAACATATTTTGTATTAAAAGTAACTTACGTTCAACTGGGAATTTAAAACGTGCACTTGTTACAGCAACAACTCACGCAGACGACTTGGGCTACCTTTTCCGACCCTCAGTGGTGAATCTAAATCAGAACTACAGTGACTCAAGTGAGGCCGGTCAAGTACTGCGATACATTTCGACACTGATCACGGACTTCGCCAAAGGAAGGTAAGGAATAATTGAAGAGAGAGTCGGTTGAATGTTGAATGAGGCCGAATTCATGTCCTTAAGGGGGCAGTAGCGTCATTTGCACGTGTTTTGACGATTTTCGAACCTCCTGTTTAGACGTTAATATAAAGATAAGTATGAATGCCAGAGACAAACGGCAGGCACCATTTGAAAGATAAAAGTTTTTACAACATTTTCAAAAAAAAATATTTTGTTTTAGCATTGAATTAGGATGTTTTGTGTTCTATGCAAAAATGGTCTGCAAAATTACATGGTGTCACTGCGCGCACGATTGCAGCCAAAGTTTTTAACTTTTTACCAATCGGTAAAATGCATCTGAAAAAGCATGAAATTGCCCATAAAATGACCCTTGGGTTTCAATATTGGGCAAGAAAAACTATTGAAACGCTCATCTTCAACTTAAGATGGAAACGAACCACATTTTTTCTGGCCCAATATTAAAACCCAAGGGTCATTTTATGGGCAATTTCATGCTTTTTCAGATGCATTTTACCGATTGGTAAAAAGTTAAAAACTTTGGCTGCAATCGTGCGCGCAGTGAAACCATGTAATTTTGCAGACCATTTTTGCATATAACAAAAACATCCTAATTCAATGCTAAAACAATTTTTTTTTTGAAAATGTTGTAAAACTTTTATCTTTCAAATGGTGCCTGCCGTTTGCCTCTGGCATTCATACTTATCTTTATATTAACGTCTAAACAGGAGGTTCGAAAATCGTCAAAACACGTGCAAAAGACGCTACTGCCCCCTTAACTTGTTCATTCGCTTCGTCGAGGGAACAATGTTCGATGTTTGGGGACACAAGACTCCTTTAAGAGAAGAAATTTTGTCGGATAAGATTTCGTTTCGTACAAATTTACTCCTGAAATCTGCTTGGTTCTTGCCTTTTTGGGGAAAGATTTTTGGAATTTCCAGAGATTCCGTCGGAATCGGCGAGCGCTCAAGGGGGAATAGGATTTCTGGAGTGGTTGCCCTCTCGCGCAAAAGGAATGAAAATGCATTGTCTCATGTCCTACACTGCGAGAAAAAGTGTGGATAGTACAACAAAAGTACAACAAAAACTGTACTATAAAAGTACAACAGAGATTGTGGAAAGTACAACGAAAATTGTACAAACCACAACGAGGCCTGGACTGCACAGCACTCGTCATGCCGAGTCCATTGTACTTTGTACAACAATTGTTGTACTTAAAAAGTACAACAAATACCTGATAGAAACTTTGCCAGAAATTTGTGTACTTTTGTTGTGGTTATTTCTAGCAGTGTAGGCAGCTTCCTCTTCACTGAGCAAACTACGTGTCCGTTGCAGGTCGGTGGGTCTTCCGGCCACGTGTGGCGATCCCTCACTACCGTACCGCCTGATCAACAGCGGTTCCCCAGTAGTGGCTGAGAACTACGGCAGTGGCGTTTCCGTTTGGCTCGACATCTTCGACCTGCTGAGGCAGGGGCGTCGACGCGTTCGAGTTCAGGGAGAGGGCAGGCGGCGCACTGCCGAGTGGGATGCCTAACCCTCCGGCTTTTTGGGTGTATCAGCATTCGCTTGGAAATAAACGCACATGACTATTCATGCCCGGCCCACATTGTTTCAGAAACACATCGCTTATAAACGGTACTCAATAGGGGAACATAAAACCTATGACTCTGCCAATTTTAATAGCGATTGGGGAGTTGTGAATTAACGGTTGGCCATAAATGTACGACAATAGTCGTGAGGACACGGCAAAAAAGCCGTTTACAAATGGCAAAAACTGATTTTTAACAACGGAAGTTGTTTCTTCACGACAGAGTTATCAACGACCGATCGTAAATTTACAACTTCGTCGTTAATTTACGATGTTGGTTCAGTAACGACAGATTCGTTACCGTTACCATACAGTAAAAAGTCGTTTGTTTACGACAATAGTCTTAGATGTAAAATGAATGTCAGTCGCTTACGGCAAAGACAGTTCATTTATGACCTGTCGTAATTTTTTTCGACTCATTTCTTTTAATTTACGGAATATATTTTCACGTGGTACAAAACCGATTCAGAGGTCATTCATTTACGTCAAAATCATTTCAGGACGATCGTGTCGCTAATTTACATTATTCTTGAGAGTGCAACCAAGCCCCAACCTCCACATAAATTGTAACTCCCTTTCCTGTTCCTTTTCTGAAGTTATAAGGACGGGGCAACATGGAAGAAACATACTAGAAAAAAGACTCTGCAATGCCATTCCTCACTGTCTTTAGGGCACTGCAAATCCGAGTTTAGGACAGGCATGCGCATCTATGTAACGTCAGTATGTGCCACGTTATACAGCTCACGCCTGTCCCACAGTGCGCAAGCAATGTATTTCAGCCCTTCTCGAATAACTGACTACGCTATCGCTCAGCCAAAATTTGAAGTCGTTCAAGGGAATAGAGATCATCGTCCGATCGGAGTGCCTTCGCCGTGCAGAAAGGGCTTGAAGAAGTGCCTGCGCGCGTAAGTAGAATAAAAGTTCGAATTGTTTCGATCTGCGCTCACTGGACGAAGTTCGAGGGGGGCAGAACTCTTCGAGATGTGACTCAGTGAAAAGAAGAGTGTAAGACAGAAACTGGAAGATCGTTCAAATTTCAAATGATGATGGAACACGTGCAAGCATCACAGAGCCAGACACATGGGTCCATGCCCTGCCGCCGCGGACCCGTCGCGTCCAGGCCGTGACGAGCCGCGTCCCGCCTGGTGTGCCTGGAGAATCCAGTGCCGCACGGCAGCGAAGACGACAGCAGCGTGGCGAGACGCTGGCAGTGCTGGCGATGAAGCGTGCGGCCGCGCACACGGAGTTGGAGCCATGGCCTCGCTAGCTGTGCGTGTGGTCGTCGTCGGTGCGCTTTGCTGCGTCCTCCGCTCCGCTGTTCAGGCAGGTGAGAGGATTCCAATCGAGCGCCATGCACCCAGAGTTGGTTCTCTTCGGAGTGGAGGATGCCCCCTCCCGTGTTGTATTCTTCTGCTGCTGTCTCTACACGCTTTGTCATGAAGGGGAGGTTCTCCTGTAAGTCTTACTTTCAAATTGAGTGCAGTCATTGAGATACATTAATTTCAAATATTAGTAAAATATGAGGTTTGCCTCCAAATCGAGCCAGGAATGAAAAGGACGCACACACACTAAATGTTATGTACAATTTTGTCCATAGTCCATCATAGTTTTTTGAGCACACGAAATTTTCGTACAAGTTTCGTACAAAATTTTGTACAAATTTGTACGAAAAGTTCGTGTGCTCAAAAGACTGTTATGTCTCGTGCAAAATTTGTACAAGTGCATCCGTGAGCAAGCCACAGGTCTGTAATAACAGAAGCGTGCACCCAGGGGGCTACCACTTGTGATGTTAGGAGACATAACATTTCTCAAGAGAAGAGATTTCGTCGGATTTCGCAAGATTTCGTCCAATTTTACGCACAAAATATGCTGGTTTTTGCCTTTTTGGGAGAAGATGTCGCATTTCCAGATATTTCAAGCGCTCTAGGCGAAACAGGGTGTCTGGAGTGGTTGGTCCCTCGACGAGAACCCAGTGCGATGTAAGGTTAAGTGCGCCTGCGATGGGCCCGGCAAGAGCAGCTGGCGTTGTTTGGAGCGGTACTGTGCATCAAAGACTCGACGAGAAACCGGTCGTCGCAAGGTCGGAGCGTTTGCCTGCCTCCCCCCTTCTTCCGAGGGGGGCCTACTGCCCACATTCATTGCACAACTGGGCGATCCTGGCGATCCACACCAAACCTACCAGGGGCAAGATTTTGATGTGTCCGATCTGGCTCAAACTTGCACCATTTGACGCCCCTAGGCCACTGAGTAGGCCTATAAAATATTTTTGACCTTCTTCAAACGGTTTGGATTCATTTTTAAAACTTAAGCGTAACTTTATGCTTGACTCAAGCATTAAGAAGACATTACGCTGAAAATTACACTTGTTACGCTTGATTCAAAGCGTAAACTGATTACCCCCGCGGGAGAATCTGCAGTCTGAATTGTACCCAGGAACTGATGTCACACTATGCTTTTAGGCACTGTTGCAAAAAGGTACGGAAAATTCTGTTTATTTTTTTGCCAGGATTCTCCGTAGCCCTCTTATCAATATTCTCCGTAGGCTCTCACAGTATTCTCCGTAGGACCTGGAAGACTGTATAGTCCTACGGAGAACACTGTAAGGTCCTACGGAGAATACTGCACCGTTAAAAATCCACTGTAATATTACAACACAATCACCTACAGTAATGCTGTTATAAAACAACAGTATTGTTTTGTGTCTGAACGGGAAACCCATCCAGAAACAGCACTTTCGTTTCATAACAATTTCCTTGTCAAGTAACAACAATGTAATCGTCATTCAAAATAGTTGTGTTGTCGTTGAACAGGTTTCATGTTTAGAAACAGCCTTTTGCAATCTTAAAACATATTTTGTTGTCAGGTTACAAGTGTCTTGTTTAATAACAGCACGATGAAATCAACACAAATGTATCGAAGACTTCATCGAAGACTCCAAAGAAGTATTGTTTCATTACAATCGAACTGTCAGAAAACAGCACCGAGGGCTACAACATGCTTGTAATAAAACAAGTCGTGCTGCTATCAAACTTAACAGCATAAGTGCTGTTAATTTACAGCCCTTTTTTTAACAGTGAACTTGGCAAGTCGAAGGCCCGGGCCTTCGGCCCGCTCGCATCACACACACCGTGAGCGGGTAAAGCAAAGTTATCGATGTACCATCGTGACTTAGGCCCGCCCTTCTATTCACAATATGCAAAAGTCCTTACAATTTTTACTCCAACTGTCCTTAGAATATGCCCATTTCATTTGTCTCTTCGCCCTCATTCCGAAAATACCCATATTTGCCATGCTACTGCAACTCCTTGCAATAGAGGCACAGCAGGAGCGCAAAAAGAGTCCGTCGCACTTTTTCCCATAACTCATGAAGGCGGGCTCCTGGACCCCCCTTCCGACCCCTCGTTGAAGAGGTCTTGCCAAGACCTATCGAAAACTTAAGTAAAAATTTTCAGTCGGTCGACCCCCTTTTTTGAAGATCCTGATGTGACTAATAGACGAAGTCGGGCTCCTGGACCCCCTTTCCGACCCCTCGTTGAAAAGGTCTAGCTGAGACCAATCGAAATCTGCAATAAATTTTTTTAGTCGGTCAACCCCCTTTTTTTGAAGATCCTGATCTGGCCAACTTGTAAAAGCGACCGATGGGGTCGAGACCAGGTCCATTCATCTTGTCTCGTCGCCCCGATTCCAAAAATACCCCTATGTGCCCTGCTAGCACCAATAATGGCGGAAATCCCCCTCCCGCTCATGCAAACCATGATGCACCTGCAGCAGCCCTTGTGCGACCCGGACGGGATTTGCACCACCGGATTATTTGTTTGGACGGTACTCCTGAAGTACCCTCCAAATCTGGTTACTCTAGCTCAACTCCTTCCTTGTACACAGACGCCAACAACAACAACAACAACAACACACAGACACAAAGGCAAATGCATAGGCCCTCCCCCTATTTTTGGAATAGAAGGGCGGGCCAAAAAATGGCCAAATTTGCCAAAAATATTATATTCAAAGTTCATAGATAAAAATGTACATAGAAGGTTTCAGATTCAACAGGTTGAACACCTATAGCTATGTAGGTAGTTCCTTCATCATTTGGAAAGAAATAACATTGAAATCAGTTGTCGTTGGCTTATACGCTCAACTTCACAGGTTTGCTGAGTCGACAAAAAGTTTTGTCGTAGAAAGACTTCCTGCGTTCCTGGTTGGCACCTACATGAGTCGTCTTGCATGGACTCTATTTATTGATGACTTGTCGACAAATTTTAGTGACGGAATCTTGGTATCAACCCTACTGTTATTTTACAAACACCTAAAAGTTTGAAAAAAAGGCAAAAAAATCACTTTTTTAAATGTTAAAATTTGAAAATTCATATCTTAGGACAGAAGTTGAAATTGAAAATTCCGTCCCTAAAATCTCTTCTATACATCTTTAGGATAACCCCCAAAAAATTTCAAGACTTTCCGTTCCAATGAAAGACGCAGAAAGATTTGTCCCCAACGCTCTAAAAAACACTAAAACGCCACTTTTTTTCAGAGACCGTTCAACGTTTTGGATTGAATTTTGTTTTGGGGAACTCAACATAATGAAACTAATAAGCAAAGTTTCAACTTTCTGGGATTATTTTAAAGCCTACTTGAAAGTTTCACCAGGGTCCTCCCTCGAGTTTTTGGCTTTATAAAGCTATTTCAACAACTTAAAATCGTCCAAATGTCGTAGTTTTTATAATGAATGAGACTTAATTATAGTGCGGGCCAGAGTTCTGCAGTGGGTGGGTTTTCTCGACCCGCCGCCGTCTTGCGCTCTTGGCCATGGTTCCACGACCCGGCCCGGCTGGGTGTGCACGGGTGGGGTCCGGACCCGACCCAGCTCTAGGAGCGGGTAGACTCTCCACCCGGGTCCCCGCACAGGCTCGACGTCTGCTGCCGAGCCGTGTCCGCAGCGCGCTAGGCTCGGCTGGCTCGTTGCGAGCCACGGCAGCGCGCCGCTCGGCCGCAGCCGTCCTTGTCTCTCCCATAGGTCCGCCTTGAGAGCGAGAGAGACGCATGATGTGCTCGCTTCGTCCAGGCAAGCGCGCACCTCAACGCCGCTCGCCGGGCCGCCAGCGACACTGCCGGCCGGTGACGGGGACCGTCCCGGAACAGTTAGACAACATTTGGCAGGGGGATGGCCAGACCGCTGCCGCTTCGCCAAGACCCGTGCATACAGTCGCTCTCTCTCGCACAGCCCAGGCGGCGGGTCGAGCCGACCCACCCATTGCAGAACTCTGGTGCGGGCCCAAACTCTGACCCCATCTTCGAAATTATGTGGAGCAAAATAGTTATCAGATGTGACATATAGTCGATTTACAAAAATACCCATCATAATTTCGGAACGAGACATGGCTTAAGGCCAGGGACAGGTGAAAAAATGATCTCAGAAACTGCTGGTCCAAAACTTCTTATTTTCTGTCAAAATCTTACTCTTGATGATAAACTATTTCACCCAAAATCCCATCCCATAATATCAAGCGGTTCCTGAGATACAGGCTTTTTTATAATTTTTTAAGTGTTTGTTAAAAAATTCCTGTGCGTTTCCCATTTTGGGTTATTGACCTGACCGACATATTTTTTTGTTCGTCTAAGTCCAAAGAACAAACGCAAGTGACAGATTTTAGTTTCCGGCACTGATAGCAAAATACCGACTTTTCAATTTTGATATTTTTCAAAAACCAAAGATTTTCCCTTTTTTTGTAAAAACCGATATCCAAAACCATACTTCTGGGTGGAATATACAAAAACTGTCACTTGCGTTTCCTCGCAATAACCTACTGAGTCAGTGGAAAAAATATCATTGACGACACTTCAAACTGTATGCGCACAGGACCATTCAAATGTTAAAAAAATGTCTTCGGAGAAAAGGGCGTTTAGAGTTTGATGACAGATTTTAATGGATTTTCAGCCAAAAAAATCTCCTTGCGCATACTATTTTATCGTAAAAGGTTGACCTGGATATTTTTCACTTCTTCGATTCATTTTTAAAAGATCCCAGCATGCACAACTGAAAATGTCCATTACATTATCATTGGCAAGCTTCTAAAGCATGCATTTCACTTAAATTGATCAACAATGTACAAAATAGACAAGTTTTAGTGACTTCTTAGATGAAAAAAGCATGTGATTACTAATATAATGGAAATTTTGAACTAGGCATGCTGGAATCTTTTTAAAATGAATCGAAGAAGTGCAAAATGTGAAGATAAGCCTTTTACGTCAAAATAGTATGCGCAAGAGGATTGTTCAAGATACGGCTAAATAAAGCCAAAACAGTCCAAAAAAGACAATTCGACTGGGTTCAAGACCTAGCATATGCCTTCAAAAATCAAATCTTAGTCTCTTTGAAGTATGATTTCATATTCCCAACAAATTATGACAGTGGGGTTCATTTTGAAAATGGCAAGATTTTCGCTAGAACCCCCCCCCCTCCCCCTTGATGGCAAAACGGACAATTTTACTAAAGTGTCGTAAATGCAGGAGTGTGCGAAAAGATGTATTTTAAGCACTTCCAGGTCCCGGATAGTCGAAGTCCCGACAGATCCTGAAAGAGGAAGGTCCAAAGGACCATTTTCCACCCAGAACTCATTTCATTCAATTTCAACAAACTTCTTCATTTTTTCACCTGTCCCTGGCCTTAACAGAAGGCTTTGGTAGGCCCCTGCCCCTACAACCAGTAAAAATTTCAGAATTAACATGAGAAAACTTTGGTTGTGTTCTGGTTGTTATTTGGCTCCGAGAGCATTGAAAGGGATTGAAATAAGTCCATTGAAGTGTTTCTAACTAACGGCCTTTGAATAGAAACTGGATAGATGATAACAAAAATTTCACGACAGTCTCCTTTCTTTATCCTACGAATACAGACTAAGGGAGAGTGGGGTAATTCCGGACGCTTTTTTTCTTTTTGGTCTTTGAGCTTGAATATGCTTCTTGGGTCAAATGTTATTGGAGGAGAGTAAAGTATGGACCTTTACCTTCAAAATGAAAGCCAAATCTCAGCAACGGTTAGGGAGATATAGGCGCCCAACAAAAGCCCTGCAAGTGTCCGGAATTGCCCCAGGCTGGGGTAATTTCGGACGACCTATGGGGCAATTCCGGACGACCTTAATATTTGACACCACTCGAGCTTACATTCGCTTGTTTTGATGTGAGGCATGCTTTCAGCAGGCGCACAAGGACATTTGCTGCGAACTGAAGTGTTTGATTTATTACTCAAAGCATATTATAAGAAATAGTTTCTATCAAAACCCCTAAATTGACAACACTGTCTTGAGTAAAGCTCTTGAACATAGCTGCTATGCTATTTTTCGTTCTTTCTTTATCCTTCTGAACGGTGGGGATGCATGTCCACAATTTTGAACGCACTACCTTAACATTATGCGGGAAATTGAAGAAAATAACCCCTCTTGTCCGGATTTACCCCACAGGTAGTGAAAACCTTTGATGTTCAATTGTAAGAAAACGGCGAGCCATACGAGCAATCCCGAAAGGTTGAAGTAAAGTCCATTGACCATTTAATATGATAAAATTTTAGTCATGGGACTGAACTTGACGGTAAGGTACGATGAGTACATGGAAATACGAGGGAAAGATGCAGCTTTTGCCTATTTTTGATGGTACTCAAATTTCGTGAAGCGACCACAGCCAAACGGTTTGACCTCCTACCTTGGCGATTTGGAATTATCATTTTTAACTGATTATCTTCCTCTGTTACGCGGGCTTTTGAGTTATCTTAACTCAAACCCAGTGAAAATCGAAGTGTCCGGAATTACCCCGTGTCCGGAATTACCCCACTCTCCCTTACTCATTCAATCAGACACGACCTTTCCCCTTCACGACACACATAAAACCCCGAAGCCTATGAGGCCTTGCCTTTTGCTCTTACCCGTGCATCAAGGTACGGAATTTTCAACAGTAAATGGTCGTTGATCGTTCCCCCAGCTTCGTGCCCGCCGCTGCGTTCCACAACGGTGCTCGTGGAATGCCAGCGCAACGGCGAGCCCTTCGACTGCACGACGCAGCCCTCCGCGCCCGGGACCGTGGCCTGGTTCCGCTGCAGGGCCCTGCACCAGCTCCCGTTCGGCTTCCCGCCCGCCGCCGGCTCCGAGTCCCGCTGCGAGCCGAGCGGGGCGTGGAGCGTGCGACCCTTTCGCTGCGTGCCGAGTACGTATACCGAAACTCACTCTCAAAACCTTACAAACTACTTGCTGCCTTTCAAACAAAAGAAGCTTGTCATATCAAAGTATACTTTGAGCATACCTAAGCTTTCAAAAAACGTTCCTCGTAATTTACGAATTATTTCTTCATGTAACAAACTTAATCACTGAAAATAGAAAGGTCAGACTTTTGTGCCTTTTAAGGGTCATACTTCAATGACTAAGCAGAAAAGGGTCATACTTCGATGTATTACCTAAAAAGGGTCATTCTTCAATGTCTCACCAAACAAGCTAGGGCCCGCCCTTCCGTCGAACCGAGTTGCCAGCTCCGCTTCGCTGCGCCGGCAACTCGGTTCGACAGGGGGCCGGCCCAGCTTGGCCTGCCGGCGGCCTTTTCTCGGGCCTTCGGCCCTCGCATCAGACCCAACTTGGCCAGTCGAAGGCCCGGGCCTTTGGCCCGCTCGCATCACACACACCGTGAGCGGGTAAAGCAAGGTTATCGATGTACCATCGTGACTTAGGCCCGCCCTTCTATTCACAATATGCAATAGTCCTTACACTTTTTACTCCAACTGTCCTTAGAATATGCCCATTTCATTTGTCTCTTCGCCCTCATTCCGAAAATACCCATATTTGCCATGCTACTGCAACTCCTTGCAATAGAGGCACAGCAGGAGCGCAAAACAAGTCCGTCGCACTTTTTCCCATAACTCATGAAGGCGGGCTCCTGGACCCCCCTTCCGACCCCTCGTTGAAGAGGTCTTGCCAAGACCTATCGAAAACTTAAGTAAAAATTTTCAGTCGGTCGACCCCCTTTTTTGAAGATCCTGATGTGACTAATAGACTTAAGTCGGGCTCCTGGACCCCCTTTCCGACCCCTCGTTGAAAAGGTCTTGCTGAGACCAACCGAAATCTGCAATAAATTTTTTTAGTCGGTCGACCCCCTTTTTTGAAGATCCTGATGTGACTAATAGACGAAGTCGGGCTCCTGGACCGCTTTCCGACCCCTCGTTGAAAAGGTCTTGCTGAGACCAATCGAAATCTGCAATAAATTTTTTTAGTCGGTCGACCCCCTTTTTTGAAGATCCTGATCTGGCCAACTTGTAAAAGCGGCCGATGGGGTCGGGACCAGGTCCATTCATCTTGTCTCGTCGCCCCGATTCCAAAAATACCCCTATGTGCCCTGCTAGCACCAATAATGGCGGAAATCCCCCTCCCGCTCATGTAAACCATGATGCACCTGCAGCAGCCCTTGTGCGACCCGGACGGGATTTGCACCACCGGATTATTTGTTTGGACGGTACTCCTGAAGTACCCTCCAAATCTGGTTACTCTAGCTCAACTCCTTCCTTGTACACAGACGCCAACAACAACAACAACAACAACAACAACAACAACACACAGACACAAAGGCAAATGCATAGGCCCTCCCCCTATTTTTTGAATAGAAGGGCGGGCCAAAAAGGGGTCATACTTCGATGTATGACCCAAAAAAGGGTCACTTTTGTGAATGACAGATATAGGTTGATATATCCCTATGCTAACTGAGGACCACACTCTCAGACTCGTGTTGACTTTTTTCTCTCCAATATTGACAGTTTGTCCTTTGCTTACGTAGTTTTTGGCCCGCCCTTCTATTCAAAAAATAGGGGGAGGGCCTATGCATTTGCCTTTGTTTCTGTGTGTTGTTGTTGTTGTTGTTGTTGTTGTTGTTGGCGTCTGTGTACAAGGAAGGAGTTGAGCTAGAGTAACCAGATTTGGAGGGTACTTCAGGAGTACTGTCCAAACAAATAATCCGGCGGTGCAAATCCCGTCCGGGTCGCACAAGGGCTGCTGCAGGTGCATCATGGTTTACATGAGCGGGAGGGGGATTTCCGCCATTATTGGTGCTAGCAGGCCACATAGGGGTATTTTTGGAATCGGGGCGACGAGACAAGATGAATGGACCTGGTCCCGACCCCATCGGCCGCTTTTACAAGTTGGCCAGATCAGGATCTTCAAAAAAGGGGGTCGACCGACTAAAAAAATTTATTGCAGATTTCGATTGGTCTCAGCAAGACAAAAGGGGGTCGGAAAGGGGGTCCAGGAGCCCGACTTCGTCTATTAGTCACATCAGGATCTTGAAAAAAGGGGGTTGACCGACTGAAAATTTTTACTTAAGTTTTGGATAGGTCTTGGCAAGACCTCTTCGACGAGGGGTCGGAAGGGGGGTCCAGGAGCCCGCCTTCATGAGTTATGGGAAAAAGTGCGACGGACTCGTTTTGCGCTCCTGCTGTGCCTCTATTGCAAGGAGTTGCAGTAGCATGGCAAATATGGGTATTTTCGGAATGAGGGCGAAGAGACAAATGAAATGGGCATATTCTAAGGACAGTTGGAGTAAAAAGTGTAAGGACTATTGCATATTGTTAATAGAAGGGCGGGCCTAAGTCACGATGGTACATCGATAACGTTGCTTTACCCGCTCACGGTGTGTGTGATGCGAGCGGGCCGAAGGCCCGGGCCTTCGACTGGCCAAGTTGGGTCTGATGTGAGGGCCGAAGGCCCGAGAAAAGGCCGCCGGCAGGCCAAGCTGGGCCGGCCCCCTGTCGAACCGAGTTGCCGGCGCAGCGAAGCGGAGCTGGCAACTCGGTTCGACGGAAGGGCGGGCCCTAGCTTGTTTAAGCAGCAATAATATGCAGTATTTCCTTTGTAACCATGTACAATATTGTTCACCATAAATACTTAATTGTCATCAATTATTGACTATTTTTTAAGTCAATTGCGTGACTCTTTGTCAATAGCAACTTGACTTTATGTCAATATAACGAAGAAAATCCTACATAAATATTGAGGAAATTGTACTTTTTATTGCTGTGTAAAATACTCTTTTACAAAGGACAAAAGGTCAATAACAGTCTGAGATGGAGTCTCGCCACTGTCTGACCTTTCTTTGGTCATACATTTAAAAAGACCCTCATGTTGCAGTTCTCTAGGGAGCGAGGTGGATTGGATGGGAACCGATAAATGGAGGTGTCCTATTCAAAAGATCGCTAGGCGTTCTCCCCGAAATATAATCTTTCCTTTCGGACATTGCCACTCACCTCCAGATCACCAGCCTTTACCCTCGAGGTGTCGTGCGTTTTGCAGTTTGCGGGCGCCCCACGGGCAGGCCGACGGCGCTGGTGCGCGACGGCGAGGCGGTGGAGTCCGCCGCGGACTACCCGTGGCACGTGACGGTGTACGACGTGACGCGCGACATGAAGCAGATCTGCGGCGGCTCCCTCGTCACACCCAAGTTCTTCGTGTCTGGTAAGGGTGAAATAGTTTCAGACGGGGACTTATGAGAAGAAATCAGGTCAAAATAGAGTGAGGCGAGAATGAGGGACTGCGTTGCCGTCCTGGAGCTTTCGCAGCTCCATTCTCATATACCGAAATTCTAGGGGTACATCTTCTCAACCTCAATCGATGTTTTTCCCAATATTCACTGACGTTTGTGCGCATTAATAGAATTTCGTTCAGAAGCGTAACAGATTTGTCAAGTATTGATTGATATTACGTACATATTACGTTTTCCAAAAAAAAGAAAAACTTGCAGCAAAAGATAACAAGGTAGGTTTACGGCAGACCGCGTCTTGTCGTAACAGGCTTCGCGATGTCTCGCGGCCTGTTCCTCCAATCCGCGCCTGGCGTACCTACCTTGGCCTGCGGCGCTAGCCTGCCTTCGGCAGGCATTGGCTTGTCCATCGTCGGTTACTTCTTACGTGTTGCATGCTGGGGGGCTCCGCCCCCCAGACCCCCCTTAATTCTAGATAGAGTTGCTTCATCTACAGATAACACGATCTTGACCCTTGTCACTTTTTAACTTGTCGAAACTGGGGGGCTCCGCCCCCCAGACCCCCCTCTCTTCAAGACAGAGGTAATCTACCTGCAGAAAACTCGATTTTTCGCCGTTTTTTAGGTGTTTTTCGGCTATAAAAACTGAACCAGTTGAGCTAGGATAGTGAAATTTCGCGTGTGCCGAGCCAAGAACATACCTAATAAGCCTGCAAAGTCTCAGCCAGATCGGCCGAGCCGTTCAGGAGGAGTAGTGTACACACACACACACACAGACACACAGACAGACAAAACTTTTCAACCGCACTGGAGTAACGGGCTTCGCTATCGCTCAGCCAAAAATTCAATACGAGACTGATCTGTCTCTCGAGAGTGCAACGTTTTTCTTGATTGCTTCTCTGCTTCCGATCCAGATATCTCTAATGCACCCGGTTCAGGTGAATTAACCTACGTCGCCATGAGGCGGGGGAGTGAGAATGCACTGCGCCAATTTGTGTTGCAGCCGCGCACTGCTTCCACGACAATGACCGGGCCCTGCCCGCCGGACAGTACATGGCGGGCTTTGCCAAGACCAAGAGGAGCGCCAACGTGACCGAGCCCCAGGCACAGTTTCGCCCGGTAAGGCATCCGTCCAAATTTACCCCCTAATATTTGTTCCGTCGCTCTTTTGCTTTTCTGGCACTGGAGTTCGGAACGTTAGACATCTCATCTTCTGAGAGGTGAAGACCGAAGTGAAATAGTTAAGGAAGTCCCAATTCTTCTGGTTTCGATCATAACGGCACGTTGTACGAGTCTCTGTGCGAAATCTCCCTGCCGAAGATCAACAATTGCGCCCCGGGGCCTTGGGTCACGTGTAATATTATCATTCCGAGAAAAACTTGGTTGAAGAACACCGCTTTTACACTGATGTTTGGCTAGTAGGCTCCTGAAGTAGGCTTTGATCGTTAGAAACGCGGTTTTCAGCTTTCAACGCAGAAAAGAACGCACTGTTTTTGAAACAATAACAAGGTAGGTTTACGCCAGACCGCGTCTTGTCGTAACAGGCTTCGCGATGTCTCGCGGCCCGTTCCTCCAATCCGCGCCTGGCGTACCTACCTTGGCCTGCGGCGCTAGCCTGCCTTCGGCAGGCATTGGCTTGTCCGTAGGCGGTTACTTAATGCATGCTGGGGGGCATAGCCCCCCAGACCCCCCTTCATTATAGATAGAGTTGCTTCATCTACAGATAACACGATCTTGACCCTTGGAACTTTTTAACTTGTCGGGGCTGGGGGGCTCCGCCCTCAGACCCCCCTTCCTTAACGTCAGAGGCGATCTGCCTGCAGAAAACTCGATTTTCCGCCGTTTTTTAGGTGTTTTTCGGCTATAAAAACTGAACCAGTTGAGCTAGGATAGTGAAATTTCGCGTGTGCCGAGCCAAGAACATACCTAATAAGCCTGCAAAATCTCAGCCAAATCGGCCGAGCCGTTCAGGAGGAGTAGTGTACACACACACACAGACACACAGACAGACAGACAGACAGACAGACAGGAAAAACTTTTCAACCGCACTGGAGTAACAGGCTTCGCTATCGCTCAGCCAACAAGCTAGGGCCCGCCCTTCCGTCGAACCGAGTTGCCAGCTCCGCTGCGCTGCGCCGGCAACTCGGTTCGACAGGGGGCCGGCCCAGCTTAGCCTGCCGGCGGCCTTTTCTCGGGCCTTCGGCCCTCGCATCAGCAGTCGAAGGCCCGGGCCTTCGGCCCGCTCGCATCACACACACCGTGAGCGGGTAAAGCAAAGTTATCGATGTACCATCGTGACTTAGGCCCGCCCTTCTATTCACAATATGCAATGGTCCTTACACTTTTTACTCCAACTGTCCTTAGAAAATGCCCGTTTCATTTGTCTCTTCGCCCTCATTCCGAAAATACCCATATTTGCCATGCTACTGCAACTCCTTGCAATAGAGGCACAGCAGGAGCGCAAAAAGAGTCCGTCGCACTTTTTCCCAACTCATGAAGGCGGGCTCCTGGACCCCCCTTCCGACCCCTCGTTGAAAAGGTCTTGCCAAGACCTATCCAAAACTTAAGTAAAAATTTTCAGTCGGTCGACCCCCTTTTTTCAAGATCCTGATGTGACTAATAGACGAAGTCGGGCTCCTGGACCCCCTTTCCGACTCCTCGTTGAAAAGGTCTTGCTGAGACCAATCGAAATCTGCAATAAATTTTTTTAGTCGGTCGACCCCCTTTTTTGAAGATCCTGATCTGGCCAACTTGTGAAAGCGGCCGATGGGGTCGGGACCAGGTCCATTCATCCTGTCTCGTCGCCCCGATTCCAAAAATACCCCTATGTGCCCTGCTAGCACCAATAATGGCGGAAATCCCCCTCCCGCTCATGTAAACCATGATGCACCTGCAGCAGCCCTTGTGCGACCCGGACGGGATTTGCACCACCGGATTATTTGTTTGGACGGTACTCCTGAAGTACCCTCCAAATCTGGTTACTCTAGCTCAACTCCTTCCTTGTACACAGACGCCAACAACAACAACAACAACAAACAGACACAAAGGCAAATGCATAGGCCCTCCCCCTATTTTTTGAATAGAAGGGCGGGCCAAAAAACGTGACGTTTTGACCGCTTGTGAGTAATGTTCCTCTTAACGAAAAAAGAGACGCTTATTTTGCAGGCCAACGTTAATCGGTTTACAGAAAAAGTGTGTGAAAAATGTGTAAAACGTAAATAATGATTTTGTGTGAAACCGTTCAGGCTAAATTCCATTGGTCAAAGCTTCAGAATGTGAAATACGTAAATTATGTGAACCGTCTTAGAACCCTTCACTGGTACTTTGACAAAGTGACGAAAGTCCACCATCTCTTATTTTTCAGGAGAGTCAAAAAAAGTCTAAAATTTGAGCTGCAAAATAGAGTTTTGGGATTTGATGGTTGAGTTTTACACCATAGAATCCTGAAGGCATGAGTGTTCTTTAGGTTCAAGAGCCATTGCAATCGGCATCTTAGTTCCCGAGATAGAGGACATTCGCCATTTGTCAGCGTACGAAAATGAGGTCAGAACGACGAAAGTCCAACCGTACTTTGACAAAACGACGAAAGTCCAACCGTACTTTGATAAAACGACGAAAGTCCATACGTAATTTGACAATATGGTGAAAGTCCACCTTTACTGCTAACACAAATTAAATGAAACTTTTCAACTCTAGCATGTTTTATGTTCATGCCGTCACTGAACTCATGAATAATTATCTTAATTGGAAAGCAATAGTTAACTAAGACCGGTTTTTGCAGTTGGGACTTTCGTCATATTGTCAAAGTACGGTTGGACTTTCGTCGTTTTGTCAAAGAACGGCTGGACTTTCGTCATTTTGTCAAAGTACAGTTGGACTTTCGTCATTTTGTCAAAGTACAGTTGGACTTTCGTCATTTTGTCAAAGTACAGTTGGACTTTCGTCATTTTGAAGTATTTTCCTACGCTGAATCTATTAGAGATATCGACATATGCTTTTCACCAGTCGACAGGAAATCAAAAGTTCTAGAACGCAGCCAAAAATCTCATTTTATCAAAATTTTGGACTTTCGTCACTCTGTCGCCTTCCACTATAATACAGAGAATCTTCACTACCTACGACCTTTGGAGAGTAATTTCCCACCGTCGTCCGTGAACTGTTCCCGATGCCTTCAGGTGGCCCAGATCCACATGAAGGACTACGGTGCCCGGAAGCTGCACTACGTCAACGACATCGCGCTGGTGGAGCTGGAGGCCGAGGTGGCAGTGACGGCGTGGACGCTGCCTGTGTGCGTGGACTGGGGACAGGACCTGCCGGACCTGCGCAGCGGCGAGGAGGGCACGGTGAGCTCTCTGGTCAAGGAAGAGCGCGGTTAAAAGTATATCGCATCTGCAACAAGTGATCCGGGAAGCGGAAGAACGGGATAATTCGACTTCTTATTTTTGTGCCGGAGGATGGTTTGCATCTTTACACCAAATCTTAATCCAAAGTCAATGCAATCAACGGTTTAGGAGAAAATCCACTTAAGAAAGGGATATAACTCAACTTGACCCCCTCTACGGTAATTATTATTGTCTTAATTTTATCGGAAAATAGAGCTAACTCAACCGAAGTCCACTTAGCTCCTTTGCACAAAATGGCAAAAGGAGATAACTCAAATTGTGTCTTTATGAATCTTATGTAAAAAGAATCAACTCAACTTAACTCCACATCGTTAGTTGGAAAAAAGAGGTAACTCCAAAAATGTACCTCAGAACTCTATGCAGACCTCAGCTCCACTTGAATTGTCTCCGAATACCGCCTTGTTTTGGAGAACTAAGTAAACATGGTTCCGTAGTCCATTCCAACGTAAAGATTTAAATCAGAAACCGTCTACAGAGGGATGCTACACCTTTGAAAATTTTCACAGCTATTTCTTGGGGTTTCTTGACAAAAATGCAATTGCATCATTCATCTGATTGGATTAGGCCTAAGTTTACACTGCAAACAGTTTTTTGTTTCTCCTGAAAAATGATGAAAATTGAGTTATCCCCTTCTTTCGCTTTATGGATCAAGTATGAGTGCTCATTAGGGGGCGTCATACTCAGGTGACCTTCGATTTCAGCATGCGGGTGTGACTCAAAATTTTCGTTTTTTAGTGCTGAGTTCAGATTCGTGTCGGGTTTTGCGATCGGACTGCGTCTTGATCACCCTACCCGACGATTTATGTCAAAAAGCGGCGAAAATTCGTTTTTTCCCATTGTTTTGCCCCCTTGAGTTCGGGGTGGCGGTTTCTCGACCAGATCGCCTTCACTCACTCTAGACACGACTCTTCCAACCACCAGAGTCCATGTGAGCCACCCCATTTGGAGCCTAGGCCTCAAAACATGCCAAAATTTGGTGAAAAAAATGAAAATTTTCACCGTTTTTTGACATTTTTGAGCCATTTTGAGCCCCACATCGCCCCCTTAGGTGACCTGTATGGGAAAAAAGGAGGAAGGGTGTGTAGGAAAGGCAGCGCAGCGCCGGGGCATCGCCCGGGGTGTCGTGGAGGGCGGCTTTGAGTCGGCAAAAACAGGATTTTTTCGAAAAATTGAAGAAAATGGTCGAAGCAGCCGCTTTAGCTGCGGCAGCGAATGTGCAGGTCTTAGCTCGTTAAGCAAGTTTGCTGTGCCTACCCAGGGCTCACCACGGGGAGTTGCCTGCACGTCGAGCCCCGCCCGCCCACCCGACCGGGCGTAGCGTTTAGCTGCGTTTAACGCTGCTTTATCGGCCATCGAAATACAAAGCCTCTGGTTGAGAGCACTCCGCCAGACCCGCAGCATTGACTCCTCCCATGACCCCCCATTTTTTTCAATTTTTCGAAAAAATCCTGTTTTTGCCGACTCCAAGCCGCCCTCCACGACACCCCGGGCGATGCCCCGGCGCTGCGCTGCCTTTCCTACACACCCTTCCTCCTTTTTGTCCATACAGGTCACCTAAGGGGGCGATGTGGGGCTCAAAATGGCTCCAAAATGTCGAAAAAACGGTGAAAATTTTCGTTTTTTCACCAAATTTTGGCATGTTTTGAGGCCTAGGCTCCAAATGGGGTGACTCACATGGACTCTGGTGGTTGGAAGAGTCGTGTCTAGAGTGAGTGAAGGCAATCCAGTCGAGAAACCGCCACCCCGAACTCAAGGGGGCAAAACAATGGGAAAAAACCAATTTTCGCCGCTTTTTGACATAAATCGTCGGGTAGGGTGATCAAGACGCAGTCCGATCTCAAAACCCGACACGAATCTGAACTCAGCACTAAAAAACGAAAATTTTGAGTCACACCCGCATGCCGAAATCGAAGGTCGCCTGAGTATGACGCCCCCTAGTGCTCATGAGGGCATCAGGTCGGTCTCTATCGAGGGCTCTGCCACTGACTAAAATTTTGTACAATGGAGCGTGTTTACACTCAAGTCAGCCATGCTTTTGGCCCACTTATGGGCGTTTGTCTCACAATTTGCTTAATTTGCCTACTGCGAAAATTTACACTGGTGAGAAGAATTGTAGACTGGAAGTACGGAAATAAGTACGAAACGTCCTTCCTTGTTGCAAATTAACTCATGGAATCAGGGAAAAAAATATGGGGAGGTTCCGTAGTCGGCAGGTACTGACGGCCCAGGCAAATTATTGACCAGGACCAAACGTGTTCCATCCTTCTTGCCTCCCTGTTTAATGGATTCACGTGACAAGGCGCTTTTCAGCTGGAAGCGTCAGATTTGGAAAGAAAAAAGAGTTAATGGCACTGTGGAAACCAAAACCGCTTTGATGAAAGGTCTCTGAGAGTGTAAAGAAACTGTAAGCTTTATGTGGCAGGTCGTCGGGTTTGGCGATAATGCCCTGGCGGCGAGTGAGACCCTGCGCTTCGCCAGGTTGCCGTTTCTACGCCGGGAAGACTGCCAGAAGCTCGTCATCGACAAGCTCGCTATCTTCAACCTGCTGCCCGACAAGTACTGCGTCGGCTTCCTCAACAGTAGGTAGCGATAGCGATGTTGGTGCACTATACATGGCTTACGTAGACCTTTCTCACTATAAAGTAAATACCGAGAGTACAAGACAAACTTAGTTTTTTCATCAGACGAAGGATTTTTTTTTAATCTCACTGTGGATATTTAAATGTTGAGTGTCTCTTCACAGAAATTTTGCTTAGTTTTGTGGTTGCGCTGAATCGATCCATGAAGCGGAAAGAGAGGATCTCCCTATTTTAACCATTTTTCAGGAGGAGCAAAAATAGACTCTTGGAAGGGAAAATCAAAACCAAACAAATTAATGATGCAGATGGAAAATTGTCTTTAAAGATTTCCAGGGAGCCCCCGGGAAAACTGGGAACCGGTTTTACCGTGTAGGAAATTCGGAGTCAAGTTTTTCCCCGCTCGCGCTTCCTGGATCGATCCACTGTAGCACAGCTGAAAGTTTTCCGAGACGTTCAGGGTGCATGGCAACGGCGTGGAGTCAAACGGCCCGGTCTCACAGCCTGCTACTTGCAGACACCTCGGTGGCTCCGGGCGACAGCGGGGGCGGCATGGCCTTCCCCAGCGAGGACCGCGCGTGGTTCCTGCGCGGCATCGTGTCCGTCGGCAGCTCTACGGAGACCACCTACTCGTTCTTCACCAACGTGACGGCCTTCGTGCCGTGGATGGCCGGCATCATCCGCCAGGGCGTGGTGGGCAGCCCTCCGAGCATGCACTCTTAAAACCTTACGAAGTATTTTGAGCATACATAACGAACTAAAATACTTTGTTATATGAAGAAATAGTTCGTAAATTACGAAGTATTTTCTTTGTAAGCTTATGTATGCTCAAAATACTTTGTTGTACAAACTACTTTTCTTTGTAAGGTCCAAAATAGATTGTAAGGTTTTCTCATTGTGCACCTTTCTGCACAGTAACTGGAACCCCTCCAGAGCAAACCTTCGTGTCTTTTCTTGGCGCTAGGAAACTCTCCTGATTCGTTACGGCACGGTGCGAGGGCACCAGGGACCATCTTAACTCGCACTGTACAATGCCTGTAGCATTTCAAGTGCCTTGCAAGTTGGCGATAGTTTCCTGGCATTCATATGGTTGCGCTCTGGCGATTTAAAATGGCCTTCTTTGGAGGGGTTGAAATGTCTACGGGCACGTTTTGTAAAAAAAAAAACTAAAAAAAAACGAGCGCAATTCTGTGCATTGCCGAGAACGGTGACTAAATTTTAGCCATTCAGTTACTTATTTGTCACGGACTGGTCAGTATTTTCTTGCCTGGTTTGTTCATGCACAGAACTGTCCAGTTCCTAACGAAAATATAATTAAAAGATGTGTGGGCGACCAGCCATGAATCACTCACATTCAGCATGGTTCGTTCGGACAGCTAAGCAGCCGGCGCTGCGGCGTGGACGTAGCTGAGTCAATCGCGGTGGACGGCGCCACCGCCGACCGCCAGGACTTCCCCTGGGAGGTGGACGTTTACTTAAAGTGGACTTCGAACCGCGACTTCGAGAGGCTGTGGCCTGGCGTCCTGGTCAAGCCCAACCTGGTCATCACGTGTGAGTGGAGATACATAACATACCGGTTCGGCACAGTGGGCCAGAAGACCGGTGGAGGCGGACAAAACTCTACTCTGGAGCTCAAAACGCGTCTAGAGGCTTGTCCGCCTCCACCGGTCTTCTGGCCCACTGTGTTCGGCCAGGGCCTGAGGGTGACCATTGACGACATCCGAGCCGCTTTGGTACTTTTTCATGTAATGGTGGTGAGGGGCGATTGCTCGGGCGATTGACAAATGTTTAGGTCCCTGGGCCCATTATTGAGGTCAGGGTGATCAGTTTTATATTTCTCTAAACTTTTTTTCGACGTTCATGTCGACATTGCGTCACTTACTCCCTTTCTTGGCTCTCCATGGCACAATAATAACGCTAGCTTGATTATTTTATGCATCACTCAAAAGAAAACAAGAACCAGTCTTGCCTGGCTGATGTATGTCCTCTTTTCTGTTGCCCTGAGATCCATCTTCGTGCACTTCGGCCTAAGAGTACGGAAAATTCTGTTCATTTTTTTTTTGCCAAGATTTTCTGTAGGACTATAGTTTTCTGGAAGTCTGCATAGTCTTACGGAGAACACTGTAACGTCCCTCGGAGAAAATTACCACAAGCTACACAGAATTTTCCGTAGCTTTTTGCCACAGTGTGGATTCTGCCGAAATCCACGCGCACGGTCAAAGCTGTACATGGGTTTTCCAGGTTGCTCCTGGAAAATCGACCCCCTTTTCCAGGGTGGGCCTGGAAATCCCAGGTGGTGCTTTTGCCGTGCGACCTGATGGCCTTCTTTCTGCAGCAAAGGGGCGCTACCAATCGAAATACGAAGAGAGATACTCGTTCGAACTGTCGGAGTACCCAGCGTCCTGGTTCCGAGTTGCTTCGAGCCATAACTCGCCGCCGATGCTGGCGGACAACACTGGAAACGTGAGTGAGGTGGTGCGGCTGTTCTATCCGGAAGACGTCATCAGCAAATCCGGCGTCCTCTTCAGTTTTGCTCTGATGGAGCTAAAGCAACCTCTGCACCTGATGCCAGTGTGCGTGGACTGGACCGGTAGCGCGCAGCTACAGAACGGGCACTTTGGAACGGTGAGCTGCAGCACTCCGATCTCAGACTCGTACTGAGTTTCTGTTTGGAAACGTACTGACGTTCGTGCGCATAAATAAGCGTTTTAACAGTTTTATTTGTTTGACGAACATTATTATAAATCTCGTCGTAACGAATTTTTAACAAAACTCTATTAATGCGCACACACGTAAATGAATACTGATAGAATGTCGATTGAAGGATGAGAGGAAGGATTCAAGGAACGTGACGTCATAGTTTTTGTTGAAATGAGAGTGTGAATTTAGTCACGTTCGTTTGAATAAGACGTCACATTGGTTGTAACGTGACACAGCCGATCTCCTCAACCCAAAGGCATGTGAATAAAAAATTTTGAAATGTTTTCGACAAGTTTTGTCGAAGTAGGAAATTTTTTCATCTTACTCAAAAGACGCGGCAGATGATTTTAAATTATTTATTTTTTAAAAGATCAACTAAGAAGAAAGGTTGTCAGTTGTATCTCATCTGGTCTTGCTTAGTTTCATTGATATGATCTTATTTGACATCATACGTATCTAAATGATTGTGACATTCGCATTCTAACGAATATGGCGTCACTTTCTTTGAACACAAGTGAGAGCAACGTGCCGCTGCAGTGTTCATAATACCAGTGCTTTCCCAAACGTATGCAGACTTACTTCGAGACGCCACCCAACAACACTCGAGTGTGGAAGCGCTACTCACTCGTCAACGCCAGCGAGTGTGACTACGTCTCGAAGGCGTCCTCAGCGGGCCACCATTTGTGCATTTTTCACCAAGGTAGGGCCACCATCTGACTAACTAACTCCACGCAGAGTTCCTTGAAAAGAAATAAATTGAGAATTTACCGAACATCTGGACATTTACTTTTATTTTGCTGAAGGTTTTGTGAATTCACGAGAAATCCTCTTAGGAATTGAGTACAGTCTTTGTGAGTTCACCAAGGTTTTTTTGGTCACTATTTGAGTCTAGAGGTATCGTTGTTCATTCTTGAGGCGTTTTCGTAAGTGAAAATTTCTTACGAGGAAAGTTCTGCGTAATGATACTAAGGAAATGATGCGAGCGAAATACATTCTGTTCGTATTGCGAAGTTTTTTTTTATCTTACAATAAAATACCTCAAGAGGAGACATGAAGGAGACATTGCGCTTCGCATGCACGGCATACGAAGTTCACATCGTTTGCGCCCAATTCACTTACATGTCACAAATTTCATTGTAATACATTTAGAGTGCATGGACGGATCGACAACCCTTTTCAGGAGGGGAGTCGCGCCACCGATCTCGCAGCCTATTGGTCAACGTGGACGACGCGTGGTACCTGCGTGGCATTTGGTTCTACTCGGACGCGCGAAGGACTGGCGGCTCCGTGGCGGTCTACACGGACATGAGCCACCCGGATGTGCTGCAGTGGCTGGACACAACCGAAGACAAGCTCGGCGAACCCGAGGTGAGACCTAGCAGGGGGCACCCTGAACTCTTCTCTGCGAAGTGTGTGCCAAACACGCACTACATAGAGTCAACCACAGTGCACCATCTGTAGAAATTTGTTGTCTCTTAAATGAGGAAAAAAAAACTGTATGACATTGCCATCACATGAAAATGGCGACAATTTCATCACAATTTGATTACATTTTTCACCAGAGCTCCCATACCTATTGTTTTAAGTGACAACAGAGTCATCGACAGATTTAAAGACTTTCTTGTGTAAGGGAAATAAACATTCAAATTGCCATCAAGTATCACAAAGATTTTACTTGGAGCCCTTGAATTTTCAGAGTAACGGTCTTACGGTGACCAACGTGGTGCATACCACAATACAAAATAAATTCGACCAAACATTTAGGAGTGTGTGTAAAGCACTTTTACAAAGATGTGCGTTGATGTTGCAGTGCGGGCACATGACCCTGTGCGAGCCACTCTCGTCGTCCAGGACTGTGCCGGGGCACATGCCGTGGAGTGTGGTGGTGGGTGACAGGCAGGGCCACCCCGCGGGGCCAGGGCAGCTGGTCCGTTTCAACGCCGTGCTCACGAGTGAGTACTTCATCATGTGTGCTCCGCTCACTTCATATGAGCAAATTTATTTTATGTGTGCAACGTCTTTCCATAAGCCCTTCTCGTTTTGATCATTTTTTCCCCTCCATGCCCTCATGCACTCCCAAGATCCTACTGAGCTTTTTCTTTGCAATACGAACAAAAAGAGTAGTTATTACGGCGCAGTGTGCAAAGTTCTCAGTAATCCGTGACCCGTTTCGTCGTATTATCAACAATTTCTCCGTATTATGATAGATTTGTATCGTAAATGTCTGAGAATGAACGTACTATTATGACTGCATAGCATTTTTTAGTAGGAAGTTGGGATTGTGGGTAGAAAAACATCGTAAACTATTACGTCGCTAAAAAAAAATGGGCCGCTATTTTTTGGCCCGTCCCGTTTATTTTTTGTAAAAAAATGACGGAGGGACGGGCATATAGTATGATGCATGCTGTGCGTCCGTTCGTTCGTTCGTTCGTCCGTTCGTTCGTCCGAGGACTTCCCGTGGTCCGATCTTGACCAAATTTGGTATGCAGCCTCCTTGGGTGACCCTAAGAACCGCCCGGTGGCAGCAAATCCGATCCGAGCCCCGGGGGCGCTGCTGCAGGTGCATCATGGTCTACATGGGGTCCAGGAGGATCTCGGCAACGGATGCAGCTAGGAGGGCATGTAGGGGTATTTTTGGAATCGGGGTGACGAGAGAAAACCAATGGTGCCAGTTTCGAGCAAATCGGAGAAGTTCGGACCCGGGTTCAAATCCCAGCGGGGTATTTTTGGAACATTCTTTTTATTCGAGTTTTTGCATTGTTTCTGATGTTTTGGAGGGTGCTGATGACGAAAACGACATTTATTTTAACCCCAGACTCAGATTTAATTCCCGTCAGGGTCAAACATAGGAGAAATTCGTACGTTTCTTAATGTACGGGACGGGCCAAAGTTGCCGATGTATACCCCGTAAACAAAACTACTATCAAAAGTAGTACTGTCGTACTACCATTTCGGAGCTCTGTACATCCCAAAATGTAGTACGGAAGGAGTACCTTATGAAACAAAAAAGGCATCCGAAAGAAGTACTGCCGTGCTACATTTCAGGACGTCTCTTTCGGGAGCACTTCGGGACGTCGGAAACGGTAGGTCTGTGAGAGGTCTTTCGGAGGTCCCCCACCACCCGTCGCAGCGCCCTGCGGCCATGTAGTTCCGAAGGTGACCGCTAGAGCGCGCACCTGTGTCGTAGTTCAATGGCCTGCCGCTAGGGTGCGCCACTGTTCCGGATATGAATGTGAATGCGTATAGGAATGTGAATATGACAGAGATAAACTGTTAGGAAAAATGTATTTATTCACTGACCTTTTTAAATTAAAAATCAAACGATAGGACTTGTCACGAACAACAGAAAATATGGAGACAAAAATGGTGGACAGGACTCAAAAACAAAATATTTAAAAGAGGAATCTCAGTTGGACTGAAAAGAAAATACAGCAACCATAACTGTAACACCCCTTGATTAAAAAATAAGCCAAAATGACTGAAAGAAATTCAATTAGCACTGATTCCAAGGTGTCATGCTTACTTTGCTCTGTCGCAGGAAATTCACTTAATTTGACACTGAAGCACAGGAGTCAGTTCTTGTTCCACATGTAATTGCATAGTGGTGCAGGTTATCGTTCCAGAATCTTGGGCAACTCCAGTGGGTCAAGGTTTCCGCAAAGAGCCTATTTCTCAAGCATAAAATCAGATGACGAACAAAATAAACACTTTGACAATAAGAGTATCAAAGTAACAGAATATTGTAGGTTAACTTACACCGGCACTTTCTGATTTGGATTGAAACACGAAATAAGCCTGCACCAGGCTTTGAAGTATTCTTCTTATTGGTGCACCTGAGAACTGAACATCTTCGTGCGTGGTTTCTTTTCTTTGGAGAAATGAATTTACTATAGTTAACAGAAAAATAAATAGAAGTAAGGATCCGACGCCACAAGCACAAAGCACGCCAAAGTGCGCCGACTGTCACTGCACAACAGGTGAGCATCGCGTGGGCCCGAGGCGCGCTCTAGCGGACACACTCGGAACTACATGGCCGCAGGACGCTGCGACGGGTGTGGTGGGGGACCTCCCAAAGACCTCACATAGACCTACCGTTTCGGACGTCCCGAAGTGCTCCAAGAACCGACTACTTTGGGACGAGCGACCAGGGCGCGCTCTGGCGGCGAACTCTGGCACCACACACTAGGTCCCCGCGCGACGTACGAGAGAGCTTCATTTGTAGTACGTTTAGGGAGGTCCCGAAGAGCTCCCAAAACCGACTTCTTCGGGACGTCCGAAAGACGTCGGATTCCAGACATGTACTAGTTTTGTTTAAGGGGTATCGCTACTTTTCCTGTTATTTTCTGTCACCTTCACCTTTATACTTAATCTGGACCTTGCCGAGGGTTTTGGAGCTAAGTGACTGAAATGGGACTAAAAACAGTCTTGTTTTGACCACAACACGCTCATCCCAGGAACGTGACGTTCCTTTGAGCATTGTGTCACATTCGTTTGAATGTGAATCGGCCATAAATAAGCTTATTCACGTTGAAACGAATGTGACAAAACGTCACGTTCCTTTGAGCATTATGTCACATTTGTTTCAACGTGATGTCGCGTTCCTGGAATGAGAGTGAAACCCTTCCAACGCGACGACTCTTGGTTAAATCAGGAGTTCGTGTCTGAAACTAGACCTATTAGAAAAGAAATGGAAAGGAAGTTAAAACTTTTGAACGGGCTTGCAGCTAGCAGAGTCTTGTACAGGGCCACAGGGAGTGACGGCACTTTTCAAGCCGAAGACACAGCGAAAATTTTAGTATACATCACGGAGAAGAACGGCACATCCAGAACTGCGTCGGTGAGTTGGCTGGGATAGTGGGTATTTGTTTCGGTACTTAAGAGGGACATACCTGCACTGTTTTTAACGAATGTGACGTCGTATTCATTCGATTGAGAATATTGACACGTTCGTTTGAATGTCGGTTCACGTTTAAGGATGATGCTTTAAAGTGAAACTAGCATGTCCAAGATTTGTGATGAAAATTGAACCACTATTAGATGAATTTATTCCCAAAGTTGGGGCCCCAACTCCTATTAGTTTCTGAGTTATTGAGGTTTACGAGCTCCAACGAATGTGAGATACATCAGACGTGTCACGTTCACTCTAAATGTCTTACAATGTAATTTGACTTACGTTACGGTGAATTCGGCGCAAGCATAACGCGAAGCAATATTTCTTCGTACATTACGAATCTTTTGAGCTTTTACATTGTAAGATACAAAGAAAACCCTTGGTAATATGAAGATAAAACACCTTTGTATTATGCTTGCGCCAGAGTGATTCCAACGAATGTGACATCCAACAGACGTCAAATGAACGTGGCTGAATTCACACAGTAGGTAGTATGACGTCATATGCCTTGGATAACATTTGAAGACCCTGTAGCCCAGCCGGCATGCACTGATAGAAAAGATGCTGTTAATTAACAGCATATATCCTGTTAAGTTTTTTAGCAACACTTGTTGTAGCAGAACGGCATATTGTTGGACACTGAGTCGTTATCCAACAGCAGTGTTGTAAAAAGGGATGATGGCTCTCTGTATCTGATCTCTGACAATAAGTTGTTGTGTAACAGAATTACCATTTCCAAATGGCACCAACCTGTTCATAAACAACACTTTTCTGTTTTCAAACAAAAAAGTTGTTATACATTTACAAAAAAAATGTCGAGGGTCCTAATAGTCTTATCCAATACTAGCAGTCATTCAGAAACGCTCTTTTCTGTTTACAAACAGCACTGTTCTTCAACGCGGTCTCTCTGTTATTCACAAAAAGGAAATAGGAGTTTCCTGACGGCTCAAACAAGACATTTGTTTTGTAACAGTTCGTGCAGTTCTTGGACAGTTCACCGCTGTTTAAAAATTGGAAGTGTTGCTAAAAAACTTTACAACACAAATGCTGTTCAGAAACAACAGAATTTATTTTGACATAGTTGGAGTTTGATTTGAGCCGTGAGCTGCAAAATGCTCCGGCAAATCTTCAATTGAATGGTGTTGTTTTTAAATGACAGGATACCGTTCCAAAACAGCATATATCATTAATTTTACAAACAAGATGTTCTGTTTTCCAGCATTGGAAATCGACTATATTTGTTGTTTTCTCCAATGATGAAACTTGCTGTTTCCTAACAGCATTTGTGCTGTTTTAAGTTCCGATGACACGTGCTGCTTAAAAGCAAATCACTCGTTGGTAAATGTGCTGTTTTCCTACAGTTTCTTTTAACAGTGTGCCATGTCCGTTTCCTTGTTCCGGTCCTGGAGGTTGTGCGGGTGAGCGTGCACGAGGAGGGCATCCACTTCTACTCCAACGCCGTGCTCCTGGAACTGGCCCCCGAGGACGGCGCCTCCTCCACTCCGGTGTGCCTGGACCTGAGCGGCAAGGTGTTGCAGCCGCTTGCCCCGGGGGAGATGGGCTTGGTGAGTCTCTCGCCTCAGGGCACTACAAAGAATCTTGAAACGGAAGAAGAACAAATGTAAACCCTGAAAACAGCTTCTGCGTATGCGCAGACGACGTTCCCCCACCACTCGGTGCGCATGCGCAATAGCTGTTTTTAGGGCTTACTTTTGTTCTTCTTCCGTCTCAAGATTCATTACTCGATATGTACTTTAGTGAGTGTCATGATTTGAGGGATCCTATTCAAAAGATCTAATCTGAGCGTTCCCCTCAAGAGAACGTTACCTTAAACGCAAGGTGTACCTATTTCATTCTTTTTGATCATTTGATAGCTACATCTACAAATCAAGATAATTTGTGATCAAATTCACTATAACCTGAAGATGACAGATCAAAGAAACCACAAGTGAATGCAGAAATACATGCCGCTAACGCTCGTATCCGTCCCAAATGATCAAACTGATTGAAATTCACCTGCGTTTAAGATAAGATTCTCTTGGGGGGAACGCCCAGATAACGATCATTTGAATAGGACCCCTCGTGACAGGAGTGCACATTGCGTACACGGTGGCAGATGCACATTTATTTTGCCGCCTTGAATAACCAGATCCAGTTGTGGCACACGTGGATTCCAGCCAACCACAGCATGCTCGGTACGCCTGCCTTAAGCCCAGGGGACTGCAAAAGGAAGGCATCAGTTACTCCCAACGCTGCGTATCCTACAAGATTCTGCTTTCAGAAACTGAAAGCCGCCGGTATGAAGGACTCCATCTTGTCAAGAGGCGTGGCGTGGCAAGGGTGTACGCAACGCGTGAAGCTTTAAGCCTTGCTTTCCTTGCAGGGATTGCGGACTTTTGGCAGATAATCAAAAGAAGGTCCTTGTATGCATACGCACAGATCGCAAATGCGTAAAATTTAGGGCGCTTTGAGCTCATTGGTCCTCATGAAACTTTCAATGTTATAGAAATCAAGGGAGGAAATTTTATTGCCAAGATTGCGCTACCAAGATTTTTCCTTGGTGTTTTTTTTATTTCTTGAGTCTTTTGGTGTTTGTACTTCAGTTTACTGTGGCTCAAGTGACAGTTTCGGTGGGGGTGATGAGATGTCCTTTCCATCTTCGCAAATCGTGTTGCGAACAACGGCCTTAAGCCAGGGTGCGCAAACTTAATATCATTTTGCAATTAAATTTCGGAGTTCCATTTTAACAACGGTCGCAGATTTCAAAAATAAGTTACACAACTGAAATTAGAAATTTGATTTAAGCATCCTGTGCACAACTTTTCGTGACGTCACCCCTTTCAAAAAAAATTGGCTCACAAAATGTCAACTATCTGCCCGCTTGAAACCTTAAGAAGTATTTTAAACATACACATTACAAACCAATTTTATTTGTTATACGAAGAATTAGTTCTGAAGTAACGAAGTATCTTCTTCGTAAGCTTATGTGTATGCTCAACATTCTTTATCAAAACAAACTGTGATTCTTCATATGGCCTGAAATACTTTGTAAGGTTTTCTCAGTGTGCGCATAGTGCCTATAATCTCAAAGAAGTCCGTAACTCCTGCACCCCAAAGGAGAGGATAGTTTCACGCGTCCCCCACAGGCCTCGCCACAGGCCGTTTCTGCCCCCATAGGCGGGGCCGCCTGGATGAACTGGTTTAACACTTTTGGTGACGCAGGCCCGCCGGTGGAGCAAGGAAGCGGGTACCTGGTGACCGACGGCTACCTGTGGTACCTGCAGGGACTCATTGTTGACAATGGCGCCGATCTGTCGGGTAGCGAAGTGCGCGTGGCCGCGGACCTCCGCAACGAGAAGCTGCGCGCCTGGCTGCGGGAGAAGATCCACGAGTTGGGAACCCGTAAGTGCCCCACCGTTTGACGAGCGTGTCGTCGCATTTGTTGTACTTGGAATTGCGGGAGGGAACAAAGACCGCTATACTTTGCATCGTTTGAGCAAAGACCACCATGCTTTTGCATCCCTTCAACAAAGATCGGTATGCTTCTTGGAAATGCCAATATGTCTCTCACTGAGGATTGTTTCCCCGCCCAAATTTGGGTGAGTAAGGGTGTATCAGCTACCTACATGGCTCCATAGTATTATGACCCAAATTTAGGTGAGGTAACCTTCACCTAAATTTGGGTGGTAAAGAATTCCTCGCCCAAAATTTGAGTCATGATCATAACTCCTTCATTCTCAGTGCGCGGGCTACCAATTGAAATTGAGACATCTTGGTCCACGCCAAAAAGTGTGGAACTATCCCGAGGGGGAAATCACTCTAAAAAATTGTGACCCGACTACTCCCTATTACGTTCTATTACGCTATTGCAGAAGTCTTATTACGTGTGCAAATATCGAGATTTAAACTTAAATCAGACCCTTTTAACGGAAAATTCAGAAAATTTTGGCTATTACGATTACGCGTAGTACAGGGAATCGGCGACCTGACTATTACGCAAGTGATTTCCCCATCGAACTATCCCATATTAGATTTGCAGTGTCGCGTTTGGAATCTCAGTGCTGTCATTTAATTGCGTGTGTTTCAGCGGAAAGAGTGCACTTTGTTGACACTGGCCGGAAGGACTGCGTGGGCGGGCGATCCTCCGATTTCCAGGTGAGCTCAGAAAGGCAGGTCTAGAAAGACTTGATGGTGCAATCACCGTTTCCCCCTACCATTTTATTCTCCTGATCAGATCCTATTTGCCTGCCCAAAAGTACTTAAGGGGCAATTCCAGGGTCGCTGTCAAAGTTGTATATCGACGATTTCGCTCACTTTTTGCTTTAGTTTTACTCGCCCCAAGTTCAACACCATCATAGAATTTCAGACGCCTGGATTAATTTTTGTAAGGATTGTGTGCATTTTAGGTTTTCATCTTTGTAATCCCCAATTTATCGTTGTACCCGAGAATTGTTTGTAAAACATTAAAATTGACTCCGATCCTAGTTCATGGACATGGAGAATAGAGGGGATGGAGGACCGGCTGCGAGAGCCCTCCCTTCTCCATGCTCATGGGGTCGTTACATAAGCTCCTAAACATCTTTTCGGCCAGGACTTGTTATTTTAAAGAGCGGTACTTATTCCGTGCCCGCAGTGTGGCGTGAGGTCCAAGGAAGAGAATTCGCAATTGGCGTTCAACACTCGAAGCTGGGGGACGCAGGACCACATGCACTGGAACCTCCACGTGCACGTGGACTACGGGGACAAGGGCTGGAGCGTGCACGGGGGAGCCTTGGTGAAGCCCAACATGGTCCTGACGTGTAAGTACTGCTGCCCTAGGGCTGTTTGTAGACCATGAAAGTTTTGTCGAGGTTTACAAAGATTTCACTTTTCACCCAGCGGCAAACAACTAGAATTTTGGTGTACTTTTCCCTTGAAATAGCGATGAAATAACGGTGAAGTAACGCGAAATAACGTTGTAATACCCTTAAAATTACTATGAAATAACAAAGAAATAACTTGAAAACCTGAATTTGAAATAATGGTGTACAGTCAGACGCCTTTATTTAGCCGCTCTCACTGTTGGCTATTTGGGAAAAAGTTATCCCCACCACTCTGGCTCGAGGCGAGCCCGGCCGGCCGGGTCCGGGACTCCCGGCCGACCGGCTGACCCTCGCACGGCGCCGTACTAATCCCCCGACCAGGCTCATTTTTGAAAATGCAATTTGCGTTCAAATTTTCGGCAAACTGTTTAGCGGTGCGTGTTCCTGGCGTCAAAATAGGCAGGGTCAATGAAAATTTCATGTCATAATTTGATTTTTTGACCAAGTTACTGCAGCCGCCCACGCCCGACAGGAACCCGGCAGCGCGTCCAAATAGCGATTTGAGGCACTTCTAAATGTCAGATCGAGTTGAAATTTTGAAAGTCTGTTGTTCAAAGCATGAGGATCTCCCGGAGTTAAACAAAAGTGTGGGTTGGGTCGGTCAAAAGCATTCAAACTTGAACATTTTCTTGTTCAAACGAAAAAGTACCGTAACTTGGTCAAAAATTCAAATTTTGACATGAAATTTTCGTTGATTCTGCCTATTTTGACGCCAGGAACACGCTCCGCTATACAGTTTGCCAAAAATTTGAACGCAAATTGCATTTTCAAAAATGAGCCTGGCTGGGGGATTACGGCGCCGTAATCCCTACCTGCGAGGGTCAGCCGGCCGGCCGGCGGGTCCCGGACCCGGCCGCCGGGCCCAGCCCCCTGACTGTTTGCTATTTAGGAAACGCGCCTCCCGGTCGGCGGCGAAATAGAGGCGTCTGACTGTACATATTTTGACGAAGTTTTGTGCCCCTCGCACTCCACGGATTCAGTGCACAACTTACCCCCTCCTCTCATGAAAAGAAAGAAAGAACAATCCAAAATTGATACGCCACTGAATCCACCCGTTCTCGTAAACAACCGTGAGTTGAAGGACAAGGAGCCTCTCTTCTCGACAGCTGCGAGGCACCTCGTCTCGGAAACGACGCCGAACACCACTGCCCACCCGATTTCAACCAGCCATTTGATCGTCAAGTACACCTCGTTTGTTGACTTCACGGACATACGGAGCACACGCATCGCAGAGGTGATTACGCTGGAGCAAGCTAGGAAAAAAACAAAGATTTGGAAATACCAATGAATTTTAAATTATTTCTCTGTTCGTTTTCACATAGTCTTTAATTGACTTCGCATTAGACGTATTCAATGAAAACTATGAATTTCCATCAAGAGTTAAGATTCAGAACACAGTCACATGGTCTATAACGGATTAGTACTTATGCTGATCCAGATCAGCAATAGCATTTCACTTTTCTCGCTTAAGCGAGCATTTGTATGGCTGACATTGCTGGAGAAGAACAACAGTTGCCTGTTCCCGGAAAAAGAATGTCCTACCGCTGCTACAAGCCAACGCTCCACTCCGCCCCACCCTCCGTCTTCTAGCGATTATTTTGTTTACATTTTCAACCAGGTGGACCGAATCCACCTACGGAAGCGCCCGACGATCCACGCACAGGACTTCTCGCATGACCTCGCCCTTCTCGTGCTCAAGACCACCGTGGACCTGACGCCAGTGTGCTTGCCTGAGCCCAGTTCGCTGGGCCACGAGTTGCCGCGGCTCGCAGCGGGTTCTTCTGGCGTGGTGAGTTTGAACAGTGCAGGGGACCTGCGGTGGGTGAAGTGAGATCTCTTCTATTCTTTAGTCCATGCTAAGCGTGATTGCACTACAAACGCAACTGTCTACTTCGTACTCTCTTATAAAATGCATGCTTGCAATTGCAAACTTTCAAACGTACGTGGCCATGTAACTTACACACTTTCAAACGCATACATTCGTTATTCCCGGTTATAACTCATTCATTCTTAGTGCGCATTGAACTTTGTTAAAGGATTGCTTTAATCGCCTCGATCACTTTTGATCACGTCAGGTTGAGTACATCAACGACACTGCGACATCGGCGGACCGTGGTTGGAACCGAATGATCCCCGTCAATCTCTTCGCCGCGGAAAAGTGCGAGGGCGTTTTGAACGACACCGACGACCCCATCCACCAACCTCAAGACGAGTTCTGCATTGTGGTTAAAGATTATTCCGGTAATAAAATATTACACGAGGGGTCGACAACTACCTCGAGCCGTGTACGAGGTAAGGGAGTATGGGGCGATTTGTAACAGATTTTGGAATCCTCTATACAAAATTAAGAACATTCTGCATATCGGTGTCAAACTTGTGCCAGTTGAGCAGTCTGGCCCTTCATCTAGACTGTGCAGCTCCATTGGATCAATCTGGAATCCGTAATCTTTGAAATCTAAGACGCTTTCCAAACCCTTGCATGCTGTTACGAATCGCCCCAGCATGGGGTGATTTGTAACAGCCATGGGGCTTTTCATGACATCCTACACATTAAATGAAACATCGTCGGGAATGTTATCTCCTCCAGCAGTTGTTCTTCGGATGTCCTGCAGACGCCTTAAAATCTGCGTTACAAGCTGCCGTTGACCGCCTCAGCATTAACTGACCGGCTATGTCAACCCTAACCTCATTTTTTTCAATTTTGGAGGAAAGAATAGAATAACTCGCTTTACAATGCACTTTGAGCTGTGTAAATGTATTGGAGTTAGGCAGCAGATGACTCGAGAAATAATTCAAGCATTTTATTGCAAAAACTACTTAAATTCTTGTTTTTATACGGGTCTGTTACGAATCACCCCAAATGCCGGCTACGCAAGAAATACATCCCTAACTATCACTGGACAAAGTAAAAGCAACTTATGCCACGTGGTTACATTGTAAAGGGGTCACGCTTCGAGGCCTCAACGGTATTTCGATGGTGATTCATACCTGGGCAGCCTCAGACAGAAACTTCCTTGAACTCAAAATAAAAGATTTGCCTGTTTTCGGTGCACCCTATATTTCAGACGCCCTCCAAAACTATACCTGAGCACCGATCACATCCGCTTCGATTGTTCAAGAACCCTCTACTTGAAGCGAAGGAGGGGCCATACTCAGATTTTCCTCTGCTCCCTCCACTTAAATTAATAAACGCATTTGTTACGAATCGCCCCTGTTACAAATCGCCCCATACTCCCTTAGTATATATTACCGGTAATATAAGTAATATAGGGTAATATAAGGTAATATACGGAAATAAAATAACGGTAATATATGATAAAAGAACATGAAAACGTGACATAGTATCCTTGACTAAGGCTGAAATCATGAGTTCCGGCGAATTTTAGTATTATGCAGACCCCACCCTCGTTTCATGCTAGAGCCCCCTGTCAGATGAAAGGTATGCAACCCGATGCAACCAATCTGACAAAAGGGTGGCGCGTAGCTTCGTGTCAGGTTCAGCACGGACATCAAATCCGAACTTCTTCCTGTCGCAATGAGAAGCCTAAAAGCTTTAACACCTTGATACCATGGTTCAATACGGCAAGTTAAACGTTAGATTAGGTTAAAAACAAGCAAATCACATAAATGTGTGGTCACATTGTGGTAATAAGGAGGTAATATACGGTAATATACGGTAATATAGGGTAATATAAGGTAATATAGAGGTAATATGAGCTCTGCGTACGAGGTAATATGGGAGTTGTCGACCCCTCGATATTACACCAGTTCCCGGGAAACTCTGCCAAGAAAAGAGGAAAATGCTTATTCTGGAGTTCGGTCTCACTATGCTATATGAAAACAAAACGTATTTGTAAAAAAAAATCAGAAAGTTGAAACGCAGCTTGACCGCGAGACATACTGTGTAACGCATTCTGCCTGGTAATTTTGTTTAAATGTTTGTGGTGCGATAAAAATTAGTCTATTTGGCCCATATGCCGTGCATTTTAAACATTTTTATTTTGACAAAAATCTTGTTCTCCTGTGTTAAGTTTACAAGCACCACACTAAAAAACAACAAATTTCAACCTTTCGGGCGAGACACCAAGTCTTGTCAAGTCTTGGCCGAACCTGGAAAATGGTGTGACCTTTTTCTTTAGTCCAGCCACAATATTGTCAGGGTTATGAACCCAGGCAATACGGTCCATTGCGTCCTGCACACAGTGGTCGGACGAAAATGAATCACCATTACGTGGCAAGACACGGTTCGTCTAACCAAATTCTGGCGAGTCTTCCAGGTCTGACCAAAACTTGAGACTTTTTGTCTCGCCATAATTTGGCGCAGAGTCTTTCCATTTAATTTCAGCGTACGGGGTGGACCAAAAATTGTGTGCATTGTTGCAGGTGATGTAGTAAAGACCATCAGACCGCTGGGCTACCCGCTGACAGTCATCACGGACGGCGTGTGGTACCTCCGTGGCGTGCTGGGTGGCTCGTGGAAGAGCGACCGCTCCTTCACCAACCTAGACGACCCCGACGTTCTCGAGTGGCTGGCCGCCGAGATGCGCGACGCCATGCCAGATGGTCCGGGTAGGGGGCACTGGCTTTTAGTCTATTGCATTCACTCTGGGAACTCAAGAGAAAGCACGGCATGCTCCAAATGGCAGGCAGCCACAAAGCCGCACAAAGCGCTCCTTATCCTGGAGCGAGCTTCACGCAAAATGCTTAGGGACCTTTTGTCCTTAAAGCGTTATTGGCCGCACCGAGGGGTCGGCAACTTCCCTTGGCCGTGTACGAGGGAGTATACGTATATTACCAGTAATATAGGGTGTAATATAAACGAATATAAAGTAATATATAGTAATATAGGGGTATTATAGAGGCAAAATTGTGGTAATATGCAAGCAATATATAGTAATATACAGGTAATATGCGGGTAATATAGCCACCGCGTACGAAGTAATATAAGAGTTGCCGACCCCTCGGGCCGCACTCCCGACGGTGGAGCATGGTGTGTGGTTTCCTTCCTGGTAGAGCCTAGACGTGCTATGTCTTGAGTTTCTATGACCGGTAAAAGCTTGTCAACAGTATTTACGAGCTCAATTTTTCGAAATCTTTTTCAAAGGTTGAATGCATCTAAACGAATCAATCCATCCAGGTGACAAGAAGGAACTGGAGCAATCCACCTCTGGCACAACTACCTCCGCGACCAAGGTGACCACCGCGGCCCCGATGAACACGACGACCCTCCGCTCGCTGCCCACCGAGTCACCACCACCCAACAATCGTTAGATTAAAACTCGTTGAGACGCAGTAACCTCGCATTACTTTTTTGTGTGTTGGTTTTCCATGAGTTTAACCGCGTGTGCGACCAGACGACGCACGCACTCGTACGAATCTAACTATCTACTGCCTACCACTCGGTCTACCGAGCACACAATGACAAATGCGTCCTTACAGCGAGTACACAGTAAAAACTCTTCGAAGAATCGCATTGTAATGCGAAACAAGAAATGAAGGCATTGTAAAATCTAAGAAGAAATACTTCGTATCATGAAGCAAAATCCTTCGTAATACATAGTCTTTCTTCATACTACGAAGCAATTCTACAATGCCTCAATTTTCTTCGTAGTCATGAATCAAATGTTTCGTAGGCTTTCCTAGCATGGGGCTAAACGGTGCAAAGCATGCAGTTGTAAGCGTGCATTGCGATTATCTAAAAATAAATTTGAAAAGAACCACGGTTAAACAAAACCTCTTTCTGTGTTTCAGTTAAATGCCGAGTTGACGTTAGTTGCAAAATGTCTGAACAGAACCGGTATGAGATTTTTAAAAACTGTAGCAACCTCAGCCTTGCTTTATTTAAACTCTTTCGTTGCTGTAAACTACTTAGCAAAGTGTCTGAGAGTATATTTTATTTGGGAAACAACAAAACTGAAGTGTGTGAATATTCACGTTACGAAAAACGAAAGGAACTGCACTGTTAAGGGGAGGTTTTACTGAAAATATTGCATTTTTCAAATTGAGACCCAGTGTAAAAATTTGTTGCAGATGTATAGTAATACATAGTTAATGGTCAAACATGAAATTTAGAGCCCAATACCTCCCTCCAAATCTAGTCGAAGAGGTTTTTTCAGCCTATTGTAGCAATATCTTAAAAAATTCTCCTACGCAAAGTATTTCAACGTAAACTGATGTTCTGGACATTTTTCACTTCTTTGGCTCATATGCAATAAAGCGTGGCATCACCAAGACATGGGACTCAACAAATTTATTTTGTCGTTGCTTTTCAGAAAAAAAGTCACTAAAATATCAGAAATTTTAACATTTTCTTGAAATTTTATTGACATGCTGTCTTAAAAACACAGCTTATGGTTTTGTAATGGCCCCAGTATCTAACTAATGCCACGGTTTATCAATTATGAACCAAAGAAGTGAAAAATGCCCAGAACATCAGTTTATGTTGAAATACTTTGCGTAGGAGAATTTTTCAAGTTACGACTGGAAATAGCAGAAAATTCCTCTTCGACTGGGTTGGGGGCTAGGTATTGCTCTCCAAACTTCAAATTTAACTATTTACTATGAAATACTTTAAATTTACAATGAATATTGATAATGGGACTCAATTTGAAGAAAGTAAGATTTTCAGTAGAACCTCCCCTTAACATTTCTTTCTTTTGTCTCATATTACCCCACATTGCAGGGAAATATGGGACGGCATTCCGAAGGTTATTGAAGGGTCCCCACTGCACCTAAAAATCAGAAATTTGGTGAGAGTGTAGCCAAAGGGTCAATGAACAAGTGATGAACACCTCAGTACCTCAAATTGAAATTGAAAGGGGGAATTCACAAAAAACCTCGAAATTTGTCTCATATTACCCCGTCCTACGGTAGCATCAACTAACACTTCGGCCCAAGCCGCAATATGGAAATAAAGGGTACACAGGTTATACATCGATTAAGCATACATACTTTACTCCGCATCATATGCGTTGGATACAAATAAGGGCAGGGTTCCAGGTGGAGGCAAGTACGACAGTGGCTTCGGGCACAAAGTAGCAGTCCATAAAGAATTCAACGCCCCAAACGGGGGTTGATTTATGGTTCTAGGACGGTGGCAGGCGAGAGATGTGTCAGTAGTGACCGACATGCATGCACCTTACTCGAGGGGGAAATCACTCTTAAAAACTGTGACCCGACTACTCCCTATTAGGTTCTCTTACGCTATTACAGTAGGCTTATTACGCTCCAAAATATCCAGATTTAGGCTAAAATCAAACCCTAAATAGGGAAAATTTTAAAAATTTGGCTATTAAGCTATTACTATGACGCGTTATACTAGGAATCGGTGACCCGACTTTTACGCAAGTGATTTCCCCCTCGCACCTTACTGCATCGTCAACAAGGGTTTACAATCCAGTGACTCTTGGTACATCTTACAAAAAGAAAAATGTCCCCTTTACTGCCCTGAACAAATGAGGCTACGAACTGTTCCTAGGGAACAATTACTTCGTAGGATACAAATTTCTTTCGGAATGTTACAAACAGTTAAAAACAATTACATTTTGTAACAACGACACTCTCATTCCAGGAACGTGACATCACGTTGAAACGAACGTGACAAAATATCACGTTCGTTTCAGCATTGTGTCACATTCGATTGAATGTGAACAAGCTAATTTTTGGCCGATTCACATCCAAACGAATGTGACATCTTGTCACGTTCGTTTCAACGTGATGTCACGTTCCTGCGATGAGAGCGAAAAGGAAAAACGTGCCTAAGATAAGATTCGAAGCAAGCTGAACATTCTCCTTGATGTATTTCTTTTACTCATTCCGTATGTGCAGTGATGTAATTATCTTGACCTGCCGAATGTGACCACGTTAGCAAGCGTTCCGATAAAAATTATCAGTCTTTCAGTGTGTCTCCAAAGGCTGCAATGTCTGTGTGCGCCTTTTACCGCGTGCTTGGGATGGATTGGAAAACACCCCCTCTAGCCGTCACTTACTGGTGCTACGCACAGTAACGTTCAATTTTGGAGTTCCGTGGAGGCTTGGGGGGTATTTTCTTGATTTTCATGTACTCAAGGTATTGCGGAGGGATTTTTGATAAAACGTGCCTCCGCAATTTACCTTCAGCGTCCAGGTTAGTTCCCTGAAATTCCCTGATTGGCACAAACTGGACAATGTCTCGCACGGCTCGTTCGCCCTTGTTCCAGATGGTCCCTGTCTTGGCTTCTCCCCCTTCCACGTCTGTCAACAAGGTCCTTACCGTGGAAAAGTCTGCATCACCGATCCCTATCATAATGATTGAAATCGGTAAGCCAGATGCTTCCAGGATAGCCTGTCAGGACAAAAAGAACACAAGTAATCAATGTACATGGAATAGCTGGACGCAGAGCCGAATTATGGCATGACAAAAGTCTCGTCAATAATTGACCTCACATAACAGTCGCGGTGAAATAGGGCATGACATGAGAGTCGCGCCGATTCCCGTAGCTGATTTTTCATTTGGACTGATGCCCACGACGTATACATTTTTAAATATTAATTATAATTAATAACGAATACGACGCCTACGCGTGGAATTAACCACGGGGTGGGGGTTAAACAATTACTCAGGAAGTTAATTTTCTGAAGACCAAATATACCATCAATTCTTAACGAGATGTGAGGGAGCAAAATGCAACATACGTAAGTGATTTTATTTTGTAGTTTATGGGAAGTTTGCAACATTATAGCTCTATGAACGTTGCAAAAGTTATCGATATGGCTTTTCTTTTCCCTCCGCATCGCGTTTGAAAGCATTTGCTTATTAGAGAGGCAAACGTAAAGTTTGCCCATGCGTACCTGTTTGGTTTCTTTCAGGTCGTGAAGGTTTCCATCAGTCAAGAGTAGATGCACGAAGTATTTTGAACCATCTGTGAACTGTCTTGCCATAGCTATCACCTTAGATAATCCAGGAGCAAAGTAGGTCGGACCAGACATTAACCCGTCAAGCTTCCGGAGAGATTTGTGGTAGGTCTCTAAGATGCCTGCACAAGGTAAGAGGAACATGTCACGTGGGCACTGAAAATGCAATAGGACTTTCGAAACAAGAAGAAAGCTGATTAGACGACTTTAAATGCTAGAAGAAAGCTGTCTAAAAAGTGCAATGAAAGAAAGATTAAAACTGGCCATTTACTTGGTATTTTTAAGTTTGGTCACACTAAATTACTATGTAGGTTTTTCTGCGCGCAAATGCACGAAATTAAACATGCACTTCGTAACGCACGAATTTGTGCGCGAAAATGCACGATTTACTGCATACTTGCGCATGAAATCGTGAATTGTCGCGTACAAATTCGTGCGTACGCATGTTTAATTTCGTGCAGTGGCGCGCAGAAAAACCTACATAGTAGTTGATCCACGAAGCGGAAGAAGGGGTTAAGTCGAGTTGATTCAGTGACCTCTTATCAGTCTATCAAGTAAACTTGAGCGAAATTTTGGTCCAAAAATAAGTGTGGTGAGATAAGTCCCATCCTCTTGCATCTATTTTTAGATGACATTCCCCACCTGTTCTCCCACCTGCAAGGTTCAGGCCTTTCTAAAGTGCACGGATTCAACTCGACTTAAGGCCTTCTTCCGCTTCGTGGATCAATTTAGTGTGATAGTAACGTTTAAATTACGCCAGCTCTGTGACTGTCATCCCTTTTTACCTAATGGAGATCCTTCTAAGAGAAGGTATGGGCTCGGCAATTTTGGAAAAGTGACTTTTGAAACGAGTCACTACACAACTTACAACAAACATTAGAGTCTAGATAAGGGAAGGTGGAAGGTGAAACACTAGATAAGGGAAGGTGGGGTACCATGCAAGGGGAAATAACTCCAGCCAAATTTGTACACCAAAATTCATCAACCATGTAAAATTCACTGTCGAAATTCAACTGAAATTCATCGAAATTTCACCAAAACTCCATCGAAATTTGACTAAAAAACGTCGAATTTTGACTGAAATTTACCGAAAGTCGACTGAAATTCATCGAAAGTCAACTGAAATTCATTGGATTTGTACACCGAAATTCAAAGTGATTTCCCCTTGGTACCATGTGACACGGCAACCATGTGACTTTGGCTTTTTCTCCCAAACGGCTTGCTATCCAACAGCGGTAAGAAGACTCAAAGGAAGGTATCATGAAGGAGAATCGACGTGCAATAGGTCGTGACTCTCCTTCGAAAAGGACGGGAATGGTAGCGATCAGAATTGGAAACCGTCTTAAAATAGCTAATTGGAAACTTTTTCTATTTCCCGCCGCGTCGGCTTTTTACCTTCAAAATACATTTTAAGGACATATGCTCTGCAAGATGTTCTTCTTTGATGTTTTAAGCGCAAAACAAGCTTTGGCTCGATTCTCTACGGCATAAACTTCGAGCGTTATTGCTGTTTCCCCTAAAACTGTTGATCTGGGCACCATGTGACACCACTGTCATTCGCTTTGGGATTCCACGATTCACTCAGTTGAATGTGTTCAGTCTGTGACATTTGTACACCAGTTACTCAAACCTTTATTGCTCGGGAACCAAAGATGATAAATTGATAAACTCAACGGAAATAAAAAGCTGGAAGACTTCTTCGTTCATTCTTTGCGTATAGGTACGCTGAGTAGGATTTAAACCCAGACTAAAGGCCACTGTCACATGGTACACTAAGGCTGTCACCCCACCTTCCCTTAGGGCTTCTTAAGACCCGATGTATAAAGGAGTAATAATAGCCAAGGGTTGGTAGGAAGGGAGGGTGGGGATCCATGACCACTTGTTTTGCACCTCCATCCACACTACTCTGAGGTTCGTAAAGTTAAGTTTCCAGCATAAGGGAATCCTTCGGACCTCCAAGGACCTCGTCTACCCATTGAAACTTGTCCGTAATGTTTATCATGGTTTGAGAAAATAGTACCCCATACGTGAGGTACCACGACCACCCCGTGGGGGGCACCATGACCTAAGAACTTCTTTCCCAAGAAGTGTAATTTGACCAGTATTCTCACTGAAATACCGTCAACGGGGGTAACTTGGGACACTTTTTCACGTTTTTTGAACGCCAGAGGCAAGATTCTCAACCCAGACCATTGGATCCTAACTATGTTAAAGTTTGACCCTTTTCCCATGATTTCATGCTTGTCTGGTTCATTTGCCTCGATTACATCGTTTCCAAGCGGTCCCGAAAGAGTGTCCCAAGTTACCCCATGACCGGGGGTAACTTGGGACAGTAGGTAATTAGCTACGTTCCCATGCATCTATTGATGTTAATGGACGTAATAAATTCAAGTCACAACATATAGACCAAAAATTCAGGCCTAGGAACTCTTGTAGGACCGATGTTGGACTATATCTAGGGCTCTAGGCGGAACTCTCTTTTCTACTGGTATTTTCCAGGTATGTTCTGAAAATTTCAAAATATGGATTACCAGAAGACAAAACTGCAGAGCAAGGCATCTCTTTCCATCATGAGCGTCAAATCCTAAGTTTAAGTTAAGTCAGGGACCAGGTAAGTCAACTCCTAGGAGGCTACGACTGCTGGAAACATGAGGAAAAGACTGTCCCAAGTTACCCCGTAAAATTTCGATTTTTGAGAAAATGAAGTCTGGACCGAAGATGGGAAAACTATAATCAACGCCCTTTTGCGAACTTTATTGTCTGTGTATGATCTAACAACCCAGAGAGACTAATCGGCCAAATCTGCATATCACTCCTTGCACTAGGGTCAACTTGTCAATGTTTGACAAATTTTGTCAAAAACCCTATTATGTAGTTTCCCGTTTCTCAAATACTAATTGTTATGTTATGCACCTTTTCTACCTTTCCGCGCGTGCCCTGAGGCCTCTGAAAGAAAACCCTGCCGCGGGTTTGACGCTAGGAACCCCCGTCGCGGAATGGCAGCACCAACAAGCTGTACAGGACAGACTGTCCCAAGTTACCCCCGGTGTCCCAAGTTACCCCCGTTGACGGTAATTGTTTCTTTGGCTGTTTTTACGATCAGGCCAATTACCTCAGAAAAAAAAACACCCTACAGACGTTTAAAGCTTCATCCGTTCCAAATGGCTTTGGACGGTTCAGTACGGTAATTTCTCTAAGGCCTCTACACTCCACGTCCAAAGCTATGACATGTATTTTCATTTTTGTTAGTCTTGCAATGAGGAATCCAAATAACTCCAAACCAATTAGTTTAAAAAGTAAGAATTAGAAGTATAAATATTGTCTTAATGCATTGCCTTAATGAATTGCAAAGTTTTGGATCCAAGCTAGTTAACCTACCTTCTACTCCAACACAATCAGGGCTGCCTGAGTCGAGATTTAGGTTGAAGTCGTGCGACACTGTGCCGTGAAAATTGACGCCAAAGCCGTAGGCTTTAAAAATACGATTGGCTATGAAGTTTTCTACGACACTGCATACACCTTTTATGGCCAACTCGTATTTATTAGGTTCCTCCCCAATGTTGTGCAGGGAAGGGACTGGAGCATTGTTGGACCCTGTGAACAAGCTAACAACATTCAAGCGAATGATCACGGCTCAAGACGAATAGATCCAGGGAGCGCTACAGAAGGGGATAAAACAGTTTTGACGCCAAATTTAAGGAAAAACAAAAAACTGAGCTGGGGAAACTAGAACAAAACACATGAATTGTATTACACAAAAAAGTCCAAGAAAAAAATTGAAAACCCTCGGTAAAATTTTGAGGAATACATCAAAAGTGTCAGGTCTATTCGTTCAATGAATCTGTGACTTGTAAGTCACAGTGATCAGTCAAAATGATAAATCACTTTCCGTTTAAATGGAAAACAGAGTCCTCTTAACTTAAATGCCCTCAACGAAGTAGAATTCGGAGACAAAACAAATGGAAACATAGTCGGCACAACGTTTTTTTTATGTCCCTTTCCAAATTAAGTCCAAAAAATGACGAGGGGTTCACTTGATTCCTAGATTCATAAAAATAAAAGTTGGACTCCTTTAGCCAATTTTCGCAACGGGTTCATGTAGACTTTAGCTGAGTTATCTCTATTTTTCGATGAAGGAGGTCAAAAGGGGAGGGTCAATTTGAGTTCTACCCTTTCCGGCGTGAATTTTCTCAACTGCGACGAATTGAGTCAAATAATTTGGTGCAACGATTTAAGGGGGCGGCTCATACATGTTAAAAGCACTCTGTAATATTTTTTTATGTAGACGGATCAAGATTTTGCGATTTCTGTATTAAAACCCTTTTTGATATTTGAGTAAGCTTCATTTCGGCTTAACGTAAAGTGACTCTGGACATTTTTGGGAAATTTAGTCGATACGTTTAAAATTTTGGTTCTTGTAAGATTTTGTTCGCATACTTGCTCAGATCTGTGGAGCAAAAATCGGGGAGACTCATCCCTAGTAGTGTCATAGAATTGACTAGAATGGGCTTTTTATCTGCAATAGTTTTCAAGAAAAAAAAAAACAATTTTTTCTACCAACTTTTTAAACAAATTTTTGAACAAAAAATTTGTTTTTATTTCTATTCTTCAAAACTATTGCAGGTTAAAAGCCCATTCTAGTCAATTCTATGACGCTATTAGGGATGAGTCTCCCTGATTTTCCCCCACAGATCTGAGCAAGTATGCGAACAAAGTCTTACGAGAACCAAAATTTAAAACGTTTCGACAAAATGTCCAAAAATGTCCTAAGTCACTTAAGTTTAAGCCAAAATTAGGCCAAAATGAGGCTAACTCAGTCATCTGAAAGGGTTTTAACACAGAAATTGTAAAATCTTGATCCGTCTACATCAAAATTTTTTTTTACAAAGTGCCTTTAACATGTATGAGCCCCCCTTAAACCATTCTGGCACACTAAATTACTATGTAAGTTTTTCTGCGCGCCAATGCACGAAATTAAACATGCACTTAACGCACGAATTTGTGCGCGACAATGCACGATTTCGTGCGCAGGTATGCAGAAAATCGTGCATGTTTAATTTCGTGCATTGGCGCGTAGAAAAACCTACATAGTAATTTAGTGTGGGGGCTCAATAGTAAAATAAACATTCAGTGATAAGCTTCGTTATCCCCTTCTTCTGGATCAATAATGCAGGATGGAAGTTGGACTTCCCTTGATTCAAACCTCACCTGTGAAATCAATTTGAACGGTGCCCAACAGCTCAAAACCTACAGCCACATATTGGCTGAAGGTAGGAATCTGAGGGATTTCTCCCACTCTTATTTCGCCGGAATGTTTCAGAGACTGAGAAAATGAGAAAAGAACGTTTTAGTCACTTAAGCCCGTAGTGAATCCCGCACTCTGATATTCAGTGCGATTAACATGTACTGCAGCGCACCTGTTTGGCATGATTGAAGAGTTCGTACGTGGCATTAGGTGTTTTCAACTCATTCAGAGTGGTATTGAAGGATCCAATCAATGTGGTACCTTCCTCGTCGGTTTGCAAGGCGTTCACTCGTATCGTGCGGTTGTAATCGCCATCGCACAGCGCATTCACAGACACGGACATCTCGTCCCATATGAGAAGGTCTATGTCCCTCTTCACCTGCAAAGGAAGGGTGATCATTATTAGGCAGTCAAAATGACAGCCCGACGACCGCGCCGGTCTTTCTACAGGAAACGTCGTCCCACACTACCGTAAGAAGGGGTAATATGAGACGATTTCGGGGTAATAGGAGACGGAGTTTGGTTTGCGTAAGATTCACTCTTGTTCGTACCATTTTTCGCCGTGAAAATTGACAGGGATGAGTCATCAAATGCCACGAGGATTATAATTCTAACGATAAAAATCGTGCGTCTCATATTACCCCGAAATTGTCTCATATTACCCCGGCCTACGGTACATGTTCTCCCTTATTGACCATTTTTGAACCATTTCTTTAGACACCGCAAAGTTTGGTGTAAACCTTAGCGACAAACTGGTTGCCTCTCTTCCCTTTTCCTGCATTGATCTTTCGCAATATACGGTAAGGGAGACTTGTGCATGAAAAACAGGCCAAGAGAATATTTCGGAAAACTCAACCACCACCTTTAAATTTTATTGAGGTTTCGGAATATTCCGGTAACAAATCACATCTTTAGAGAATTGCCAAATTTCGTATTTGCAGCTGAATCCGAAACATTGATACTGTGAAGCATGATAAATTTGCGTGGAATTACAGATTTTACAGAAATTAACACTCTTAAAACCTTACGAAATATTTTGAGCATACATATTACAAGGTAGGTTTACGCCAGACCGCGTCTTGTCGTAACAGGCTTCGCGATGTCTCGCGGCCTGTTCCTCCAATCCGCGCCTGGCGTACCTACCCAGAGGGCGGCAACGGCCTAGGAAGCGCGTGAAGCCATGCGCGAGTAAGGTGCATTGGTTACTTATTTTGCTGCGATTGTAAGATCTAGCCCGTTGATTGCAAAACGCTTTGCACCGATCAAAAGAGAACAAAATTTGAGGTGCATTAGGCCTAGTAGACTGCCCGATACTTCCAATTCAACCGAACACAAGGGTGGAACCATTTACATCAACATGGCGCATTCGAGTTTTTCCTAAATTTTATGATTTCTCGTGTTTTTAGGTGTTTCCACTGCACCTTAATATCAGGTAAGGTGAGAGTTTGGAGAAGAGCAATTAGCCTAATGCACCCTAAATTTCAAGCCCTTTCCATCGGTGCAAAGCGTTTTGAAGAACACAGTCTAGTTTTCATAATCTCGAACAAGTGCGCAACCTCTGCACTGACGGCGCGAGCATCGCTTCACGCTCTTCCTAGGCCGTTGCCACCCCCTGACCTACCTTGGCCTGCGGCGCTAGCCTGCCTTCGGCAGGCATTGGCTTGTCCGTCGGCGGTTACTTAATGCATGCTGGGGAGCTCCGCCCCCCAGACCCCCCTTCCTTCAGGACAGAGGCGATCTGCCTGCAGAAAACTCGATTTTCCGCCGTTTTTTTAGGTGTTTTTCGGCTATAAAAACTGAACCAGTTGAGCTAGGATGGTGAAATTTCGCGTGTGCCGAGCTAAGAACATACCTAATAAGCCTGCAAAATCTCAGCCAAATCGGCCGAGCCGTTCAGGAGGAGTAGTGTACACACACAGACACACAGACAGACAGACAAAACTTTTCAACCGCGCTGGAGTAACAGGCTTCGCTATCGCTCAGCCAACAAACTATAATACTTTGTTATACGAAGGAATAGTTCGTAAATTACGAAGTATTTTCTTTGCAAGCTTTCGTTTGTTATACAAGGTAGGTTTACGCCAGACCGCGTCTTGTCGTAACAGGCTTCGCGATGTCTCGCGGCCTGTTCCTTCCATCCGCGCCTGGCGTACCTACCTTGGCCTGCGGCGCTAGTCTGCCTTCGGCAGGCCATGGCTTGCCCATCGTCGGTTACTTCTTACTTGTTGCATGCTGGGGAGCGGCGCCCAGACCCCCCTTCATTCCAGGTAGAGTTGTTTCATCTACAGATAACACGTTCTTGACCCTTATAACTTTTTAACTTGTTGGGGCTGGGGGGCTCCACCCTCCAGACCCCCCTTTCTTCAAGGCAGAAGTGATCTGTCTGCAGAGAACTCGATTTTTCGCCGTTTTTAGGTGTTTTTCGGCTTTAAAAACTGAACCAGTTGAGCTAGGATAGTGAAATTTCGCGTGTGCCGAGCCAAGAACATACCTAATAAGCCTGCAAAATCTCAGCCAGATCGGCCGAGCCGTTCAGGAGGAGTAGTGTACACACACAGACAGACACACAGACTGACAGAAAAAACTTTTCAACCGCACTGGAGTAACAGGCTTCGCTATCGCTCAGCCAACAAACTACTATTCTTTGTAAAGCCCAAAATAGTTTGTAAGGTTTTCTCAGTGAAAGTCCGAACAACATTAGTGTCTCAGTGCACCAGTGCACAGATCAAAAGGCTCAATTTGTTCCGAATCTGTTGCAGTTTCCCTTCAATCTCTCCTTACTCCGGTGAACCACGCCTACTTGCCTTGTTGGTCTCAGCGACCTCCTCACTGACACCACCCTGGGCAGAGAAAATTCAGGTTACAGTTAAAATTTTCTGTGCTATGTGCACCGCCCCAAAATCCCACGCTAAAAAATGCAGCAGGGACGAAATTGCACTCACCTTCTTCACGGCGGTTTTAATTATTTCGAGGAAAACATCTCCGTTTCCCTCAAGACTCCTCCCGCTGAATTGCAGGGTCAGCCTCTCGTCGCAGTTTCGCTGGAACCGCGCTGAATACTTGTCGCCATTGGGCTGCTTCACCGCCACCTCCACCTTAAATTGAGGTTAGTCATGTCTTAGAGCGTTTAACTCAAAATGAATATTCCATTCCCTATTATAGATCAATATTCTGCCGAGAATAACCAGGATAATTAGCGATACACGGGCAACTTTGGCCCGTCCCGTACAATTAATGAGCGAATTTTGCATATGTTTAGCCCTAACGGACTTTGAACCTCAGTCTGGGACCAAAATAGGTGTCATTTTCGTCATCAGCACTCTTAAAAACATGAGAAACAATGCAAAAACGCGAATGTAAAAAATGGTCGGAATATACCCCACTGGGATTTGAACCCGGGCCCGAACTTCTCCGATTCGGTCCAAACTAGCACCGATAGCTTCGTCTCGTCGCCCTGATTCCAAAAATATCCCTATATGCCCTTCCAGCTGCATCCGTTGCCGAAATCCTCCTCGACCCCAGATCATGATGCACCCGCAGCAGCGCCCCCGGGGCTCGGATCGGATTAGCTGCCACCAGGTGGTTCTTAGGGTCGCTCAAGGAGGCTGCATACCAAATTTGGCCAAGATTGGACCACGGGAAGTCCTCGGGCGGACGCACAGCATGCATCACACTAATTGCCCGTCCCTCCGGTATTTTTATTACAAAAATACACGGGATAGGCCAAAAAGAGAGGGCACTTTTACCGTGGGGACCGTCAGATGAAGTGCCAGCTGAGCCAGGAAGCATGTATTGCCTTTCTATCAAAGCCCCCCTCCCCTTTTACGACAAATATTTTGGTCTCGAAGCGATCACCACACATCAATTCTGAGGTCCTTCTAAGAAACTTATGGAAAGAAACTACTTACGATTCCTTTCGTATTTACGGTAGCAAGAGGAGTCTGGACAGTGCCAAGAAGATCGTCGCGATCAGGTATGTCGCAATCAGAGTAACCTCTGTACACCTCAAAGATAAGGTATTGCTTTTCCTCAAATCGGAACGGCAGCTGGAGAGTTTCTTCCTGTTCAGGATCGTAGTTTTCGCGACCCAGAGTCGCCCGGTATACTTCTTGCCTTCCTTTGACGCCCTCGACGACGAGAAAGATGACGCACATGGCCTGCACTTTGTCGTCACTCTCATACCTGAAGCAAGTTAATTTGTTATTGCTAAAGAAATCTTTCTAAAATCCATTTTTGAATTCCGACTTGGCAAATGAAAGGGGAAACGAGTGTAGTAAACTTGACAGCTGTTGAGCATTTCTGCTGGTTTGTGAATTTCTACATACCTGCACCCTGTCTTGATTTCAACTATGTCAGACCCTGTTTCTTTTAACGAAGTCGCCTGGTGCCCGACCTTGGTGCCCGTACACAAAGCCCTTCGCAGTGCTCCAGATGATTCAAAATCATCTCCTGTTAGCAGCACAAAATGTTTACAGATTCTTATTTTCAACGTCATGGTAGTTTGTATTTTGGGTACTGGAAATTGAGATTTTGATGTCCTAGATATATTTGCGTCAGGGAGTTCATTCTACAAATTAAACGTTATCACTGTCTGATGAATTCATTCTCAAAGAGGCCCCAACTGAACTCCCGGTAGTTTGTAAGTTACGGAGGGTTATGTAAACGTTGAGTCGCTGAAGATATCCTTGCGACAGAGAAAAATGTGCCTAGATTTCGGCAATTTATCCCCCTCTAAACAGATAATGGTGCCTTCTCCGAAATTTTCAGCCCGCTGTGAGCCCAGTGTGGCTGTCGAAAATATTTTACTAAGCGTGCTGTATTCTTCAAATTTATAGAAATTCTGACACATTGTGTTTTTATTTTTTAAGAGAACTGAAGTATATGTTGAAAAGGGCAAGTCAACATTAGGACTGAGAAATAGTGACCAGTGGATGCAATAACTCACCTATGAATCTGTAGTCGCCGTTCTTAAAGGCGACGTGGAGCTCAGAAACCCCTGGAGAAAGGTTTATTTGAGCTACACGCTCTTCTTTGCCTTCAAGCCAAACTTCCATTTTCTGCTCGGCGGGTCGAGCCACCACGAAAGTGTACTCCTTCCCCGGAACAAAGGCAGTGATGTACGGGTAATCCTGTTGGTGTCACGATGTAAAAGTGATTACAGCATAATTTCGTACACTCCGGGCTAGAGGGTGGCATTCTCTCTCGCTCGTTGTTCATTCGCTAGTCAGCGGATCCTTAGACCGTCCCTTATTTTTTCAAATTGAACCGAGACAAAAGTTCGTGGTGCCAAATTGTTCCATTTGGTGAGAAAACACCTCTGCCAAAGTTTGTTGGTGCTACGATATCGCATGGCCGAGCCTAAGGGGCCTAAGTGCAAATTTCAAAAATCGGCCGATTTCGGAATTTGAAAGTTGTTTTTCAAGTAAACACGTCATTTTGATGCCCGTAGGGCGAAAATTTTAAGCGTTTTGCCGTAGCTCGAACCGTTATGGCCGAAACGGCGCTCTGAACGCGCTCCGCCACCGCGTGGATCACCGATCTGGACCCAACTACGACGCTTTTGGGCTGCACCGAGCCGCCCCGGAGGGCAGTGGATCGCTGCGTCGCTGTCAGCACCTTCCCTAAACATGTATCTGAACTATCTCTGAAAATTCCAATGTGGTTAGTGGGATTACTCAATAGGAAAATGCTGAAATATGCCCTCAAAGTGTCAAATTTAGCCATTTTAGCATTTTTCGCGTGTTTTGGTGTAAAATTTGGTCTTTACCACATCTGTATTGAACTGTAACCTACCAATTACTATGCAATCAGTCAAACACATGTTTTGAGAAGGTGCTGACAGCGACGCAGCGATCCACTGCCCTCCGGGGCGGCTCGGTGAAGCCCAAAACCGTCGTAGTTGGGTCCAGATCGGCGATTCGCGCGGTGGCGGAGCGCGTTCAGAGCGCCGTTTCGGCCATAACGGTTCAAGATACGGCAAAACGCTTGAAATTTTCGCCCTACGGGCATCAAAATGACGTGTTTACTTGGAAGACAACTTTAAAATTCCGGAATCGGCCGATTTTTGAAATTTGCACTTAGGCCCCTCAGGCTCGGCCATGCGATATCGTAGCACCACCAAACTTTGGCAGAGGTGTTTTCTCACCAAATGGAACAATTTGGCACCACGAACTTTTGTCTCGGTTCAATTTGAAAAAATAAGGGACGGTCTAGCGGATCCTATAGTACTACGACAGATCACTTTGAGAAATCAAGAAATTAATTGGTACCCATAAACGGATCTTTTCTAAATTAAAAAAGTTCCGCCAAGGCAAGCTTAGCAAAGCGGTCTTGCCGTGGACCGGCCGGGGAGGCCGGGCAGAGAGGGGGCAAGAAGGGTGGGGGTGGCGGTGAGGAGTGGGGACTGGCGCGGCGAGGCGGCGCGGCGTGGCGGCGCAGGACGACGACAGACGACGACGACGACGACGACCAACACGACCATGCAGTCCCCTCCGAGCCCGAGCGCCCTGAATGGATGGATGGGTGGATGGGATGGGATGAGTGGGATCGGATGCAGAGCTAGAAGCGGTAGCAAGACCGCTTAAAAAATTCTTCAGAAACGACGCATAATCATGTTCGTGAATTTACGATGAAGATTCGCGAATCTCCGGGAATATTTCGGGTTAGTGGCGTTACCCTGTGGATTTACGAAGAATCTTCGTAAATCACCTAGTAGGCCTATCTTCGTGAATAGATGGGATGCCCTCTGCATCATTTTTCCGGAGAAACCTTCAAAAGATCCGGCTTTGTATTTTTACAATGTGCTCTTTGCAGTTTCACTCTAAAACATTTTAGCGCGGACACCACGACCTACCTCCTTGACCACCCACGTGGCACGAAATGGGCGATTGGTGGCATTGGACAGGAACGTCCTGTAGCCCATTCCTCTCGACTCCACGCCGTCTATCCGGACGCCACCGCACTGGACCTCACCGCACGCCACGACGCCGAAGTACGAGTCCCTTTCGACCAAAACGCGAATGCGCACTTGACTTCCGACGAGTAGAGGGTCGCCGTTCGTGCGCGCAACTGCAATGAGAAATAGACTCTTCAATTCCATACACTGTGCACTCTGCAAACTCAACGGTGTACTCACAAGTCCACTGGAAATCAGTTGGTGATACATCTGACCCTCTGAGGAATGAGCACTGAGCGGGGACCCTTAACTTATCATTCAACTATCACAGTAACATACGACAATGTTCGCTGAAAGTTAAGAGAATGGACTTAAGCAAGTATTTCCAAGAGTTTCTCCACACAAATTCGAGAAACTAGTAAAATAACTTTTCCTGACACTCTCAGACTCGTATTGACTTTTTATCTCTTGCCATAAAGGTTTTTGTGCGAACGTAATAAGTACTATTTTCTTTTTAGCTATGCACTATTTTGTTTATTGTATAATGTACTTAGTCCATTAAACCGCACTTTTTGTCGTTTGCAATGTACGTTTTAATTTCTACATGATCTATTGACAATTTTATCTTTATTACGATCAAAATTGTGCATAGTTAAGAAGAAAATAGTACAGTTTACGTTTGCTCAAAAAACGCAATAAGCAAGAGAGAAAAAAGTCCGTATAGGTCTGAGAGTGTATGAAAAAAAATTAGAAGTTACTGGTTATAATTTCAACTCTTACGATAACGTTATGATGCCCTTTTGAGGTAAAATAAGGATCCCTGAGGGTGAGACATACGATTCCTTGTTTTAAGAACTCCCTGGAATGTCTTTTTTGCCATAAATTGGTGAGATGTCTCACTTTTTTATTTTCGGAGTTCACACTGAAGCTTGTAATCGTGAGCACACGCTAAAGGTAGTGTACAGTTGAGGACACAGAGCCTATACTAGTCTTTCGTTTTCAGAAACATTTTCCTCAAACCGATACACAATCCTTCTGTGGTGAGTGAGTTACCAAGGTGGACGAACGACGGACATTTTGATTGTTTGCTCTGCACTTCAAAGTCAACTGTCCACTTAGTACGCACTTAAAAATGCATACTTATCCTGTTCTAGACCACACTAACAACTGCATGCTGGGCCCCGTAACACCGGTCTTGCCAAGTATGCACTTGTTGGTAAATACTTGCTCTAGAATTCATTTGTTAATATATACTCATTGAAGGAGCAGTATGAAAATATTAATACAAGTGTATTTACTGGACATAAGTATTTATTATTTAATAGGGCGATGGGCTTCGCTCTTAAAGTGTCATACCTTTAGCACTGCAGCCTTGAAAGGTGACCAAAAGTCCGAGGAGGAGAACAACCAACATCCTGCAACAGTAAAACAATGTGAAACCTTCGTCCGTAGTAGTTTAGGAAACTTTTCGAAACTGACCGTACATGCTGACATGCAGTCGATGTGCATTTGTTTTAATTTTACCCTGCAAGCTCAGATTCCGAGTATTGGGAGATAAAGTCAGATGCGAGAATGCCGGCGAAGCATGTTGCTATTCTGCCGTGATAATGGTGTGGTCTCTGCGTCTACCGACCAAAAGCATAACTGGATATTTCAAAGGAGATCTGTCCCAGAAGATTACACAACGAAAAAGAAAGTCAGACATTACACTGGTAAAACAAAGGCATAAAAATTACGCCCTTTAGGGCATAAATACTCTTTTACGCCCTTGCAAGGGCATAATTCGTTTATGCCCTTGGTAAGGGCGTAAATGGTGTAGGAATTTCAGGGGGTGGCAACGGCCTAGGGAGAGCGTGAAGCGATGCTCGCGCCGTCAGTGCAGAGGTTGCGCACTTGTTCGAGATTATGAAAACTAGACGGGGTTTTTAAAACGCTTTGCACCGATGGAAAGGGCTTGAAATTTAGGGTGCACTAGGCTAATTGCTCTTCTCGAAACTCCCCCCTTACCTTATATTAAGGTGCAGTGAAAACACCTAAAAACACGAGAAATCATAGAATTTAGGGAAAAATGGAACTGCCATGTCGATGTAAATGATTCCGCCCTTGTGTTCGGTTGAATTGGAAGTACTCTACAAACTGAAGTGTGTACTCAGTATGCATCTACAGATGCATACTTGCAAGTACACACCTACAGATGCATACTTAGCTGAGTACACATCTAAGATGCATACTTAGCTGATACACTCTACAGAGATACTCAGCTGAGTATGCTCTGCAGATGCATACTTGGAGAGGTTAGGTATGCATCTGTAGGTGTGTACTCAGCCAAGTATGCATCTGTAGATGTGTACTCAGCTGAGTATGCATCTGTAGATGTGTACTCAGCTAAGTATGCATCTGTAGGAGTGTACTTGCAAGTATGCATCTGTAGATGCATACTGAGTACACACTTCAGTTTGTAGAGTATCCGGCAGTCTACTAGGCCTAATGCACCCCAAATTTTGTGCTCTTTTGATCTGTGCAAAGTGTTTTGCAATCAACGGCCTAGATCTTACAATCGAAGCAAATTAAGTAACCCCTGCACCTTGCTCGCGCATGGCTTCACGCGCTTCCTAGGCCGTTACCGCCCCCTGGGAATTTCAAGCAAAATTTTATTGCCCTTTTCAAAGGCATTAACGATTTATGCCCTTTAGGGGCGTAAATTGTTTACGCCCTTAAAGGGCATAATTTTAATGCCTTTGTTTCACCAGTGTACAGTTCCTACAAGAAACATACTCTGTGGATGGGATCAGAGCTCATTCGCCGCATAAATGTTTCAGTTTGTTCTTCTACTTTCGGACCAAAACCCATTTGAAATAAGACCAGACCTCTAAAAAAAATATTTCAACCAACTCTATGGTCGAAACCAAAAATATAGATCAGAAACTTAAAACAGCCTAATAAAAAAATCAAAACCAAATTTTTCTTGTTTAAACGAAAGTTAAAAATTTGGAAACTTCAGCACTGCGAGGGGTCACATCCTAGACCGGGAGGTTAGAAAATAAACTGAAACTGTACAAGACATGTTTTCGTTCGCCAAACCAGAACATTTTGGACATTGGGTTCCCCGCATCCGCGACCGTGACTTTATTGGGTTGAGAACTGACATTAATATCGCAAAGAATAAAAGGAAGGTTACAATCTAGTGCTCTAGTCTCTGTTTGGTTTCCGATCAGGATGTTTAGGGCACATTGCGGGACAATACTCTTGGTGATTTAATTTTGAGGTCCTTAACGTTAAGTGTTCCTTACCTCGGAGAGTGGACTGGCTTCGGTGAAGCCATCGCTCCTACTGAGGCCGTTGATGCCGCCCATAGCGTTGAGATGATGCGCTGACGCGCTGGGCACACTGTACAGAAAATAAAAGAGGGAAAGAAAACAAAACGGGCTGACTTGAACTACATAGAAGGTAAAAAGCCTTGAAGTTTCCGCCCGACACAATTTTGAGTAAGTGCTTTTATTAACACCCTTGTAATATTCACGAAATTTGTTTTTATTTCATGACTTTCAATATTCTTTCCACGCAAATATTGTACGTCTCGTTGATGACTTGTTTTACCTTAGGCTTTCAAGCTATGGGTTATGAGTGTGCATCAGTGCCGAAAGCCACACCAAATAACTTCCGTCAAAATTATCGTCCCATTGAAAGTAGAACCAATCCTACATTTCTTGGCCCTTTATAAACCTTTTACTCGTCTGTTTTTAAAGGTACTTTCCGGTGACAGTTTCTTTCAGTCTTCTTGTAAAATTGCAATCAACTTTTCACAGTGGACAGGAAAACTGTCACAGTCTGATGCTATCTTTGAATCCGTGACCCAAGGAGCCAGCATCGCAGATAGAAGCAGCTTGAGGTCAAACGGGACACAGCGACAATTAAGATATTAAAACGGGCCACGTTATTTACCGTTTTCGACCCAGTATTTGTCGCGGGCCAAAAGGTCGGGAAAGGTACGCGAAAAACCTACTGCGGTGTGGTATCCACTTCGGACTGGTCTCCGGATTCATGTGCTCACCAAGACCACTTTGCTGCATGCCTATGTGCGAGACGACTGTGCTATTTTCCCGGCCCTTGTCTTCAGGGGAATATTCAAAAGCGTAGACAAGGACACTATTGATCCGGTGAAGCCTTCACTTTAGCAAAGCGCATGGTGGTGGTGGTGGTGGTTGGGGGCTTTGCTCAGTCGACAAAAAATTTTGTCGTAGAAAGACTTCCTGCGTTCCTGGTTGACACCTACATGAGTCGTCTTGCATGGACTCTATTCATTGATGACTTGTCGACAAATTTTAGTGACGGATCTTGATATCAGCCCTACTTTTTTTTAAACACACCTAAAAGTTTGAAAAAAGGGAAAAAATCACTTTTTTTTTAATGTTGAAATTTGAAAACTCATATCTCAGGACAGAAGTTAAATTTGAAAATTCCGTCACTAAAATCTCTTCTATACATCTTTAGGATAACCCAAAAAAATTTTCAAGACTTTCCGTCCCAATGAAAGACGCAGGAAGATTTTTCCCCAACGCTCCAAAAAACACTAAAAAGCCACTTTTCTCAGAGACCGTTCAACATTTTGGATTGAATTTTGTTTTGGGAACTCACCATTATGAACCTCATAATTAAGCAAAGTTTCAACTTTCTGGGATTATTTTGAAGCCTACTTGAAAGTTTCACCAGGGTCCCCCCTTAAGTTGTGTTTTCACATTCTAACCAAAATTTTGGCTGGAGGACAGCAATATCACTATAAAGTCTGAACTGAGCGTCACGGAGCGCGCCTCGAACTCCTGATTACTGCTGGCAACGACATGTACTACCTATCCACTTTGAAGTTGCCTGACGAATTCCTGGAGGTCTCAACACATGTCACACCTGGACTTAAAAAGATTTCACACTCAATTAGTGCTTTTACAAGAAGAGATGTGTGGCTAAAATGGTTTCCCTTTACTCGTACAATTTCAAATATGCCCTGCACTTGATCAAATAAAAGTGAGGTGCCTGCGGCACTTACAGACAAATGAGCAAAATTTTGAGCGCTGAACATCACTCTGCAAACTCAACAGTGTACTCAGTACACTCTAGTTAGAGTGTGCTCATGAGTACACTCTAACTAGCGTGTACTCGGAGTTAAGCACAGCACGCCGGGCAATTTATGCAGCTGAAAGTGTGTACTCATCTGAGTACACGCTAGTTAGAGTGTACTCATCCGAGTACACGCTAGTTAGAGTGTACTCATCCGAGTACACGCTAGTTAGAGTGTACTCATGAGCACACTCTTACTAGAGTGTACTGAGTACACTGTTGAGTTTGCAGAGCAGTTGACCACATGTAAGTCCTAAGCGAACTGACCCACCCTTATTTATGTGTCCGATCAAAGAAAATGCCGAAGAAGAATCTCAACGAGTGTGTCGAACATACTCTGGCTTTTCGTGGACTCGACTGATTGCTGACAACGGCACCGCCGTTCTTCTTTCGCGTCACCGAAGCACCGAAGTCGTGACGAACGCGTTCGCAGTGCCTCAGTGAAAGCCAAGCAGACAAGCGTCAGTAAACAACACAGTCGTGTGGGATGGACAGACCAGAACTGCGAATAACGAGGCTGGGAACGTCGAGCAAGGGAAACGAAAGAAGGGCCAGAGGGGACCATGGTGGGGCGCGACCGATGAAAGCGCGCTCAGTGGGCCACGGTCAAGGCCAAACGTCGCGGGGAAAGACAAGCGACTGTCGCGAGGGGTATGAGAGGGGCCCTGCACCCAGCCCCAAGCCGCGCCCCCCGCAAGTGTGGAGGGAAGCCTCGTTGCTCGGCGCTCGGCCAGTGGATCGGCTCCCAGCAGACTGATTCCGAGAGTCGTTTTCGTCGCTCTGTCTCTCTCGCACTCATGGGACGTCCTTCGAGTCCGAGGGAGACAGAGCGACGAAAACGGCTCTCGGAATCACTCTGCTGAAGAGCGTTTAGCGGCGCAGCGCCCTGCCCACTGGCAACCCACAGCGCACGGATGTGCGATGAGATGCCTGTCTCGTTTGAGTGGATAGTTTTTCACCGACCTCTAAACTGTTGAGTTGGGTATTTCTCATTCGATGCCACTCGTAAATACAAGAATTTTGACACCTCACTCATGCCGATGAGGCAACCGAAAAAAGTCGCGCAAAAATTTAAAATTTTGAATTTATTTGGCTTATTTTTTAGTAGGTAAATATTGATCTGCCAAAAAAATTTATAAAGTAAAAGTTGCTTAGAATGGTCGAATTCGGTAGGGGAAGGAAGAACGACTCAAAAATTCCAACATTAGAAAAAATGTGTTGCCTAACTTTTAGGGGCATTGGTAATTATTGTCCTTAAAACGAGAACGAGGTAGCAAAATAAAATAGTGCTCTACTTTTTCACAGAAGTCACACTGCAAATCCAAGTGTAGGACAGGTCGACACTATACACTGTGGCAAAAAGGTACGGAAAATTCTGTTAATTTTTGTTTTTAGGATTCTTTGTAGCCCTCTTATCAATATTCTCTGTAGGCTCTTACAGTATTCTCCGTAGGACTTGGAAGACTATAGTCCTACAGAGATCACTGTAAGGTCCTACGGAGAATACTGTGCGGTCCCACTGAAAATACTGTAAGAGCCTACAGAGAATATTGATAAGGGGGCTACGGAGAATTACCACAAACTGTTTACAGAATTTTCCGTAGCTTTTTGCCACAGTGTAAAGCGTAGACCAGTTTGTTCTTCGCTTGCAAGTCCGACGCTTTGAAGTGTCGACCACACACTGTCCGACACCTGCAAGTGTCGACCACAGAATGTCCGACGGCTGAAGTGTGGGGTCACAATAGGAAACTCAGTGTAATTTGCCTTAGGAGTGTCCTACACATGCAGGCGTCGGACACAGTGTGGTCGACACTTGCAAGCGTAGGACTAGGGATGTGCGAATCAAGGATTTTCATTTCGAATCGAATCTTTCAAAAAAGTTTCATCGAATCAAACTTGGAAAACTATAGTCGAACGAATCAACTTAAGGTTCAGAATCGTCGAATTCGCAAACTGAAAATATTTAAAGTGCTTTAAACAGAGAATGTTATAAGGGGGCTAGGAAAATTTACCACAAATGAAAAAAATTTCCTTAATCTTTTTGGTGTAAAGCGTGCGCCGATTTCTTCCTTCCCCCAAGCCGACGGATTCGAAGTGCGACACACACTGTCCGACAATTTGCAAGTGTCGAAGCAAAGAATGTCCCCGAATGTGGGGTTCACGATACCGAACTATTGTAATTCCTTTAGGACGGGCCCTACGCTTTAGGCGTCGACACATGTGGTCGACACTTGCAAGCGTAACTAGGGATGTGCGAATCAAGGATTTTCATTTCGTCGAAAATCTTTTCAAAAAAGTTTCGGAATGAATTTTTGGAAAAATTTGTCGAATCGAATCGAACTTATGACGATTCAGAATCAAAAAATCGAATTCGAACTGAAACTAGAAAAAATTAGTTGCGTTTCAAAACACAAAAAATGTTATAAAGGAAGTGCAAAGATATGTTTACAAAAAGAAGAAAAATTAATACTTAATCTTGCTTTGGTATAAAGCACTACGCTGTGCGCTCGACTTTCTCCGTTCCCAAGCTCGGATTCGAAGACGAACAAAACTTCGATTCGAAATTTCGAATATTCGGGGTAAGCAAAAAATTTCCGTCCCCGAATCGAATCAGGGCTGGTTCGATTCGATACCGAACTATTCGCACATCCCTAGGACAAACTGGTCTACGCTTTAAAGTGTCGACCTGTCCTACACTTGGATTTGCAGTGCAACGTTATGTTAAAAGAAAACCTAATAGGAACACAGGTATAACAAGTTCTTCTTAATATTAGCATTCACTTTACAATTACATGTTATAATTATAGGAAAGTGCATGTGAATGTGTCCTAAACTAATTTGTTTATCTTTCTGTCCTCAGCTAGAGTTACCCGCAGAAGTTGTCGCTGTTCCTCATCATTGGTAAGGTCGTTTCCTTTCAAGAAACGAGTAACCGACGCTACTCCGCGCTCAGCCGCATCATTTACAACCCGAAAATGGGTGACGATCTTCAGACCTTCGAGATAACCCTCATCTGTTCCTTGGACTACTGGATCTTTTTTCAAGGAAGTTGCATGGAAGAACTTCATGGATTGTTTGGAGACGAACTTTGCAACAAGAGTAAGTACAGAGTCATCCATTACCACATTTACACGAAAAAACGAATCCGAGACACCATTTCTTTCCTCAAGTGCTCTCACTATTTTTCTCTTCTGTTGCATGGATACCTCTTCGTCAAAGAGTGCAAGGACGACCAATCTCGGAGACAAGTACCAGATATAAGAACACATTTTATCCAGTACAGCCTTCCTGTGAAAACCCAAGGTCATGGTATCGTGCACCACTTGCAAACCAAGCTCCAAGGAATGACCTTCTCTTCCTGTAGCTTTTGAATAAGAACAAGGAACAAGTAAAATCAGGACACGAGTACTTGTATTTATTTCTCTTAAGTATTGTTTGCTACTTGTTTTGGGGTGTCGCCCCTTATTTCATTCAATAATATTGTTCCGGTCAAGTATAAAAGTTAAGTTTAGTGTTAGTAACATAGTGGAGTTGATGATTATTTTCATCTTCGGTTTCTTAGTTTGATGCCGTTGTTGCTTGACATTTTCTTAATGATTACTTAACAAAGTTCCTAAGAGTCCCTGTGTTTCTGTTTGTTTAATGAATTTTAATGTGGTTTTCAGCAGTGTTTACTGTGCATTATGTCTCCATTGCTCTTGTCTATTGTTTATGATTTGTTGTTTGCTATTGTGAATTTCTTGGTGTACGTTAGTGTTTGAAACTTAAGTCAATCATGCAGTAACCTCTATATAAAATCCATTAAGTACTTAGTGTCTCAACCAACTTCAGTTCATTTTTGCACTTCTTGCCCTTTTAAGTGTGGTAAATTCTGTAACTTATTGATGGTTCCCATTAAAAGTTATCTTTAGCTTTAGTGGTACACAGTATTCATTTAGATAACTGTTTAGATTTTCAAAGTTTATTTTCAATACTTGCATAGTATAAATTTTCTTCGACCTCAACTTAGCTTAAAATCTCTATGTTGTTGACACTTCAAATGTTTACAAAAGTTGCTTCTTGCTCTAATATTTACTTTCAAAGTAATTAATCGGCACCTGTCTTACCAACCCACTAATGTGCATTAAATGTCAACCCATACTGCACATTTCTCCATTTCTCTCTTCCTTTATTTCAACTTCATTCTCTGTATTCCCTTGTATATTTGTCACTTGGCTTCAAGAAGAGACATCGCGCAAAAGAAGAACCCCGCCTTACTCCCCCTGATTTGTACAAGCTGCCCCCTTCTTGAACCGCGACACGGTGAACTGCACGGGCATGTCGGTGGCCCAGTTGTACGGCCTGACCCTGAGCCTTGCGTAGTCCGCCCCCACGGCGACCACCGCCTCGTCGTCCGGCCGGCCCAGCCGCCACACAGCAAGCTGCCCGGGCCGGTGCTGCACCTCCAGCACCAACTCGCCCTCCTCGAAGTGTAGGTAGTCGCCATCCCTGCGGTACTGCACAGAGAACACGCGGTGATGGGGTGAACGGATTTTTCCACTTTTGTCGATTTTCGATGAGTTCGTGCGTTCTAAATGTTCGTTTTGGTGTCAAAACGGAGTAGCCGAAGACTTGAGTCCGTAACCCTTAAGGGAGAGTGGGGTAGTTCCGGACACTTGGATTTTCACTGGGTTTGAGTAAAGATAACTCAATTGCCCGCCTAACTGAGGAAGATTGTCAGTTGAAAATAACAATACCAAATCGCAAATATTGCAGGCATTTTCTGATAAGTTCAAAATATGGATTACAAGAAGACAAAACTGTAGAGCAAGGCATCTCTTTTTATCATTGGCGTAACATCCGAAGGTGGTCATGTCAGGAGCCGGGCCAGACAACTCCTTGGAGGCTAGGATTGCTGAAAACATGAGGAAAAGACTGTCCCAAGTTACCCCGTAAAATTTCGATTTTTGACAAACTGAAGTCTGGACCGAAGAAGGGAAAACTGAAATCAACGCCCTTTTGAGACCGTTATTGTCTATGTATGATCTAAACCCAGAGAGACTACTCAGCCAAATCTGCATTTCACTCCTTGCACTAGGGCCAACTTGTCAATGTTTGACATATTTTGTCAAAAACCCTAGTATGTAGTTTTCCGTTTCTCAAATACTAATTGTGATGTTATGCACTTTTTCCACCTTTCCGCGCGTGCCCTGAGCTCTCTGAAACAAAATCCTGCCGCGGGTTTGACGCTAGGAGCCCCCGTCGCTGAATGGCAGCACCAACAAGGTGCCGACATGGATCGGGCTACCAACCATGGATCATTTTTGTAAGCGAGCCCGTACCGCCAAACCAATCGACCAATTTAAAATTTTCAAAGTTTTTCATTTGGTCTACACAATAGACTATGAGAATCACGCGTGGGGGGGGGGGATGATCAATCCTTCTGTTACCCTTACAATATGCAAATGAAAAAGTGCCTCTGAGACAGGGTCCGAAAACGGCCTGGTTTCAGGCTAGGTTAGGAGTCAAAATTCAAATCGTTATTACAGACGATCCATTCATCAGAAATGTCTCAAAATTTTTTCATGGCACCTTCAGAGTGTGCCCTTTCAAAATTTAGACGACAGGAAGTTATCGGAACGCCCCTGTCCAAACGCGAGGGGGAGGGGGGGGGGAATCTATGTTTGGGTAAGACCCAAATATGGATCACTAAAATCAGTGAAATTTCAAAGCCCTGTAAGTTTCAAAGTATTCGTTATAAAATGTTCAGTTCTTGAGAGGAGGTTGTCTTTGTGGTCATCTTGGAGCGTATCGAAGAAAATTTGGGTCATCGCTTGTTTGAGCTGAAAAACATGACATTCCTAAAAAGTGATCCATATTTGGTAACCTTACCCAACCGGGCAGACAGTCCCAAGTTACCTGCGGTGTCCTAAAAGTTACCCCAGTTGACGGAATGTTAAGGTGGTGGGTTGAAAACTGTGGACATGCATCCTCTCCGTATAGAAGGATAAAGAAAGAACGAAGCGATGTTAATAGCTCTTTACGGAAGGCAGTGTTGTCAATATAGGGGCTTCAATAGAAACTATTCCTTATATTAATATGCTTTCAGTAATAATAAAACAGTTTATTTCTCAGCAAATGTCCTTGCACGCCTACTAAAAGCATGCCTTTCATCAAAACAAACGAAAGTACGCACGAGTAGTATCAAATTTTAAGGTTATAATTCCGGGAACGTGCAGGGAACATTTGACCCAAAAAGTATGAGGCTCAAAGAGCAAAAAGGAAAAAAAAGCGTCCGTCAAGCATGTAGCTGCACTTAGGCCCTTGAGGCACGGCTTGGGTAAGAGTTACGGCCCGCAGTCTTTGGCTACTCTCTTTTCGACGCCTCCCAATAGAATAATCCTGTCAGTGCTGATCCAAGACAATCCTAACTGTCAGCGCAGATTGTACGACGTAAAAAGCTATTTCTTATAAAATTCGGAGACGCCAACATGCTGCTTCAAATTTCTTGGCAATGGACTTGTTAAAAAGTATAAACCTCGCAATATGAACGAGGAAGCTGGATTTGAGTGATATCATGATTCGCTGCTTTGGACTGTAGAGACCTAATGAGCAGTTGTAGCCTGCTCTGAAACCTCTGAGCAGTTAGGATTGTCTTGGATCAACACGGACAGATGGGATTATTCTACTAATAGGAGGCGTCGTTTTGACACCAAAACATTTAGAACACACGAACTCATCGAAAATCGACAAAAAGGGAAAATCCGTCCACGCTTACGCGGTGAGGAGCCTCGGCTGCACGGGGCGGCCCGACCGGGGATACTCACCGTAGGGGCGTCGCAGCTTCTGCCGCGGCGGGTGCAGTTAGTGTATGACCAGTATCTCAAAAAGCCGTCGTCCCCTTCGCCGAACAGCTCCATGAGGCTGCAGTGCTGGGCGCCGCACAGGTACAGCTGGATGTGCTTGTGTTCCTCCCCGAGCTGCACGCGGGCCGTGACTGAGGCGTTGGCGGGCAGCGCCACGCTGGGGAGAGCTGCGGACAGGCAACGTCAACTTACGTGAGCCACTCCTCGCTAGATGCGTAATAATTCGGTCGTTCAGAGGGCGGAAACACCACTTTCGACGCGATAAAGTCCAAATGTGAAAACGTAAGTCAATGTTTCACATGGAAGGTAAAACAAATATGCGGAATTAGAATCCAGCATTGGTTTCCCGGAAGAGAGATTCATTTCTCCTCAGGAGGGCTCGAAAGTCAAAGGTATAATTTTTCAGGCATTAAGACTTCAAATATTGTGGACTTTGAAATTGATAGCCTTCCGTTGTTGACGGAAAGTATGGGCACGGGTGCGCGTAGAACGCTTTCTGGTGATTCCAAAACCGGTCTTGAATTGTATTTAAGCCAACAAATGACCAATCTGCTGCTATTTCAGTGGAAGGCGGCACAAAAATCGTACTTTTTTTTGCGGCAATAAAAGCCCAACAGAGCCCCACATCCGCACTAGGCTAAATTGACAGAAAAAAGTAACCTCTTCACGAGGGAGCAAAAATCATCCACCCCCATGCACTCTGCCCTTTATAAGACCCTAATTTGTATCTGCGTGCAGCGCAAATATAAACTTCCCTCAATACGGCGACGGCCGAGTGCGTCTGTCTTGCCGTCTACCGTAGAACGGGGTAATATGAGACAAGAAGGAAAACCGAGAAAAAGCGCACTTTTTTTTGCGGTTTTTGTCGTGTTGCTCTCTAGCGGTCGTTCGGAAGGCCACCGTGTATTTATTTTCGTTATCTTGGAGGTCTTGGCAGCTCATATGAAACGAACGAAGGCAATCAGAGACTGGCTAGGATTATTAAGAATCAAAGGAAAAACCTCTAAATTCTCACAAGCTTTATAAAGTTAGTAACAAGCTAGGGCCCGCCCTTCCGTCGAACCGAGTTGCCAGCTCCGCTTCGCTGCGCCGGCAACTCGGTTCGACAGGGGGCCGGCCCAGCTTGGCCTGCCGGCGGCCTTTTCTCGGGCCTTCGGCCCTCGCATCAGACCCAACTTGGCCAGTCGAAGGCCCGGGCCTTCGGCCCGCTCGCATCACACACACCGTGAGCGGGTAAAGCAAAGTTATCGATGTACCATCGTGACTTAGGCCCGCCCTTCTATTCACAATATGCAATAGTCCTTACACTTTTTACTCCAACTGTCCTTAGAATATGCCCATTTGATTTGTCTCTTCGCCCTAATCCGAAAATACCCATATTTGCCATGCTACTGCAACTCCTTGCAATAGAGGCACAGCAGGAGCGCAAAACGAGTCCGTCGCACTTTTTCCCATAACTCATGAAGGCGGGCTCCTGGACCCCCCTTCCGACCCCTCGTTGAAGAGGTCTTGCCAAGACCTATCGAAAACTTAAGTAAAAATTTTCAGTCGGTCGACCCCCTTTTTGGCCCGCCCTTCTATTCAAAAAATAGGGGGAGGGCCTATGCATTTGCCTTTGTGTCTGTGTGTTGTTGTTGTTGTTGTTGTTGTCGTTGTTGTTGTTGGCGTCTGTGTACAAGGAAGGAGTTGAGCTAGAGTAACCAGATTTGGAGGGTACTTCAGGAGTACCGTCCAAACAAATAATCCGGTGGTGCAAATCCCGTCCGGGTCGCACAAGGGCTGCTGCAGGTGCATCATGGTTTACATGAGCGGGAGGGGGATTTCCGCCATTATTGGTGCTAGCAGGGCACATAGGGGTATTTTTGGAATCAGGGCGACGAGACAAGATGAATGGACCTCGTCCCGACCCCATCGGCCGCTTTTACAAGTTGGCCAGATCAGGATCTTCAAAAAAGGGTGTCGACCGACTAAAAAAAATTATTGCAGATTTCGATTGGTCTCAGCAAGACCTTTTCAACGAGGGGTCGGAAAGGGGGTCCAGGAGCCCGACTTCGTCTATTAGTCACATCAGGATCTTGAAAAAAGGGGGTCGACCGACTGAAAATTTTTACTTAAGTTTTGGATAGGTCTTGGCAAGACCTCTTCAACGAGGGGTCGGAAGGGGGGTCCAGGAGCCCGCCTTCATGAGATATGCGAAAAAGTGCGACGGACTCGTTTTGCGCTCCTGCTGTGCCTCTATTGCAAGGAGTTGCAGTAGCATGGCAAATATGGGTATTTTCGGAATGAGGGCGAAGAGACAAATGAAATGGGCATATTCTAAGGACAGTTGGAGTAAAAAGTGTAAGGACTATTGCATATTGTGAATAGAAGGGCGGGCCTAAGTCACGATGGTACATCGATAACTTTGCTTTACCCGCTCACGGTGTGTGTGATGCGAGCGGGCCGAAGGCCCGGGCCTTCGACTGGCCAAGTTGGGTCTGATGCGAGGGCCGAAGGCCCGAGAAAAGGCCGCCGGCAGGCCAAGCTGGGCCGGCCCCCTGTCGAATCGAGTTGCCGGCGCAGCGAAGCGGAGCTGGCAACTCGGTTCGACGGAAGGGCGGGCCCTAGCTTGTTTTGAAGATCCTGATGTGACTAATAGACGAAGTCGGGCTCCTGGACCCCCTTTCCGACCCCTCGTTGAAAAGGTATTGCTGAGACCAATCGAAATCTGCAATAATTTTTTTTAGTCGGTCGACCCCCTTTTTTGAAGATCCTGATGTGACTAATAGACGAAGTCGGGCTCCTGGACCCCCTTTCCGACCCCTCGTTGAAAAGGTCTTGCTGAGACCAATCGAAATCTGCAATAAACTTTTTTAGTCGGTCGACTCCCTTTTTTGAAGATCCTGATCTGGCCAACTTGTAAAAGCGGCCGATGGGGTCGGGACCAGGGCCATTCATCTTGTCTCGTCGCCCCGATTCCAAAAATACCCCTATGTGCCCTGCTAGCACCAATAATGGCGGGAATCCCCCTCCCGCTCATGTAAACCATGATGCACCTGCAGCAGCCCTTGTGCGACCCGGACGGGATTTGCACCACCGGATTATTTGTTTGGACGGTACTCCTGAAGTACCCTCCAAATCTGGTTACTCTAGCTCAACTCCTTCCTTGTACACAGACGCCAACAACAACAACAACAACAACAACAACACACAGACACAAAGGCAAATGCATAGGCCCTCCCCCTATTTTTTTGAATAGAAGGGCGGGCCAAAAACCTCCCCAGAAACCTCGGATAGAACTCGGGTTCTTGTCAGAACTAGGTTTAAATCTGTAGGCAATCATGTAAACATAATCAGGACAAAATTTGGTTTCGTTTTGTCTACTCCCGGGCCGCCTGTTTCAGAAAGAATACAATTTTGTCATCTTGCAGGAAAAATCGAGACACCTCTTTTCGCTTCAAACATGAGGCCAAACATCCTCCACTGTTAATAATTTCAAACACGAATTTGTTTTACTACCTGACCAGTATCTTTGCTCTTCGTTTAGTATTTTCATGTGACAGGTTAAACCAGGGCACAACTCATGACTCTATTACATTTTTCAGGTCTCTTTAGTGACACCCATTTTTCTTCCCTCCAGATTTAAAATCTTCTTCATTATAGTCCCTAATCATCTTTAAAATGAATGAAAAGAACTTAAAAAGCTCCAAACCCGCCTAAGTGAGCCAATTTTCCTTACTTCTTTCCTCTTTTGTCTCATATTACCCCACATTGCAGGGAAATATGGGACGGCATTCTGAGAGTTACTGAATGGTCCCTACTGTACATAAAAATCTGAAATTTGTTGGAAGTGTAGCCAAAGGGTCAATGAAACCCTCAGCACCTCAAAATGAAACTAAAAGTGGGAAATTCACGGAAAACCTCGAAATTTGTCGGTTTGCGGCATCTCAAAGATGTAAAAATCCTCTTTACTTTACCCTACAATCGTCAATGTAGCCCAAGGGAAACATTTTTTAATCACGTAACCAAAAACCTATACAAACTTCAGTATGGTGTTAATAAAGGTTTCCCTTGAGCTACATGGACGGTTGTAGGGTAAAGTAAAGAGGAATTTTTCATTTTTAAGATGCCGCAAACAGATTGGCGAAAAGTTAAGAACTTCCGGAAAAAAGTTTTTAAAATATTGTAAAAATTCCGTTCTTTTATTTGGTTTTGACCGTTTGTCTCTAAGAGGTATATTTAAGAAATAATCGTCATCAAAAGAGGGGTGAAAACCCCCTTCAAAAAGGGTCCAGGGACGAGACTGCCCCCTTAAAAAGTCCATAAGGATTTAGTGTGTCCTGCAGACGCCTTAAAGTCTACATTACAAGCTGCCGTTAACCGCCTCAGCGTTAACTGATCGGATATGTCAGCCCTAACCTCACTTTTTTAAATTTCAGAGGATAGATTAGAATAACTCACTTTAAAAAGCATTTTGTGCTCTGTAAATGTATTGAAATAAGGCAGCAGATGATTCGAGAAATAATACAAGCATTTAATTACATAAACTACTTAAATTCTTCGTTTAATACGAATCTGTTACGAATCACCCCCAACACGTGATACGCAAAAAGTACGTCCCCAACGATCACTGGACAAAGTAAGGGAAACTTATGCCACGTAGTGTCATTATAAAGGGGTCACGTTTCAAGGCCCCAACGGTTTACTTGGTGATTCATACCTGGGGAGCCTCAGACAGAAACTTTCTAGAACTCAAAATCCAACATGTGCCTGTTTTCGGTGTACCCTATATTTCAGACTCCCTCTAAAACTGCACCTGAGCACCGATCACATCCGCTTCGTTTGTTCAAGGGCCCTCTACTTTCAGCGAAAGAGGGGCCATACTTAGATTTTCTTCTGCATCCTCCATTTAAATTAATAATGACAATTGTTACGAACCGCCCCTGTTACAAATCGCCCCAATCTCCTTTACCTCCAACCCTGAGGGCAGACCCAGCCTCGCCGAACTCACCACGCAGGCAGCGGACCTCGTCGGAGCCGTCGGGGCAGTCTCTGTGACCGTTGCACCTTTCGTATCCAGCGATACACTTGCTGCCGTCCTTGCACTGGAACTCGTCGAAGACCCAGTCGCACTCGCCGGCCGCTACGGACAGAGAGGTCCACTGTGAGAAAAATGTACGTGATTCGTGATATCTTGTTAACAGGTTTTGACGTACGGTGCACCATGCGAAAAAACCACAGTGAGCGCTGGTTATTTTTTGGCCACGATTTACTGTAGTTCAGAATACAGGATTAACTGTACCTTGTACAGGATTTTCCGTACTCCACCTCTGTTGCACAGTAAATCTCGCACACTTAGAACCCTACAAATACACTGGTAAAACAAAGGCATAAAAATTACGCCCTTAAGGGCATAAATACTCTTTTACGCCCTTCCAGGGGCATAAATCGTTTTATGCCTTTGGGAAGGGCGTAAATGGTATAGGAATTTCAAGCAAAATTTTAATGCCCTTCCCAAAGGCATTAACGATTTATGCCCTTTAAGGGCGTAAATCGTTTACGCCCTTAAAGGGCATAATTTTTATGCCTTTGTTTCACCAGTGTAACTGCTCGTTCTCCAACGGTAAAACTAAAGCGTAGTTGTATGCTTGATCAAGCATACAACTACGCTTGAAGACTTTACGCTTGACGTCAAGCGTAGAGAAGAAATTCTCCCATGCATTTGGATAGGCGGGAGAGGGGCAAAATGGAGAACTATGCTTGAAGCCGAGCGTAGTTTTACTATGCTTGAAGAAAGGCGTAAAACTACGCTCGAGTTCTACACTCTTAAAACCTTCACGCTCAGACCATTATGGACTTTTTTATCTTTTGCTTATAGCATCTTTTGTGCAAACGTAAAATGTACTATTTTCTCCTTAACTATGCACAATTTTGTTCGCTTTAAGGATATCATTGTCAATAGATTATGTAGAAATTGAAAAGTACATTGCAAATGACAAAAAGTCCGGTTTAATGGACTAAAAACATTGTACAATGAACAAAATTGTGCATAGCCATAGAGAAAATAGTACATATTACGTTTGCACAAAAACCTTTATGGCAAGAGATAAATAGTCAGTACGAGTCTGAGAGAGTTGCGAACCGATGTGTTTGTAAGCTTGCGGAGAGTCTCACTTGTTCGCAATGCGAAGAACGCATCCGTATTGCAAATCAGTAGTTGGCAACTTGCGAAGAGGTGCTTCACAATTTGCGAACAACGTGTTTGTATTGCGAAGCCCTTACAAACACATTGTTCGCAAAATTGCGAACTATTAGTTCGTAATACAATCAAGCCAAACTCTTCGCAAGCTGCGAACTAAATGGTTCGTAATGCGAACACATTCTTCGCAAGGTTTTAAGAGTGTACCAGTGTCGTTGTAATACAAAGAAAGCGGAGGCTTCGCAGCCTGCGAAGGAAATCGTTTGTAATTCACAGGATTTTGTTTGTATTACCAAGGAAAAATCCTTTGTAGCCTACGAAGATCTTCGTCGCAGCCTGCGAAGGATTTGTTCTTTGTATTACGTAGAAACAAAATCCTCCGGCAGGGTTGCCACAAGATTTGGACGTTCCGATAGAGTCGCCGATCGACGAACAAGAAGAAGAACAAAAGCGCAGCTGGCCCCGGCAACATAACCTCCCAGACTTCTATGAGTAGACTAGTTTCTGAGTTATCTGTGGCGTATCTCCGTAAGCACTTTCGTTTGTTTCAAAGACTTTTTGACTCAGGAAATAAAAATAATTGTCAACATTTCTCGTTGGAACCGGGTTTGATACCAACTCCGTTTCTTCCTGGCTTCCGGTTTTGTTCTTCGATCGGCGACGACTAGAATGCTCTATTGTGGCCGCAATCCTCCTCACGCTCACGTTCACTCTCAGACTGTTATTGACTTTTTGTCCTTTGTTAAAGAGTATTTTACACAGCAATAAAAAGTACTATTTCGTCAATATCTATGTAGGATTTCATTCGTTATATTGACTTAAAGTCAATTTGCTATTGACAAAGAGTCAATACGCAATTGACTTAAAAAATATTCAATGATTGATGACAATTTAGTCTTTATAGTGAACAATATTGTACAGGGTTACAAAGGAAATAATACATATTATTGCTGCTTAAAAATCTACGTAAGCAAAGGATAAAAAGTCAATAATGGAGAGAAAAAAGTCAATACGAGTCCGAGAGTGTAAACCATGCCGTTTTTCAAGTGATTTTTTCTCGCTTTAAATGAAGGAATTAAAATAGAAATCTGAATTTTGATGTGTGCTGAGCCAAGGACATACCTAATGACCCTGCAAAATCTCAGCCAGATCGGCAGAGCCGTTCAGAAGGAGTGGTGCACACACACGCACGCAGACAGACAAAACTTTTCAACCGAACTGGAGTAACGGGCTTCGCTATCGCTCACGTCAGCCAACAATCCTCTTGGTACTTCATACAATCCCTGTTGAACTATTATTGTACAGTTTTTGTTGTACTTTGGTTCTACTATTCACACTTTTTTCTTGCAGTGCACCAATTTCAGATCCAAATTTCTCAAAATTGGTCTATCACTTTTAAATCACACTTCAGCCCTGCAATCACGGTACAAAGTTCTACTTATCTGCCAAGTCTTACCAAAATCGTATAGAAAATTTCCAAATTGCATAAATTGCCACTGGAGGGAAAAAATGCATTCCGGGGGATACTGTAAGGCCATAGCTCTGTATTTTGTGTACAAATATTAAAACGTGAGGAGATATTCTGAAATGTATCCGTGTTTCATGTGAAGTGGTGGATTGTTTAACTAACGGCGAAGAGTTTGGGGAAAAAGAGCGATATTTGAAGTGACCAAATAGGTTTTCCTGATGTTGCTCGAAGGCGTCTACGGGCTGCCGTTTGGTAGGGTCATGCCCCGATCTCCCCTATTCAGGCAACTAAACTGCCTCAGACCAGAGTTGTCCTGGGGCACTCAATTTTTACCTCTTCTCTGCTGTCAGATCCACTCCAACCTATGTCGAATCGAAAAGTTGCGCAATTTGCGTCAACTTTGATCATTTTCATTACGTTTTTGTCATTAAAATTTTCATTACATTCGTTCATTACACTGTAATGAAAATTTTCATAACATATATGTAATGAAAACTTTAATTACATTGTAATGATTATAGCTTCACTACCATGTAATGAAAATGTAATTAAATTTTTTTAACAGTGTACTTCGTGCCTAAAACTTTTGCACGCCGTTATTTCAAATACAAGTTATTTTACATTGTTTCGACGTTATTTCAAGGTAAAACGGTCACAGAACACAAGTTGCTTCCCCCTCGTGCACGGCCTACCTGTCGAGACGGCGGCTAGAAGGCCGAGCAGGATGAGGGACTTGGCGGGCATCGTCTGGCGAGCCGCTGGCACTACTGCAGCGGACCGACAAGCCTGACAGCATGGCCCAAGGCATGGCCACGCGGGGCTGGCCGATAACGGGGTCAAATGACGCGCCGGCCGGCAAAGAGGGGACATTGCGCGTGTTGTGATCGAAGCGGTAAGAACCTCGAAGAAACGTGGGCACACCACTTGGTGGTAATTAACACGTGCTCTACAACCTGAAGTGTGTACTCAGTATTCATATACGGATGCATACTTGCATGTACCCACCCTCAGTTGTATTCTTGGCTGAATACACATCTACAGTTGCACATTTAATTGAGCAATGGTTTTCGAAGCGTAATAATTGGCTGAGCGATAGCGAAGCCTGTTACTCCAGTGCGGTTGAAAAGTTTTGTCTGTCTGTCTGTCTATCTGTGTGTGTGTCTGTGTGTACACTACTCCTCCTGAACGGCTCCTCCTGAGATTTTGCAGGCGTATGTTCTTGGCTCGTTCTTGGCTCGGCACACGCGAAATTTCACCATCCTAGCTCAACTGGTTCAGTTTTTATAGCCGAAAAACACCTAAAAAACGGCGGAAAATCGAGTTTTCTGCAGGCAGATCGGCTCTATCGTGAAGGAAGGGGGGTGCCCCCCAGCTCCGACAAGTTAAAAAGTTCCAAGGGTCAAGATCGTGTTATCTGTAGATGAAGCAGCTCTATCTATAATGAAGGGGGGTCTGCCCCATGGGAACACCCACGTGATATCCACGTTGCATCCACGTGAGGTGGATTAGGTGGATGGATTTTTTCCACCCAAAATCGACGTAGAGCGTTCGTCGACTTCGCAGCGAAATAATTACTGCAAGAATTCAACGTCGATTCCACGTCGATGTTGCAGCGAATGAGAGACGCTGTAGATCGACATCGATTCCACGGTGATTTTACAGCGATATAAATGTTGCTATAATTCGACATCGCTTCCACGTCGATTTTGAGTCGAAGAAAGAGTTGCTGCGGATCGACGTTTAATCCACGTCGATCGTTTGTTGATTGTATAATCGTTGCGTATGTTCAGCCGCAAACACTAATTGGATATGAAACAACAGTTAAAATGCCGTGCACCGCTTCCAAGTCAGGACTGTTCCCCAGCTTGAGGAGAAAATCCGCTAGAACGTTGTAGAAAGCCCGGGTCTACCAAGGTGCGCGAGCAGCACAAGGCACATCGCCCGCCCTCGTGTCCCTCAGTTGGTTTCGTGGCGCAGTAGTTGGTAGCGTAAGGCACTGGTCCTGGGTTCGAATCCCGGGGAACAAAGAACGTCCCTTCCACAATTCATCGAGTGCGAAGGTAACAGAAATGTAACAGTCTGAACAACAAATGCAAAAAAAAAAAAATTCCAATGCTTACGCATTGCACGGTGTTCCGGTTGTGGAAATCATTTTGAAATCTGTCATTTAAACGTTAATTACGTTAATTTTACCGTTATTTACGTAACTTTGAATCCTACCGATATTTTTACATTCCCAAAAGTGATTCAGTTAACACAATGACCATCTCAGTCCATCTCGCGATCTCGCGATTTACAGTGCTCGCTCATGTTCGTCAACCGAAAGTCATCCGCGTTCCGAAAGCACCCCCCCGAGTTTAAAAAGTTTGTCAAACCAACCGTCGTGCTGGTTATAGAATTGAGGAAAACATGAGACGAGAACCGCAGCCTTTAAAAGCAAGCCAAACAATCCAACCTCAGCAACAATGGAGGGGCAGTTTCAATGCGCGACTACTCGTTTTTTCAGCCTCGCAATTTTCGAAAGGGCGCAGACGCCGAGAAAATTGTTGCCAACTGCGGAAAATCTATTTATTCTGTCTTTTCTGCTGTGAAGTTTTTACTAATGACAGATTTGAATTATGTGTAAATGTTTTATCAGTGTACAATGAGTGAACATTGGCATTTGTGAATTTTACGGCGTTTTAATTTCTTTTTATCATGGACTTTAAATTTTTGACAGTTGGTGCAGTGGGACGTTTTCATCGAGAATTTTTCTTCATGTTTTTATTATTTTCTTAGAACAGTGATTAGTTTTTGTCACTTTGATGAGGCAGGAAGTTTAGTTTTGAGGAGTGGCACATTTTTTCTTCGAAACGTTTCTGGAAAATGTGAACGGATAAGGGTGCTTGATTGTTGCAAATTTATGTTTTAGTCGTTTACGGAAAATTTCCACGATAAATTTTTAAGATTTTCTGGACTTTTTATTGTATTATGAAAAGGATTAATATGGCGGGAGCGAAATGTCCATCCTGGGGGGTCCGTAGAAGAAGAATTCTGAGCGGCCCCGGGCAATAGGGGTCCTCCTTCGTCGGAACCCCTAAAAACGATTTGTTTTGAAGAAAGTGAACATTTTACAAGAATATTGATCGGTGAACTAATCCACGTCCCATCCACGCCGCCTCGCGCGTCACTTAAGGCTCGATGTCGACTCGACGATACACGTCGATTCGACGTGGGCAGTCAACATCCCCTCAACGTCGCATCCACGCTCATGTTCCCATGGGGTGGGGGCGGGGCCCCCCAGCATGCATTAAGTAACCTACCTTGTTAACTCAATAACAGTAAAAGTAGCGATACACATCGGCAACTTTGGCCCGTCCCGTACATTTAAAAATCTGCGAATTTAGCCTATGCTTAACCCCAACGGGATTTGAACCTGAGTCTGGAGTCAAAATAGGAGTTATTTTCGTTATCAGCGCCCTCAAAAACATTACAAACAATGCAAAAACTTGAATAAAAAGAAAGTCCAAAATATACCTCACTGGGATTTGAACCCGGGTCCAAACTTCTCCGATTCGCTTGAAATTGGCACCATTGGTTTTGCTTCGTCGCCCCGATTCCAAAAATACCCCTACATGCCCTTCTAGCTGCATCCGTTGCCGAGATCCCTCTCGACCCCATGTAGACCATGATGCACCTGCAGCAGCGCCCCCGGGGCTCGGATCGGATTTGCTGCCACCGGGCGGCTCTTAGGGTCACCCAAGGAGGCTGCATACCAAATTTGGTCAAGATCGGACCACGGGAAGTCCTCGGACGAACGAACGGACGAACGGACGAACGAACGGACGCACAGCATGCATCATACTACACTGGCGGAAAAAATTAAGGGGACACTTTTTCAAAGTGACCTCAAATCTCGAGTTTCAGAGCTAGAAGGCTGCAACTTTGACACAAGTTGCCTTCAAGTGTCCTGAAAACGCGTGCAACGTTGCACTGACGAGGTTGGACCGGGAGGGGGTGATTCACCCCCAGCAAATTTGAAGTGCAAAAAACGCAACTTTAGAAGCGACCAGCCTGGCTCTCGGGGTCAAAAGAATCGGAAAACGGTACAGAGCGATTGCCCTTGACGTCCTCTACAAAATGCGACCCCGGGAGACCTCTACGACAAACCCACCCCCTACAACCCCCACCCCCCTTCAAAATCCACATTTCTTGAGGTACAGCCCTGAGATCGGGCTGGCGTCATCCTCTTGGTCACCCTGATCAAGAGGATACCGCGTCTAAGCCTGTGCACCCCGTTGTCACCCTCGGAGAGGCCGAAACACTTCACCCCCTTTCAACCCCCTGTGATTTGAGGAATTTCTGCTTTTCGGATGGGGGTGAAACTCACCAGGGTTTTGGTAGACGTGACCCTGAACAGCGTCGAAAAGGTCCTATGTCGATAGCTGCCCTTGGAACCACGCAAAGACACCCCCAAGTTAGGGGTGCACAACCCCCAAGCGGAGGGGTTGAAAACAGCCGCGCCGCTGGGTGGGCCTTCCAGACAGCCAAAGCCATCGGGTACATGCTGTTTAGCCCTTGAATTAAGGTCTCTTCACAATTTTTAGCCTAAAAACTGTGTTTCGACGAAAAAACAACCCCTGTGTTTACGCCCTTGTAGGGGCTGAATCAGCAGGGCTACGGCCATGCCGACCGCGGCATTGGATGCGCCAAGGCCTCCTTGTCAGACACCTAAAAATTCAGAATTTTCCAATCACGCGTTTCCAGACAGTTAGCGCAAGTTTCGAACTCCTGCTCACCGCCCTGCCGGAAAACGCTCTCAAAAGGTAGGCAACCCATCGGGCTTCGATTTCAGTTTTTCCGCTTTTTTCATGATTCAGCGGGTCGGATTCGATTTGCTGGGTTAGAGATTGATCACAAACACAAGCTGAACCAATCTGACCAGCTAAATCATGAAAAAAAGCGGAAAAACTGAAATCGAAGCCCGATGGGTTGCCTACCTTTTGAGAGCGTTTCCCGGCAGGGCGGTGAGCAGGAGTTCGAAACTTGCGCTAACTGTCTGGAAACGCGTGATTGGAAAATTCTGAATTTTTAGGTGTCTGACAAGGAGGCCTTGGCGCATCCAATGCCGCGGTCGGCATGGCCGTAGCCCTGCTGATTCAGCCCCTACAAGGGCGCAAACACAGGGGTTGTTTTTTCGTCGAAACACAGCTTTTAGGCTAAAAATTGTGAAGAGGCCTTAATTCAAGGGCTAAACAGCATGTACCCGATGGCTTTGGCTGTCTGGAAGGCCCACCCAGCGGCGCGGCTGTTTTCAACCCCTCCGCTTGGGGGTTGTGCACCCCTAACTTGGGGGTGTCTTTGCGTGGTTCCAAGGGCAGCTATCGACATGGGACCTTTTCGACGCTGTTCAGGGTCACGTCTACCAAAACCCTGGTGAGTTTCACCCCCATCCGAAAAGCAAAAATTCCTCAAATCACAGGGGATTGGAAGGGGGGTGAAGTGTTTCGGCCTCTCCGAGGGTGACAACGGGGTGCACAGGCTCAGACGCGGTATCCTCTTGATCAGGGTGACCAAGAGGATGACGCCAGCCCGATCTCAGGACTGTACCTCAAGAAATGTGGATTTTGAAGGGGGGTGGTGGTTGTAGGGGGTGGGTTTGTCGTAGAGGTCTCCCGGGGGTCGCATTTTGTAGAGGACGTCAAGGGCAATCGCTCTGTACCGTTTTCCGATTCTTTTGACCCCCGAGAGCCAGGCTGGTCGCTTCTAAAGTTGCGTTTTTTTGCACTTCAAATTTGCTGGGGGTGAATCACCCCCTCTCGGTCCAACCTCGTCAGTGCGA